TCTTTCACCCCCTCAGCGCTGTTGTGGTTCGTGGCCAGGGCTGCAGGAAAAAAGTTATCTTGGTGTTTAAGCCGGTAATTCCAAACGTGACACAAAGGACCAGGACACCACTGACAGCGGCAGACAGGAAAGGGCTCCGTGTAAAATGCGCCCGGCGCAGCCTCCCGCAGCCCCCTCGGCGGCTCGGGGTTCCACCGCGGGTCCGGGCCACCGGCCCTTCCGTGGCTCATTTTGTTGCCTGGGTTCCTGGGGCTGCGAAGCTAAGCCTCTTTGGCCTTCTTTTGCTTCTTCATCTTCTTTGTTTTTAAAGCTGGGATGAGAAAGACAAACATTTTCATCTTCTCCTTGCTATTCTTAATGGAATGTCAACATTTTGGGGGACCTATTTGACATGATGACCGGTCAGTGAAAAAGTGCTGGAACATGAGAAAAGATGGCACCAAACATTGGCACATTGCCATCTGGATACAAAAAAGGTAAAATAAAATAAAGGGGGGGGGCTTGTTCAGGCCCCGTTCACGGAGAAAGATGGGCGCAGGCCGTCCCTGCGGGGGCTCGAGTCAGCCGTCCTGGTTCGCGGCCAGCTCCGTGGAGGCGCAAGGTCCGCGCCCCTGAGCGGTGGCTGTGGGTGCTGTCATTTGGGACATGCAGCTCATTTCATAAGCAGCAAATGCTCCTCTACTGCTTTTCTTTTTCTTTGATTGGAAGTTTGGTTATTTTACCACATGTGTGTTTATGGTTCATCTTTTGTAAATTGCCTGTTTACCTGCCTATTAACATATTTCCTCCCTTCCTTTCCAATACATATTCCTCTTTTTTTTAAATATGCCTTTTTTTCTTTAAGATTTTGTTTATGTTTTTCTAAAGAGAGGGGAAGGGAGGGAGAAAGGGAGGGAGAGAAACATCCATGTGTGGTTGCCTCCCATGTGCCCCCCACTGGGGACCTGGCCTGCAACCCAGGCATGTGCCCTGACTGGGAATCGAACTGGCGACCCTTTGGTTCGCAGGCCGGTGCTCAGTCCACTGAGCCACACCAGCCAGGTTTCCAATACTTATCCCTCTTAATAGTGTCTTGTTATTTTTTCCAAGCAATTCAGATGAATTCTTTGAAATGATATTAACATTGTCATATCTGATGCAAATGATTTTTTTCATCTGTTTGCTCTTTTATCTTGGCTACATTTTTCTTTGACTTACATAGGTTTTGAAATGCAATACAGTGAATTCTGCCAGCTTTTTAAATACATTCTTAAGCTTAGAATGTTGCCTTACCAAACAGAATAAAAAGCAGAGAGAGGTGGAGAAGGAGAATCATCTGAAGCTGGCAGATACCCTGTTCTCCTCGTCCTGATTTCCGCTGCCATCCTCCCTGTTGGATGAACCAGGTCAAAGGTCACAGGCAGATTCCCATCCCCCACTGGTCCACCCGCCTTCCTCACTGGAGGAAGATGAGGTGGGATCAATTCCTGCGTGGAGAGCTGCATCCTGAGGAAGAGAGTCCCCCTCCCCCTGGGTTAGGAACAAGGGTGCGGGGACGTTGTGGAGGGTGAGGCCAGAGACGGCGCGTCCAGGGAAGGAAGGAACCGTGGGTTTACCCGAAGACCCCCTGCCAGGTTTCTGAGTCAGGGGCCTAAGCTTGCTCAGCGCTCGCCGCCACGTAGTCACCCAGTTTTCCCTTCTTGGAGGTAAACGACCCGCGACTATTGTTCATTCCCAGCTGAGTCACACCAAGACCCGTGTGTGCTTTTCCTCAAGTGAGAAAAGTCACGTTACTGACACACAAGGAGCCTGCGCACTGGTGACGCTCGCTGAGTTCCTTTCAGATCCCTGTCTAGAAGGTGCTCCTGGCTGCTGAGCACCGCAGCTAAAAACCACAGGGGAGTCCGCCCCGTAAACCTCCTGCCGATCACTCACCGGGTGCCTGGCTCCTGCCGACACTCGGCTCCGGGCGGTGGGGGGATTTCGGGGGCGCCCAGGCACCCGCCCTTCCCAGTCATCTGCCGCAAGCCAGCGGCCTTGACGTGGACACTGGGCCGCGAGCTCAGCCTGTGCTTCCCAGCAACTCCAGGTCCGCTCGGTCCTGCAAAGGACGGAAACGCAGGCCAGAGGAGTGAACCGGGGGAGAGAGGACCTGACTGTTGTAGACTTGTGTCTCAACCTCCTGCCATGCAGTGCGGCCACTGCGCACACAGGTCTCTATAGCCACCGCTCAAAGCCAGGTTCCCTGCACTGTCCCCAGCCCCAAGCCATTTCCACCCCAGAGGCAACTAGTCTCAGCTTTAGAAGTTATTACCTGACGTTTACCTTTCTCTCTCAACGAAAAGTAGCTTCAATTGCTACTTTTTGAAAGACATCATAAAAGACACGCCCCTACCGGGGACCGAACTCGCAACGCAGGCAGGTGCCCTGACTGAGAATCGAACTAGCAACCTTTCGCTTTGCGGGATGATGCGCAACCCACTGAGCCTCACTGGTCAGGGCTTAATTGCACTTTAAATTTTAGGCATTATCTCTTGCCATCCCTACATGGAAGACGGGAATTGATTCTCCACACACATTTCTTCTAACGCCCATCCTTTCAATATAATTGCCTTATAATCGGGGTTACCTCAATTATGTTATACCTTCCCATACCTGTGAAATGTTTGCTGTAGCTGATCCCCCAGACGACTGTAATTACACTTACTTCCTTGTGTAGACCTGCTTTATTCTCTCTGGAGTTAGCGTTTACTCTCGTCACTTGTATGGCTGTCGTGTCCACCCGTCAGCTTTCTTACTGAAGCCTAGTTTCCTTCTGGTGAGTTCAGACACACGCACTTCGTCAGCTTCGGCTTCTCTGGGCCAGTTCGCCGGCAGGCTGGCCTTCTGGGTTTCTGGCTCCTTCACCGCTTGCCCATGACGGGGTGACCCCGGCAGAGGTGAGCTTGGGCTCAGGATGTGGGCGGTTTTCTAGTGGTCTGTGCAGAGAGCGCATCTCCGGCGCCTTCGTAGCGATTTGTTTCTCCGGTACTTCCCATAGGGGTAGCTAAGTTCTAATGCCTGTTACTTTGCTGTTTTCTCATCTCTCCTTTTCATTTCCGTTAGACGCGTATCAGTTTCCTTAGCACAAGATTTTGCAAAACACCTAATAGGCTATTAACACTTTCTCAAACTTCGGGCAAGGCAGCAATATTTTCTTCCCACGTAGGGAAAAACACCGCATCAATATCCACATCCAATTTTGGAGAAATGTTGCTGGTGGCCCTAAAGTGGGTACAACACTTCTGGGAAATAATCTGTAAATATGCAAGAGAACAACAAAAAATCATCATTCCTTCGCCTTTGCAATTTTAGCCTAGGAATCCATTTTAAGGAAATAAACCAAAACATGGAAAAAGCTGTAGGTAAGAACAGTCACCATGGTACTGAACTAGTGAAAAAATGAAAACAATATAATGTCCGTCAATAGGGGAGTGGCTAAAATGTGGAACACACCCTTACTTTCTGCATACAGGTGACAACGTGAAAGGAAACACTGTAACAGTAAACAAAAAATAAGGGGAGAGCGTCCGGGGGCCCTGAGACCTGAAAGGTACGTGCTGAGGACTGAGACCGCCTGCCGCCTCCAGCGCCCGCGCGCGTGAGCAAGACCCCCCGGGAGCCTCGCGGCCAAACCTCTCCTCTGGTCACAGCAGGTACTTCTGCCCCGACCCTTTGGAACGCCAACGAAAGCATCAATGAACGGTCTGTCCTAAGGTTCTTTGAAGCCCTCACTTCAAAACCCCTGCCTTGCTGTTTCTACGCAGCCCAGTTACGGCACGGCCTTGACCCAGGGATGTCATTACAAGGCCTCCCTTAAACAGAACCCTCCCATTTCAATGGAGTCCGGTCGTCCCTCCCCCTCTGGGGGATGCTGCCAACGCTGTGTTGAGGGGTGTCCTCCCTACTTCAGGGAGCAGCGAGCTCACCTCTGCTAGCAACAGACTGTTGCGACATTGGGGATCCAGCACTCAACAACATAGGAAAACGACGCAATATGTGGACGCAGATAGAAACCACAGACAGTAGTTACGCTAGGGAATTGGTATCCTGCCAACTTTTCCAGCCTGTTGTATGGTATCCTCACGTGAGGAGGGCAAGGTTCTATCTCGATCGATAACTAAGAATCTATTTCAGTACGAACGACCTCTGAATGGCAGAGGTTCAAGTGAAGGCAGAACCCTGCGACTTGTTGTTCTCGTTGTTCTTGTTTTTTGTTGAACAATCAATAACCATCCAGAGAGAAGATTACTTAGCCAGCAAGCTATTCATATTGTAACTATGCTTGTAGACTCCAAATGCAGATGAGCACACTGGTAGTGAAAGTGACCCAGAAATGCTCTGAAGTCGCGTAGTGGATCGGGAGGACATTGACGATGGTGTTTGGGTGGGTTTGGTATTTAATGGGACAGAGGCTTTAGACAGTGGCTTGCGTAGCACTGAGTCACATGCGTGTCATAGGCCTACCCTAGCAGAAGAGCATCGCACCAAAGTAAAAGCCAGGCTTCAGGAGCAGAAACTTGGTAGTCAGTGTGTTGAGCAGCATCTCTCAAATATCGTTGCTGCAGTTGGCAGTGAATCTGCAGCAGACTTGGGTGGTTTGACTTGTTCATTTGGTTCTGGTTTGACCGATTTATGGCCAGCCTCCTGGTGAATGTTACCTTCCCTACTGATACTAACCCACACTATTACCTTTCAACCTTTGTTCTTACAGCAGAAATAAGCTTTGCGGGTAGAGAAAGTAAATCAACCAAGGCATAGCAACAACCAAACACGATCAACAAAGAAGTCTGAACGTTTCTCTGTGATAGAATCAAGAGATTTATACAGTTTCGGTTCCAGGTAAAGACGCACCAATGACAGGGAGGACAGAAATGCCAAGATTAATCAGGTAATTTTATTTAATATTTACCCCTCAGCAGCAACCAATAGGAACGTCTGAGCTCACAGAATCTCTTGAAGTGTCCTGCTTTGTAGCTGCTTCAGAAATACACGCACATGATCAACTGTTCATTGCAAAAGTTTTTTTTTTTTTAATAAAATGGCTTCAAGAGCAAATAACACTGATTTATACTGTGCTCAAGCACTAGTCAACAAATCTATTAAATTACAGAGGAAAGGAAATCAAAGAAGCTTTGTTATCTTATGCATGTCACCTTATTTAAATGGAAGGCTTTACTTCTTTAAAACAACAGAAATGTGGCGCTTCCTATGGGTAGGTCTAGATATTGTTTAAGGAGGTGATTACAAACACAAAGTGTTATCATCCAAAGCAAAAGCTAATTCAAGAAATTTCTGACTGCAAAACTTGCAAGATACAAAGCTAAAATTTATATGTTCCTTTTCTCAATTATGAATACCTTCACTAAACATAAATATTTTTAACATATATTAATTTTTTTGACATTCAAAATTGTAAAGTCAATATGGCAGAATTATTGTTAAAAGCACATATGTACAAATATTCTTTTTCCATACATAAAGTATTTGGCATAAGTACAACAATCATACTGCATCCACAACTGTTTGCTTTTATTTTTACTGTTTTTTTTACACATAATGGTATCTCTTATTAAAATTAACCAGTTATGTACAAAAATACTTGAACATTTATTATAGAAAACCTCTAGAACCAGCCTCAACAGCGTACACCTGCTGAATGGTTTCATTACGGGGATATAAAAAAAGGTCAGTGCCGCCCAGGTCAGCTACCAACGCCGCCACGCACACAGGTAAACTGAAAGGGGCTTCCCAACAAAAGAGGGAAAATATTTAACAGCATGATTGAAAATACAGCTCAGATCTATTGTCAATTGAGTGTTACAAACAGCAAGAGAAAAAACAAAGGTACAAAATACATTACTACGTACAAGGTGCTGTGCTCCTACCCTAGGGCCGTGGGATCTGCCCCTCTATCTGCGGATCTAAGATGCGCGTTGAACAGTCAAGCTAGAACCATCTACAGCCGCCCTCCTTCCACAACAGGGCACGGGGACAGCCAAGGAGACAAGGGCCACCAGTAAGAAGGGACAGGTGCGGGGAATCTTTTATTTTGTGTGGGATCGAAGGTTAACACCCTTGCCTTTCGAAAGTCCTTTTGCCTTTTAATCATGCTAATGTATTTTCTCTAAGGTTTTTTTTTTTTTCTTCATTTACGCTATTGATTTAACACTGTCCTGCATTGATTCCTGAATTCTTGTTAATGGGACACATTAATTTGTGCCTGTTCACTACACGGATACCTGCTCTTCTTCGATGACAAATCTGGTGGAGGAAACTATCAAGTAAGGAAGCCCGAGCTTCAAGTAAACATTTCTCCTGGGGTCTGTTCCTTAATCTCTGCTCTGAAAGTAAATTGCACCTTGAAGGGAAATACAGTAGATGCCATGGTGTCTGAGTATGAAAGGGTTTACCGACCAATTCACAAAGTGGAGTTTTATGAATGCAGACAGCTTTCACGTGTCAAAGGCAACCTCGGAGGAGCATTATATCGCAAGGACAAAACAATTTCCAGTCCCATCCCGGCCACCCCTGAAGTATCTTGTCTAAATAGCCTGCTCTAACTTTTAATTCTGGGGACTCACCTCGATCCACCTGCTCGTACAAGGAGCTGGACACCTCGCCTCATTCCCAGAAGTCTTCTAAGGGAAGGACCCTTGTGTGAGGATGTGCATCGACTTAACGAGCTTTCTCAGAGTATCAAGTATTCAGTAAAAAATATACAACATTATCACACATCGTATTGTTCGACAATACTGTATTGGTCTGAACATTAGACTATGTAAAAAAAGTGAACATAAAAAGATACAAAAGAAGTCTTGATCACTATTTACCACTTTCAAAGGAGAGACGCTTTTAATGAAATTCAGCCATACTTCATGTAACATCTGGCGTTTCAGGTCAGTAACTTTTAATATTGTGCAACATTATATTAACAAGCAAGTTTTAATTCCATTCATGTAAAGACAAATCTAAGGTATTAAAGTGCCTACGCTAAATGTCTCATCATACTTCTTACTCTCCTGGAAATGGCACAGGCGCCATCGCAGGTCCACGGAACAGGGGCTCACAGCTGAGAGACCTTCCTGGGCAGGGGCCGGGGCCGCGGGCCGGGGTCAGTCCTCCTGGTGCCGTTCTCCAGGTGGCCGGGGCGCGCGGCCAGGGGCTTGGGCGGCAAGGCGGGCGGCTCGGGGGCGACGGGGATGGAGAGGCTGTGAGGTAGCGGGACGGGGCGCCGCAGAGTCCGCTCGTAGACACTGTAGGGCGGCGGCGTCTTGCTGTCCTTGCGCACGGGCTCCTCGGGCCCGCTGCAGCCCGGCGCCGGCGGCTCGGCCAGCGGGCCCTCGAAGCCCGAGGTCTCCGACGTGCTGCACCGGCTGAGCGAAGAGATGCCGCTGCTGCAGCTGCCCGACAGGACGGGGGAGTTGGAGAGCAGCGTGGGCGAGTGGTACTCCACGGGCGAGGGCGTGAAGGACTGCGTGGGGCCCTGCGCAAGGGGACAAGGGCGCAGAGGGAGGGAGGGAGGGGCGGGGGGACACAGCAGAGTCAGAGCCTGGCACGGGTGGACGCCACCCCCCCCCCGCATTCAGCGGGCGAAGCCCTAAGCCGTACCCCAGGCGGGGCCGTATTCGGAGACGGGCCTCCAGAGCGCTGGCTACTTTAACACGAGGCCTGGGGCGAGCCCTGATCTAACCTGACCTGTCACACACACCGAAGGCGCACGCACACAGAGAAGAAACCACGTTGGGACGGGGGCAAAGGTGCCTGGAGAAACCTGGCGAGACCTCCTCTTGGATGTGCAGCCTCCAGAAGAGTCAGAAAATAAATTTCATCGTTCGAGCCAGATTCCTGGCATTTCACAAAGAGCTGGGAGGTCAAGCCACGATGGCGCGGTCTCTCTGGGTCTTTTATCAGGGCCTGTTCCCTCCGATGGGTCACGGACTCTTCACTCGGCCGCACTCCCCACCAGACCACAAGGCACCCCATGCACCCGGTGGTCCTCCCGCGAGCATCTGCACCGCAACGACTTTGTTCAGCCACCGTTTTCTAAATGGACGCGACTACAGGCCCTTTTCCCCTTCATCACAGAATGGCCTATAAATCTACTGTTCTAGGGAACATACCATATTTTGCCGTGTATAAAGCGCACATTTTTTGCCCAAATTTTTGAGGGAAAAATAAGGATGCATGTTATACCTGGGTAGTACTAATTCCCTAGCTATATAAATGTTTCTCTTTTATTTATGCTTATGTGTTCAAAGTGTAATTCTGGAAAGCAATAGCAAGATCTGTATGCAAAATAATACCCTGGAATACGAGAATCAGTTTTGTTTCTAAATGTAAAAAACTAATAGAATTAAAAAATTAAAATGAAAGATTTCTTTCCCCCTGAAAGTTTAGGCCAAAAATTAAAAGATCCCCCCGCCTCCGACGCCCTGAAAGTTTGGGCCAAAAATGTGACCGTGCATTATACACGGCAAAATACAGTACTTAGAATAATGTGTTCCTGGCCTAACCTTACCTTGGTCTGTCTTTGTAAACAAAATGTCAGTAGACACAAATCCTTGCAGTTAGTAGGAGCCTAAAGTTAAGCCTGGTCAATTTAGAGACCCTAATTCACTACCGTTTTTGTCAAAAAATTAGACTCCAAGTTCAACAGGAGGCTGCAAGCTCAGACTTCTCCTCAGGGTTAACTCCACCGTCCACTCGCTGAAAAAAGCGGCCTCAGTATAAGGCAGCCAACGGCACTCTAACCACGAGGAGCCAGAAACGCGTAGCAGAGCGGGCTCACCTGTGGCCGGGGCCACACGCAAGCGTCCGGTCCGCTGGCCCTCCTGACCCCACCGTGAGGACGTGGCCGCAGGAAGGGTGGCCGGTGAGAACGCACGCAGGCCTGCTACGGAGTCGGACTCTTGGCAGCCCCTTAAACACTGGCATCGCCTTAGCACTCGTTACTTTGAAGAGCCCATCTCTAAGGCCGATCGCGTTATGGCTCTGCTGCAAAGCCACGCGGAATGACGCAGGCATCCATCCCAGAGCTCCACGTGGGGGCCCGAGGCTGGTGCGGGCGAGCGGAAAGCTGGGGCAACGCTGGGGCCACGTCACCATCCCTCTGGGCACCCGAGGACGGAGGTCTCCAGCTGTGAGGCAAACCCAGCCCCAGGGACTTGCTCACTGAGGGCTGCGGTGCAGAGCAAGACCAGCAAGCACCTTGCGCTCGCCAGCAAGCACGTAAGTCAGAAGCGCTGGCTGTGCAGGTGCAATCACGTGCCTTTGCCATTTCTCCATCTTTTTGGTTTTGTTTTTCAGATTCCCTCTTTCTAGAGCAGTGGCTGCACCAGGCGGCGCACGACCCGCCCCGGTGTGTGCGCAGGAGCCAGGGCGTCTTTCTCTCTCGTGTTGGCCAGAGCTCTCTCACTGACGACAAGGACAGGGGGCGCGGGGGCCCTCCCTTCGAGCTCACACTGGCCCCTGGCGCTGCGGCGGCCCTGAACGGCGCCGTCTGCGGGGACTGGCCTGCCGGCGGCCAGCCTGACTCGCGTTGGAAGACGACGGCCTCCCTCCGTCGGGGAGCCTGCCTGTCCGGAGGCGTGAAACAGCCCGCACCTACCGAGCCCAGCGAACGTCTGATCGCTAACGCTTTCCTGGGGGTTCCCTGGACCTTTCAAAATTCCTTGCACTGCCTAGTTTTCACGGTCAGGGATGCAGCTCCAATGGCAAAGAGAAGAAACTGGGTTTGGCTTTGTCAACATGGGTGAGACGGAGGATGGAGGCGAGAGGCGCAGGATCACGGCGCATCTGACCGTGAAGGACAATGTGAGGCTGTGTGCGCGTGTGCGCGCGTGCGTTTCGTGTCCCTTAAACCGAAAGGCCAGACCGACATGTCCTCGGAGACAACACTGGGCCCCTGTTTCTTCCCTGTTTTGGGGTGCACCTCCGCCGGTCTGCACATTCTCACTGGCTCCCTTTGCAGGATAATCTGAACACGGGCGGATCTGAAATCTGCGTCTGGGGAGCAGGGTCCACGCAGGGCCTCCCCGCCCCCTCTTTGCCTGCCCTCGCCTGGTCTGTGCGAGCACAAGCACCTCGCTAATGTGGGGGGGCCGTGTGAAGGGGAAAAGCAGCTGGGCAGGGCCAGCCTCCGGCCCTGGCGGGGTAAGAGCCCTACCTTCATGGGAGACCGCCCGGCGGGCGAGGGGGACACCGACGTCGTCTGCCTCGCTGGCGAAGCTGTGGGGAGAGAGGGCGTTTCAGATCGGAAGAGCCAGGCGGCGGGCCGTCTGCAAAAGCCCCTGTGCATGCGTGTGTGCGTGTGGCCCACACAGGTGACCCGGCGCACAGGGCCCTGGGGGAGGGCGCTGAGGGCGGGACGAAGGGCGCCCACCCTGAGGACGGTGGCGCTGGGACTGGGACAGCGAGTGGAGAGCCACTCCGTCTCCCAAAGCGACAGGGCCCCAAATGGGCCGACGTCCCTGCCACGTCTCCAAAGTCCAGATGCTCCTGAGCTGCTTCCTGTTTCAGGAGCTGCTGGGAGGTGCGGGGCACCCGGGAGCCGCCTTGGCATCAGCTGCTGACTGCAGCCCCAGCGAGACCCCGCGGGGGCTCGGCGAGGTCAGGGAGCCGCCCCGGGCCTGCGGAGGGGGCCAGGAGGACACCCTACACGCTCTGCCTGTGGAGCTGGGGGGGCACAGGCCCCTTTCGACTCCTCTTAACAGGGGCTGGGCCGAGAGAGAGGACGCTGTCAACGCCTGGGCAGCTGGCCTGGCGCTCCCCTCGGACACCCTTCGCCTGCCGTGCTCCGAGGGGCTCGCGAGCCGGAGGGGTCAGTCAGGACAAGCTACTTTACCCAAGTGATTGTTCGGTCGCGTCAGGCACCCACCGGCCTGCGTGGGCCTGGGAGGGACAGGCGGGGAGAGCAGCTTGCCGCCCTCCGCCCCGCTCCGGGCCTCCTTCCCGCTGTCCAGGCTCCAGCTGCTGGGGGTGGGGTTCACAGCTGCGGAGGGAGAGCACAGCTGAGAGACACACTGGGGCGACAGGGGGGCCCGCGCCGCCTGGTCGCCTGGATCGGAAAGCACAACTGGATTAAAAACCAAAACGAAACGGGAACGCCCCTGAACACTGAGCCTTTATGCGGCTGCCTCCCTGCCGGTCAGAGCGGACGCTGAATTAGGTGACGCTGAGTCTGCTGCGTGAGCCACAGGCACACGGCTCTCTACCCACACGGCTCTCTACCCGCGGCCTGTGCGCCGGCGCTCGCTGAGGACGACCAATGTGTTCGGATGCTAGACAACAGGTGAGAGACGCTGCCCCTCAACTATTTTAAAACTTGGCTTGTGGTGGAAATTTCTGGACACGTGGCACTCAAAAGGGGAGGAGGTGGTGACAAGTTAATATTCCCACTGTCGGGCAGAATTACGGGGAAGGGATAGCCACACCCCACAGTCCTGCTGGCCAGCTCGGAAAAGGACCCTCGTTGCTGAAAATAATGTGTCCTACTGAAGTATGTCCTAAAAAAATAATTTAAAATGCGGACAGCAACATTTCTGTCTCGTAATTTGCGTGTTGCGTGCTTCAGAAAGAGACAGAAATACAGCGCAGCCCTGCCAGGGAGCCCGCAGTCCGGCACAAGGCTATAAATAGCTGCTACGCGCCAGGTTTGCAGCTCAAGGCTTAGCGTTCCCCTGCTCCCTGGGCAGACACTGCCATCTGGTGGACACGTCTAGGGTTTCAACATCTTGCCACCACATTACAGCGTTCGTTTAACGGGATGAAATTACCACTCTCAAAAATACTTCTTCTCAGTTCCTTTTAAGTTCCTAAATTCTGTAGACAAAGAACAATGTTTGACTTGTCACATCAAAGCAAAATTTGTGTCTTAAAATAACATGGGCTACGAGCTCTCCAATTTTGATCTCCCAAGGAAAGTTTGAATGTTAATGGATTGGTCTTTCTCAAATGACAATATAGTCTAGTTCTTAATGAGGGCAATTAAATCGCACTTTACGCGGCCATTTCACGAGTGACTCCCGATTCATCCGCTGGGATCCGTGAGGCCTGACTCGGAGACAGGCCAGTGGGTGACTGACTAACCCACCCCGCCGCTCCTCAGAAGGAAGTCCTCTGCTGAGCCGCAGGGACTAACGCTAATCAGCCGTTCCCTGCAAGGCCTGTGTGTGTTTCTCCTCTTCTCCGTGACCTTGAGGCGGGCACGCTCCCTCGTGCATGGCACCGCCATCCTTTAGGAGCATCCGAGTCACCACGGACAGCAGAGGAGCTGGCGGAGGGGCTGCGAGGCCAGCAGGGGACCAGCGGCTCCTCGGGAACAGCGCTGTACTCGGTGCGCACAGGCGCAGCGGCGCCTGCATCCCTGCCTCAGGAAGCCCGGGGGCGGCCCCGGGGGCCCCATGATGACAGCCGAGGCTGGTGAGCAGAGGGGCCCCGGCCTGCTCGGGCTCCGCTGCGGAACCCGGAGAACACCGCCTCGAATGACGGCTTCCACTAACGCCCTAGAGGGCGAGTGTGTCACGAACGTCGAAGGGACGGCCTCCCCCCAGACACACGGGAGCCCCCGGGGCTGCAAGGGGCTGGCTCCCTACCTTTCTCCGGCGTGGACAGGTTCGGGTCGCTGCGTGGCAGGGCCCCGTCTCCAATGTGGTTGAACAGCAGCCTCTGGAAAAGGCACAAGAACCCGTTTTTACGGCACCGTATGCCGGAGGCCTTCGAGAAAATGAGAGGATTATCTCAGCACTGAAACCTTCGTTCAAAATAATTTTTGTACGGTTGCTGAGGCTCCTAGAAACAAATAATTTAATCATATTTCAGGGGAAAATGGAAGAGCCTTAGATTTTGAGAAAGGAAACACATTTCCGAAGCTCATCTTAGCTTTTAAATAAAAATGGTAGGTAACTTTTCATAATAAAGGGTAGGGAAAAATAAGCTGTAAGTGGCAGCTAGCCTGTGGTGCAAAGTGCAGTCTGAACGCCAGGAAGAATTAAAGGGAAATATGGGCTCAAACTGTCCAGGGAAGGCCCTGCACAGTCTAAACCCTGGGTTAGGTTAAAACATGAAGCAGTCAGTATTCTCCAACTTTTAAGCCAAAAGAAATCACCCATTTTACTTGGTTCTACCTAATAGAACACACACAAGTCCTTCAAAGTAGATGCACCATAGCGACGTGTATTATCGAAGTTTTAGCAACGTGCACATTGCTTCAAATTTACCCAGAGCTGGCAGCGTGCGCTGCCGGGAGCAGATGGGACAAACTGCGACCGTCCCCTTGCAGCATCAAGAGACAAGGAGATGGGACAGGTCAGCACGCACACAGAGCGTCTGCCGGGGGCAGCCCGGCGCAGGCCAGGAGCCCCGGGGCTTGCGGGAGGGTCGCACCGTCGGCGAAGGTAAGCGGTCGCGGGCCACCCGCTAGCCGTCACCCATCTCCAGGGCAGCCCCAGACCTCGGGACGCCGCGGGAAAACAAAGTCGCTCCCGGAGGCAGAAGGAGCCCTGGAGGCACCCAGGGGCCAAGCCTGGCCAGACCCCTCTCAGACTCGGAGGAGTGACTCCAAAGCCAAGTCCAGGGGAGCCGAGGGCCTGGTCCCTGACTCTCAGCGGGGGGGCGGAGCGGGGCGCGGGGTTCAGTGAAAGCCCAAGGCCCAGCCCCTTCTCCCTCGACGCACTGAAGGACAAAGCCAAACGGCAGGAACAGCCCTGTCTTGGGGGTCTCGGGAGGGGAGGGGCTGCAGCTCTCTGACAAGGCTCAGGCCCCAGTGGAGACCGCGGGGCGGGCCGCGCCACTGCTCACGGGCTTCCGCTCCTCCAGGGGCTGGCTCTCCGCGTTCCTGCCGCACCCAGGCCCCGTCCTTCGCCCACCGGTCACCCCTCAGTGGCAGCAACAGCCCACGCGTCTGCCCCAGAAAATGGCTCAGGCAGAAATTCCCCACAACGGGCACAGGCAGAGGCCCCGTCCCCCAGCGGGACGGGCTGTCTAACCCCGCGGGGTCCCTGCGGAGACGCCACTCTGCACTCCACCGCGGCTCTAGGGTCCCGTCCCACAGGGTTACCTGCGAAGGTTCCACAGGTGTTGGGTAGATGGCACTGCACGGTCTCTCCCTCGGGGACAGGCAAGCGTTCTCTCTGGAATGTTTGTGCTTGTCGGACAACAAGGGAGAGGCTGGGAAGTGGGGAGAGACGCTGTCAGGCTCGTCCATCGGCGGGACGCAGCCGAGCACGGGGCGGCACCCAGTTCAGGGCGCGGTGGCCACCCCGCCTGGCACTGACCTCTGGCGCTGGACGGAGCGGAACTGGTCACGTTGGGCGAAGCCGAGTGGGTGGAACTCAAGCTTGAGGTAGACGGACTTGGCTGGAAGGACAAGAAGGCATTATCACACACCGGCCAGAGCCCACGACTCGGACACGTTGGAGACAGTATCACTGATGTGGTCTGGTTTGGTTTTTTCCAAATTAGCCAAAAAAGAAAGCAAAAAGGCCATTTACAAATAGAGGAAAAACCCTCTCAGACTGGTAAGACCCGTCCGAGTTAACCAAGAACCTGAGATGTCGCCTCCTGCCAGAGGAAGGCGTCCGCCGGCCAGCTCTGTGCTGGGCGCGGGCAAGGGCCCGGCCGGGGGCGGCGTGCGGGGGCGTGAGCGCCTCGAAGAGACAGCGGCGGCGCCTTCCCATTGTTGCCGAAAACGAGTTCAAAGCCTGTGCTCGGCAGTACGGACTCGGCCTGTTTCTCAAAGACAGCAGCGAGGAAAGCTCAGCTGCCTTACTGAATTGTTATACATGCATGTGAGCAGCGTCTGAAGAAAATTTGTTGTTGCAAGAGCTACCCTGACTCTAAAATCCCTAAAAACTATTTTTTCTTTGGCCAAAAAAAACCCCTCTTTATTACAGCAACTTTCTTTGACATGTTCCTAAGTACAGAGACTTTGTAATGGACCCTAAACCATGGCTGCGTAGGGGAGAAAGGGCCACCGGGAGGGGCTCAGAGGTGGCTGTGCGGTGACGGTGACGACAGTCCTGGCCTGAAGGGCCGCGTCGCCCGGAGGGGGTCTCAGAGCGGCCCCGCCCCCGCCCGGCCCTTCGCCTGCTCGGGGCTGCGGAGCCAGCGGCAGCCCTGTGCCACCCTCTGCAGACTCGGAGGCCGATCCGAGTGCTTAAAGGTGTGCACCCGGCCAGGCCCCGCCCCCCGCCCCACCGCCGCCCCCGCCCCGGATGGAGGCCGCCGGGCAGCGCCGCAGACCTGCATGTTGAAGACTTCGTCGGAGCTCTCGGACTGGCCCGTGATGTTGCTGACTTCGGCAGAGGCTTGTGAGGACAGCGAGGAGGAGGAGTAGCGGTTGACGGCTGGGTAACTTAATGGGCTGTTTTTTGAGGGGAAAAGGGATGTTAACTCAGTCTCTGAATTGCATGTCATCCCGTGCCGGCTTGGTACAAACAAACAGGAACAGAAACACCCCTCCCGCTGGGCCGTCGCCCGCTGCCGCGATCCCACCGCACGCCTGAGCCCAGCGGTCCCTCGTGCCGCTGCGGCTTCACCAGCGGCAGACGTCCGCGCTGCCTCGCGGGCTAATTATTCCATTAAGAAATAGCAGGTTTGACAAACTGTGCCATAAAGAATGAGAGGGTCATTCCAGATCATCTTGTGGGGATGCCAAATTGTAAGATAATTACGAATATGACTTACCTACGCCGCGGAATCACCCGGGCGCCATCCGGGCTCAGAGCAGCAGGTGCCGAGCTCCTGCACACGCGAGGGCTCCCGTTGGGGAAGTGGACCGGGCTGGCCTGCGGGCAGGCAGAGAACTCCTGTGGGGCCAACGCAGAAAACCTCTCAGGAGGGCCCCTTGTGGGCAGGATAGCTTAGGAGACGTTTGCGCGTGCTCGGTATGCATGCTAAGCGTCATGACATCGTTACAAAGGGCCATTAAGGTAAGTCTCAGCATTATTACGCTCTCCCGCGCTTCCTTTTCCGTTTTCATAGATGCTGAGCACGGCACAAAGAAGACAATGCAATCTGAACGTGCAGATAGAATGGTAAGATGGTGCAGTTGGGTAGGAGAACCGAGAGATGTCGCTGTGGAGCGCGGCCCCGCCGTGCACGCACCTGTATCCCTAGGCTCGACTTCATCACGAAGAACTGGTCGACCAGCTTCTTGTGAAGGGGCCTCATGTCCTGAGGCACAAACTTCTCGTGCACGGCCAAACCAAACTCCAAAATCTGCGCCTTGGTAACGACAGAAGGGGAGAGGCCACGTGAGAGGATACCTCCGCCGCCGAGCACCCGCTCAGAGCCCAGCACGGTCGCATGCGTCCGGCACACACCATCGCTGACCCCTCGCTCCCCGACAGCACCAAGCCCGGCATCCCAGGGGACGGCGCTGAGGGTCAGAGGGCTCCCGCCCGCGCGGGGGCACAGATGGCGCTTGAACGGGGAGGCGTCCCTGACGCCCAGGATCTGCTGTTCCCACTGCCCGTGTCTCCTGCCCTTGTGTCTGCGGTCTGTCCTGACAACCCTTCTCAGCAGGCAGGTGTCCCTTCGGGTCCCCCCACACTTCCCCAGGTGGGACGGGGGCCGCGCCGTTAGTAGGGCCGGGCGCTTCTCCTGGGGGGGTCTCTTCTCTGGGGGCACCCCTTTCCCCGCTGCTCCCCTCTCACCCACTGGGCTCCTCTGTGCCCGTTCACCCCATCCACCCCTCCCCGAGATTGTCCAAATCTGTCAAGGAGAAGAGAAATGCACCGGACTCCTAGGCCAGTGGCTATGCCTCTTGTTTTTGTTGACAATGTTACTCTTGTTCACCTACAATGCAGCGAGAAGCTGCTCCTGATCTAGAGCGAGGTCTCTGCTGGGAGGACCCCGGCAAGAGAGGCACAGAGGCCCCCCGTTTCCCCCGCTCCCCTCTCTGCGGCCCCGGCCCCCGGGCTGCGCGGCTGCGGCCCCCTGAAAGCTGTCCAGAGGAGGGGTTCCTCACTCCTTGCTCCACAGCTCGCGGACGTTCGATACGGCAAGGGGACGCGGGACTGACCGTGGGTGGACAGAGCCTCCAGCACCCTTCCTCAGGGCCACCTGTGGCAACTCCCCGCCACACCAGCATGTTAGCGCCGAGGTAAAAAAAAGCCGAGATAAACGTCGGGCGCTTCGGGGGGGCGGTTTGAGTGGCGCACCCATCTCGGGCGCGGGTGCCCCATCCCTGGGATGAACAGGTCGCGGGAGGGGAGCCTCCGTGGGGGACCCTCCAGCCTCCATGGCTTCCAACACCTGCTATCAGGCGACATCCCTTTCGTCCTGGCAATGCTGTGGGTTGTGTTCCCTGTGAGTAGACTGCGGGGCGGGGCGGGGGTCGACAGGGGTACCCCGGAATCAGGGCCACAGCCCGTGCGGGGCCCGGGTGGCCTGCCGGCCGCGCGGCCAGGCTTTCTGCCTCCTCCCCCGTCCCTGGGGTGGGCCATCCAGGGAGCTCTGTGGCCGGGGGCTCTGCGGACGGAGCCAGCAGCCCATGGGGGACCGGCAAGCACAGGTGTGTTGAGGACCGCCACGCCTGGGCCGAGGGGCCCTCTCAGGGACCTCCGTCGGGCAGGCCGTCCTCAGGTCCCCCGGACGGTGTATCCGGAGCAGCTCGCGGGGCCCCGAGCCGGCCGTGCCGGGCCAGCCCGCCCCTCCCCTGCGGCCACGGCCGTGACGAGACTCGCCAGGGCAGGTGCTTGGAGAGCGGACGCGCCCTAGCCCAGGCCCTTCCACGGGGCCGTGGGCGCCGTCCGGGGATGGGGAGGCAGCGCGGGGCCCCTGATTTCATTTTCCTTGAGAGGCTTCGTGGCCCTGTTCACTTTGATTCTGGAGAAAGAATTCAGCCAGACCGATACGGCAGGCAGGGCAAGGAAAGCCACTCGCAAGAAACTCTGCTCAGGCTAAAGACAGATTCTCAAAAACCAGCCAAGTCTGAAGTCATTCCATGATCCTTAGACTGGGAACCTGCATGACTCACTCCCAGTGCCTTCCTCACCCCGAGGGCCACGTGGAGAACTCACCTTGTTCTCTCTCCTTGCAGGTCAGTTTCCGGTAACTCATTTCTCTGTTCCAGAAGCTGTAAACTCACCCCCTTCTATCCCCTGACCCTCGTCCATGGTCGTTTTCCTGTGCCCAGAATTAAGATCCGGGGACTAAGCTCACAGAGCATCAAACATGGGCCCAAACCCAATAAAACCTCATCATTTCCTAACCCAAAAGGGCATGCTTTGGTGGTGGCGGTGGTGCCTGCTGGTTTATTAACCTGGCGCTATCGAGTGGGAAGAGACGCTTTGGGCACGTTTTAGCGCACGCACTGGGTTTCCATGGGTGTGAAATATCTTATTTCCTGTTTGGCCCAGCTTCCTGAGCATCACGTCACCTGCAGCACAAAGCTTTTCCAACCATTTCCAGGCCAAAAGCTGTCAGATGACTCACCCCAGAGCTTTATACTTGACGGAACAAAATAAAAACAAACTGACTCTCTAGAGTAGAAAATGATGACATTGTATATAGTTTTGTTCAATCTCTAGGCTTAGTCTGCAATACATGATACTGCTTTTAAGCAAAGTCTACTGACCGTCCACTTCCTGACTAGGCCATTTAAGTAAGACGCTCATTTATTCAGTCACTTATTTTGAGCCCTAAATTTTGAGTGAAAAGCCAGCATCAAGCTTACAGCAAGTCTCCAGGGACAGGACATTCAAAGAATGTTCCAAGCAACCTGAGAAATTGTTTGTTTTAAGGGGCTCCTTGTTCTTCCATTTAGTCTTGCATCAAAGTGGGGAAGAAGAGCGGAAATGAGCGATTCGGAAGGCGCGGCAGGCAAATCTGTACCCCTGGACAACCGCCCACCAGTGCGGAAAGCCACGCACACGGGTCTCCGGAGAAGCGCGTCCCCGCCCGCACGGTGGCGCGAGCAGGCGAAGGGCCGCCACCCTTACCTGGTCCAGCATCAGCGCCCTCAGCCGCGCGATTTTCTCCCCGTCTTCCGGGTGACTCAAGATATAGTCTTTGACGAAGAAGGCCTAGCGAGAGAAGGCATGATCAGTTTACCTCAGGGGAGTTGCCAAGGGCAGGAAAGCCACGGTTGTTTTCATAAACCCGGCATCTTTAGAGAGATGACACCGCTGTAAACCATGTTTGGGTGGCAGATGGAGAGCATCCTTGTGTGGGCAGCTGGTTGGACCGGGAGCATAAGGCAGATCGAAGGTTGTGTAAGTATTTTGGTAAAACCAACAGCAAATCCAGGTGAATAAGCTGCGTGGCATTACATTCCTAAATAATTAGGAACCTTACCTTATGATTCAGTATGACCGATGTGGTGGCTTTGGCATCCAAGGTACCATGCCCTCCGGTTTAAAAGTAAGAGGGCCAATAAGCCGCCCACTGAAAGGATCCTGCGGCCAGGATCGGACTTTGCTGCGCCCACGCACGCCTGGGCTCAGGGCAGTGGCTTTAGGTAGACACTTGCTAAGCAACACCCTCGCTATTTTTATTCCTCCAGGTGCGGTGCGCACACAGTTACCCTCAAAATACCACATGTGAGAAATGGAGCATCACAAGTGACGATGTGCTCCCCTTCACGGCGGCCTCCGCGAGTGCCCAGGAATGAGCACGCTCGCGTGTGCGCGTGTTCGGAAACAGAGCTTTCTGAAACCCTAGGAGACCACCTCTTCCCCCGCAACACCGCGCCCTCACCTCCTGATAGCGGGAAACCCCGCCGTTCACGGCGGCGTCGATCACCCCGTTCAGGCACATGGTCAGGGGGTTGATGTTCTGCATCTGCCGGGTCTGACACTGAGCGATCAGCGTCTTCAGCTGCTGATTCTTGTTCTCCAACACTTCGATGGCGTTTTCCAGAGGGCTCACTTCCACCTGCGAGGCCGAGGGGCACACACGGAGCCTGGATTTCACGATGCTCAGGAGGACCAAGGGGGTCATCCGGGTTCTGAATTACCTGTGCACGCCCCCCCCCGCCCCCCGCCCGCAGTCAGTCTCTGTACCGGGGCCGTCCCGCGGGACAGAAAAGGATGTTCCTTCCTGAGGTCTGGAAAGGGACGGCAATGAGAGCCATTGCTCGTAATGCAGTGTGGGGCGTCGGGAACCCCTAACTATCCGTCAGCACTGCAACAGTCGATGGAATCCTTGGAAGAAAAAAGTCAGCTCATGACTTTGGAAACTTGTCTGTCTTTCCTTCACCTTTCTGGATGCTTGTTTAATGCAACGCACCACGGGGGACACAAAGATGCATTGACAGACGCTCTGGTGCTAAGGCGCTTGCGGCCCCACTGGGAAGATGGGATGGGGACCCGTACGGACCACATATGCCCCTATGCCATCACCATAAGGCGGCACAGGGGGGTTCCTGGCTGGGAGTTGCAGCAAACAGGAGAACTGCGTATTCCGCAGGGCCTGTTTGTTGGAGGACAGCCAACTAGAATCATAATGACTCAAAAGGCGAGGCTCTGTGGGTGCCCCATTGTGAAAATGGGGCGTGCGCTCGTCACACGTGCGGCGGGGCGCCGCAGGCTGTCATTGACGTGCTCCTCCCAGAGAAGGTCGGCCAAGCTCTCCGCAGCGGCAAAGCGATTTGAGCTCACAATGGGCACATTTACATGTTGGTTCTTTCCATTAAGGAGACAAACGAGAGTTTTCCAAGGTTACTGAGATCATTTTAAACCGACGGAAAAGTACTAGAATATCTTGGCTGTGTCAAAATTAAGACTGCGCCTTCATCAAAAGACACTGAAGATAGAAGGAAAGAAACACCAGAAAGCAGAAGAGAATTTGCCAGAGGGAGCAAAGGAGAAAGAGGAATGGTTCAACAGATACAGAGTTTCTGTTTTGCAAGCCGAAAACTTTGCATGTGTTACAATGTCTGTGTAGTTAACACCCATGTGCTGTACACTTAAAAATGGTTAGGAGGATAAATTTTATGTTATGTATTCTTGAACTAAAAAAAAAAACAACAAATTTATGCTCACCTTTATATATTCCAATGCTACTAATATGAAAAAAAATTAAGGTAAATAAACTAAACATGGGGAAAAGATAAACAATGACTCGAGAAAAATTTACAACCTATATTGCAGGTGAATTATTGCTATTTCTCCGATGCTAAAGAAAACCATGGTCAGTGCCTCCGCAAGAGATGGGAGAACAGATATGTACGTGGAAACAGCTCATCTTCAGGAGCACTGACCAAAGGCGCCTCCGATCAGCCCCCGCAGGACCCCGTGTGGTCTGTTCTTTGGAAAGACTGAAATGACATATGACACCCTGTGTTGGAGAAGACACCAGGGCCAGGGGTGTTCCCACGAACAGCTACCCCTCCGACCAGGAGTCAACGGACGCGTGCCCCCGCCGGCCGGGGGATCACAGGTTAAACTGTGGACCCTCTGACAGCCCGGTTCACGTCCAGGGCAACGAGTCTCAGGAGACAGCCAAAGAGGCGTGCAAAGACTAGTGTGTCAAAGGCCCTCCTCAAGGGTTAGTTTCCTCTGGCCCTCCGGGCTGCGGTCTTTCCCCAGGTCTTCTTGTTCCCCAAGAAGCGGGAGTCCCTGGAGAAGGGGCTGCTGTTGATCTGGGGACCCCAGGAAGCGCGGAGGCAGCTGGGAAGAGGCCCCCCGTGCACACTCTCTGCGGAGCAGTGCCCGTGGGAGCAGCGGGGAGGGCCGGGCACCTGCCTCCTGGTCATCAGAGCTTCCAGCCAGCGGGCTGGGACTAACTGCTGGCAGGGACCGGTGCTGTCTGGGGGTGCCCTCCCGGAAGTCCCCAGCTGAAGGTTGTTGCGGTCAGTGCGCCCAGAATCCAGGGGGCAGGCGTCCCTGCAGTGCCCTGGAGAAGTCGCACACCCTCTGCCGTGTGCGCCCCGGGCTGTTCCACACTGGGAATGAGCTCCCTGCGTGAGGAGCCCCATGAGCCCACCCAGGGACCCCCGTCTGCGGTCCCACCCCGTCGGCACGGGTGTGGCAAGAAGCACCGGGGGACAGGCCTGAGGCCTCAGGTGTTCCCCTGCTTCCCTGGAGCCTCTCGACTGCCGTGAAGCTGTGGCCAAGACAGGGTGCTGTCACAAATCTAACCCACAGTGACCTCACCAGACTGGGGGATCTGATCGTAGGCTCCTAACTGCGCGGGGCAGCTGGGCGGTCACCCCAGGCAGGTAACTTCTTAGCAAAAGCCTTACCTGTGCCTCAGGCCAGCCCCACCCACTGATTCTGTGCGTCTGGGTTCTCACCCCTCTGAAATGCCTCTCTTTTGGCCCCTAAGAAGCCAGCCACCCTCCAGAGGGCACATTTTCTGTCAACAGTCCTGTGACCTGACCCCCCTGCTTTTTCCCGCCTCCACGTCTCCTTCCTTAGTTCCCCCTTCATTCCAAACGCAGAAAACTGACTGCGAACCGCTGTCCTGGGAAGCGTTTTTCTTAGTCTGTTGCAATCTTGCTCCCAGGCATATGCTCTGTTTGGCTCAAACTCGAATCAGCTCATTAAAATTTCGTCCAGGTTTGGACGTTCTAGGTCGACAAGTTCCTAGTAAGGCTTGAGGCTGATTCCCCTGCCTGGGCTCAGTCCCATCCTCTGCGTTAGCTCAGGAACAAACTGCCAAAGAGACGCAGGAGCTAATTTGAAGAGGCTCCCAATGGGCCAAGCGGAACAACTTGAAAATGAGTAAGAGCGGTAACTGCCAGGGACTGAAACAAAACAATTACGTGTAAGTCCACAAGGGACTCTTGATGCCACAAACAAAAGCAGCCAAACAAAACCCCTCCAGTCAATTATTATTTGAAAACCGTAAGTAAAGGGATGAGGTTAGTCTTCCTTTCCCGCACCTCAGGGCAGAAGCGTTCCACGTAACAAACGAAGGCGTGAGGAACACCATGCTGTGTAGCCCCGGGCAGAGGGATCTCGGCGGCTGCCCACATCCCCCCAAAGAGACGACCAGATGCAAAGAGCACAGCCTATGAAGTAGTCTTGCAAAAAAAAAATAAAGCAAACACAAACACAAAATGCCAACATGGCATCGAGCCTTTATAACTAACTGCCAATTTATAAAAAATAGAGGGGCAAAGAAGCATGTCCAGTTGCCCCACTGGTCCCCAGACCCTGACTTCAGGCGGCGTTCCAGCCCGGCTGGCGCGGCTCCGTGCACTGAGCACCGGCCTGCGACCCAAAGGGAGCATTCCAGGACCGACAGCCGAGTTTCTCCAACAACAACAAACTCGCAAGGAAAGAGACTGATTCGGGGCAGGGGCTATGGATCCAGAGACTCGGGGGACCTGTGAACCCATGGCAACGGAAGGCTCTTATTTGGATCTGGATACAAACAACAAATGACAAAAACCCAACAAACAGAACCCAGAAAATAAGCAGGATCTTGGTGGAGTACGAGTGAACAGTGACTGGGTGCTTATGAGAGAGGAAGGGCTGTTAGTTGTTTTGATGGGATAATGGATGCTACTGTGGCTATTTTTTTGGTTAACAAGCACAGTGGAATATTTTTAGACCAAATGGCGTGGTGTCTTGAGGTTTACCAGGGGTATCCCTCGTGGGCCGCATGCAGCCCAGGATGGCTCCGAATGTGGTCCAACACAGAATTGTAAATTTACTTAAAACATTATGAGATTTTTTTTTTTCCTGGTGATTATGTGTTGCAGTGTATTTATTTAATGTGTGGCCCAGAGATGCCAAAAGGCTGGACACTCTTGCTAGCATGAAAGAGAAAGGGTACGGTGCAGAGGAAACAAAATCAGCCTTTTGGATAGCTATTGAAGTACAAGGCTGAATAAAATGGGTTAACTCTCTATTTTCTATACTTTTGTGTGACAGAATGTGGGTTGCTCTGTAGAGCAGTGCCTACAGGCACCTGCAGAATTCAGGCACTAGATGGCGCCAGCAGTGGGCTTGGAAAGAGCTGGAACTATTTTCAAAATAGAGCCACGTGACGTTCTGATGACCTACTGTGAGATGGGAGAGCATTCTCATTATTGTTAGTTGGAGTTTTAAAAAAATTATGCATGCATTCTATTTTATAGGATTTCCATCTCATATAAAATTTAAAGATAAGCTTACTTTTTAAACAGGAAAAAAATAGATTTAGTTTTGAAAACAATTCCTGCGGAACCTGCAGAAAGGCTCCCTGGCGCGTCAGTGCCCGGGTGGCTGGGAGCACCCATGCGGCCGGGCCCAGGCCGCTCAGGAGGAGGACGAGAGCCTCGCCGAGCTCCGTGGTCGGCAGTGCTGGTCTCCCGGGGGAAGCCCCCGGCTGTCTGCACCACGTCAGCAAGCGGCGTGGGGGCCCTGGCCACGGACCCCACGAGCATACAACGGCGCTGGCTGTGTTTAGGAAGCCGCGCATGTTTTTTGCTGCTGCAAAATGAAAATGCCATTCAATCCTTAGCCCGACGGAATGTGATACGCTGGGGGTCAGGGGTCGATGCTTAGATTTCAGGTAGGACAAGCCCTTCCCGGAGGACGGGGCGGGCAGGGACCGCCCTCACGTATCCGCTGGCGGAGTGGGCTTGCTCACTAACGGGGCAGGAGGGTCAACGGTCCTCTTCCAGGGCTTTCACACCAGCGCGTCTGCTGCCAGCGAGGGGCGGGGTGCTCCCGGGGTGGCCTCAAGCCTCCTGCTGTGTGGGGGGCGTGGCGCCGCTGCAGCCTGTGGCCCTGCGGCTGACATCGAGGGGTGTCAGCCCGAGGGTGACCAGGGCAGCGGGGTGACTCTCACCCGGACGAGGTCGCCGTTGGCAACTGCTCTCCCTGTCCCTGCCCCTGGGGACCAGAGCGTGGCGGGGGGGCGGCGCAGCGCAAGCCTTACACCCCGAGAGCTCCTGCACACTGGGGTCCCAGGTTCTATAATGACACCCCTGCGCCCCAGCTGGTATCCCTCCAGGGTGGCCGGTGACACTCACACCAGCATCCTGTCCCTGAGGCCTCTGACCATGTGGACCGACTGCGTGCCCGACACTGTGCTCGGCCTTCACGCGATCCCCCGGTTCCCCAGAAGGAAACTGAGGCTGGAAGAGATGAACCCGCCGGCTTTGGAGCCAGGAGAGTGGGGGTTCAAGTCTGTCCTCCCTCAGCGTGTTGGTATAGGGTGGCCAGCAAAAAGCCTTTCGAACTTGTGACGGGGGACAGAGTGCACAGCTTGGAGCTGGGACACGGTGACTCAGTAACACGCTGCAGTGACCACCCCCCCCCCACGCTGGCCCGGCGCATGGCCACCGCCATGACGACCGCGACCCCAGCCCTTCTAAGTCCAGGCCGCAGGCCAGGCCCCGTGACTTCGGAGGGCACCCTGAGGCTGGCTGGACGAGGGCCCAGGGATGTCCTCCTCCAGGCCCGGGTCGCGTGGTCGGCACCGTCAACTCTCGCTGGCTAACTCTGAGGGCCGCCAGGGACCGGAGTCAAAGGCCGCAGCGGCGACCCACGACAGGACTGCGGGCGAGCGGCCGAGGGCGCACGCACCGCGGACGAGCCCGGTCCTTACCACTTCACGCCTGTCCACCTCGAACCAGCGGGAGATGCCGGGCAGGCTCTGCACCAAGAACAGCGACGTCCTCTCCACCCAGAGGCTCTGCGAGACACAAAACAGGTTAGGTCCCCGAGCTGCCCTTCCTTCTCGTTGCTGCGCTACGACTAACAGCTGCAACTCGCTCTCCTCAGGGCTCATTGCTGCCCGCTTGTCTCTGGTGGTCCCCGCAGCACGCGGGGAACGTGAGCCCCGGGCACTCACGGAGCCACCTCAGCAGGACGACGTGATGCCTCAGCGTCTGGGAGCAGCGCCACTGCGTGCCGCCTGCCACGCTCTTCTTTGTGGAAGAAACGCTCTCTTACGTCAAGAGCAACCTTATAAATGTAAACAGGGCTGTCGTGTCCTTTTCTTTGCTATTTCTCTGAGGTTCTAACTTAACCTCTCTTTATCCCTCAGGGTCCAGCTGTGTGTGTCTGGGAGGGGTGGCTGTGTCAGGGTGTGTCACAGCCTAAAGGGGAAAAGGGACTCTCCCCTCTGCTCGGGAATCCCGCCGGGCTGGGCCTGCTGTACAAAAAGACGCTCAGACCCAAAGAGGCCACGCTGGCCCCCGAACTGCCGACTCCTCCCAGCTCTGCCCGGGGAGAGTGGTCCCTGGGCTGCTCTGGGCTGCTGTCCTGGGGCGGGTCGAGGTTGCAGACCTGGCTCCCTCAGGCCAGGCCCGGTAGCCCCAGGACACGTGGGACCACGGTGGCCTTCGGTGAGAACTGATGTACCCAGGCCTCCTTCTTCTTATTTAACCACAGGCCATTCCTGGGAGGATAATAAACTGTGTAACATTCCCAAAATAGTGCCATTTCTTCACAAAAAAAAAAAAAAAAGAAAAGAAAAGAAAAAGAAAGAAAGAAAGAAGGCAGGCCTTCCGTGAGCCAGCCGAGTGCTGGAATGAGCAGGGCAGGGTCCCATGACGGGAGCTGGCTGTGCCAGCGGTGACAGGGAGTCGGCCGACACGCGTGGCTCAGGGCACTGAGAGGAAAAGGAGGCGGCAGGCACAGGCGGAGGGCCTCCTCAAAGGAGGTGACAGCCAGGAGTCTGCCAGGCGGGGGGAGGGGAGGGGCAGCAGGCTAGGAGACAGGCTGGGAAGAGGCACGGGAGACCCGCAGGGAGGGGTGGGGGCGGGGGGAGGGCGTGGGGGGGGGTGCTGCGGGGAGGAAAATGTAAGCATCCAAAAAAACCCAGAAAGTAATTACAGGTCTCTTCAGTAACACCCCAGGTTCCTTTCTCCATCGGCCTCCCAGCCTTGATTTTTAACTCGCAGACTCCCCCGGCCCCGAGGGCTGGCCTTTGCCTGGTGCCATCGGACACTGCAAGACCCGCCCAGCCACCCTTTCCTGTCGCTTGGCTGTGATGACTCCCGGGTTCTTGCTCAGAGCACGGGGAACGCACGCTTGGGCAGGGGTGACTCAACGAGAGACAATCACTCTGAGAGTGTGAGGTTACAGCTCAAGCACAGACTCTCCCGGACGGAAGAAGTTAGGCCAGAGAGCCCACGGGGATAAATCGGTGTTGCGTTCTTTGTTTAGAGGGGAGGAAACAGACCTGGGGACCTGTCTGGTCTTACCACGCCCCTGTTGTCAAGACTATGAAAGAGCAGATGATAATTTATCTCGGCAACAACCTTGCCCCTTGACCCCCAGCGAGGCTGTGAGGGGTCACGGCCCTTCCTGGCCGAGCGAGCTCTGAATTTGCAGGCATGTTGGAACTTTGAGAACAGAGAACGCAACACATGCCAAGGGCCTGTGGGCTGCTGTTCGTCTGGGCCCTCTCAGAAATCCTAATTCCACGCTGTTCTGACAAGAAAAAGCAGCAGGAGGCAGCATGGGGTTTCCCTCCTGCACGAGCAGTCCGCCCGCTGTGCCGTGCCCAGAGGCCTCTCGGTTAAGCCCCCTTTACTTGTCGCCCTGGACTGCGCCTGAGAAGAGACGTCCTGAGCCTCCCGCAGTTGGCTCACTGCGAACGAGTACGAGGACCGAGCTCAACCAGGAGGCCTCAGAGACTGAGGCCCAGGGGCAGGAGGGCTGTTGCAGGAAGCTGTCAGGACTCTCTCTCAGACGCACTGAGCTGGGATTCCTGGCCGGGGAACCAGAAATCATCTCGGTTAGAAAGCACCCCGTGTCGCTCCGGTGCCCAGTAGAGCTTGACAGCCACCAGACTCAGTGACCTCTGGCCCCTCCGGCTCTCTCGCCTGACTTTATTCGGAGTCAACAGGCACCAAAGGCCTGAGTCCAGGGAGCTCCCAGACCAGAAGGAGAACAGGGCGGAGGTACCTTGAACTCGTTCTCTTTGTCTTTGGTGCCTCTGTGAAATGGCCGGTCATAGCGGAACTTCCAGATGTGATTCACTCGGTAGAAGCTTTTGATGTTGTCCGGAACGCCCTCTCTCTGCAGCACCTCCTGGCTCTCCGGGATCGGGGTCACGGCATAGATCTGCAGGTCTGGGAGGGAGGGGTCAAGGAGGAAACCGCACCAAGTCTGGCTGGAGCTGAGCTGTGTGTGGCAGAGAGAAGGGGCTGGGTAACAACCTGGCCCTCAGTCCTCTCTGGCTCGAATGAAGTAACTCAACACATTCCCCAGAAAGTGCCTAGGACTCCATTCGGACCCTTCACTTCTCCAATGACAGCTCTGAATTAGTTTTAGGGAGGTGATTCTAAAAACCTATCAGTTTAAAATTTCTCTGACCCATGAATTTATCACTGATGTTCTGAGGAGAGGGGGGTGGGTGGGAATGGTTTGGATCATAGGTACTCAGGGTTGGATGAATTCTAACCCCTGTATCTTCAGTCGTTGTAGGAGATGTGTTTGTCCTTGGTCCGTGCATGGCCCTTTTCTCATTCATTTGTTTAATAACGTATCAGCACCCATGCGACCACGACCAAGGAGCTAAGCCAGCCTGGCGGGGGACTCGCCTTTACCTGCGCGAGGCTCCATGCTGCAGCCTTCCCGTGTCTGCGCTCCCCACCCTGCCCAATCTTGTACCGGGAAGCAGAGGTTTAGTTGCAGCTGATACTTTAAAAATTACAGATAGTATAACTGTGTTAACCTCCTCTTCTCATTCAGAGGCTAGCAAAGTAGTTTTCTCCATGTACAACAATTACTTGCTTCTGTTGTGTTTTAAGCTCTACTTTGAAATGGTATCCATAATAATCAGGGGGACTTTCGGGTGTTCTTTAAGATCCACCGTTTCAGGAAGAGACGGAGGGATTCAGAAACTCATGGTGGGGTGAACTCCCTCTGTCTCTAACGCCTTTGTAATTTCAGTTGAATTGTTCCTTTTTGGACCACAAACATGGGAGGGTCAATTATAGAGCAATCATACAAGGCTGTCCAGGAGGCTGTGGCCAAGAGCCCCCGAAGACACCGGGGGACCTCTTTTTCTTCCTCTTTCCAGAATAAAAATATCAAGGGTTAACAGGGTGAATGATACGATCCAGTAAACGTAAGGCTATGATTTCCCTGAATTAAAGCCATTTCCATAGGGTATGTCAGAAGAAAATTATTCTAAGGGAAATCTCTAGAGAGCTTTCGAAGCAGAACTAAAGACACAGAAAAGTTTTAATTAAAAGGGAAAAAATTAAATGGAATCTTCGAGAGATTTCTTTTCAACTGACATCATGATCGTAAATAGAACACGTGAGCTGAGAAGGAGCAGAGCTCAAATAAGCTGAGGGGAAAGAGGGAGAAAGAGAGCCTGGCACCCGCCGGGCCCCCGGCCGGAGGAGCCGGCCGGGACGCGCCCCGCCCGGCGGGCCAGGCGCCTGCGGGGGCGCCGGGGGCGGATACACTGGGCCTCGGCCTGGGAGATGGTCTCGTCGGGCTGGTTGGCGTGCTGCATGGCGATGGCGTGCGGGAACTCGGTCAGCATCCGCTGCTGGAAGGCCTCCAGCCGCTCGTAGTCGTGGCCCCGGCACACGAACTCCTTGTTCTGCGGGCGAGGAAAGAACCAGCAGGCTGGACGGACACACAGAATGGAAACCAGCCCACGGATACGGAAGACAGACTGAGGGCTGTCGGGGGGGGGGGGGGGGGTACGAGGGGACCACGAGGGAGCTGGGTGAGTAAAGTGCAGAAATGAAGCAAAAATGAATAAAACCCTCACAGGCACGGACACCATTCTGGTGGTGATCAAAGGGGAAGAGGGGTGGGGGGGCAGGAGAGGGCGAAGGGGGACAAGTGGTGAGGGACGGAGACTTGACTCGGGGTGGCGAACACGCAATGCAGATGTGTTCTAGACTTATACACCTGAACCTACATACTTTTATTAACCCATGACACCCCCCAAAATTCGATAAAGGTAACCACCACCAGGACTCTGTAACCGAGCACACTGACTACGGAGAGAAACCCAAGGCTCCGGCGCCGGCAGTGAGCGGCCCGTGGCGCCCAACCGTCGGACCCTCGGGAAACCGCGCCGGAGCGGCAGAAATGCGGGGCAAAGGCCGCGGAGGCGTGGCTCTCGGGGGCTTCCGCTAACACCCGGCGCAGGGCTCACGCACGCTCCCCGGCTCCCCCCGCCCCACGAAGACGCCGAGAGGATCCTGGCTTCTCAGGACGAAGGAGTCGTGCCCCCACCCCACGCTCACCAGCGCGGGGGTTAAAGATCAGTTTTACACACCAGGCTCAAGCTTCTGGGGAGACGCTCACAATGCGGAGGGGAAGAAAGGGGCACCCTCTCTAAAGGCGCATCTCCCGGCACCCTCTCTGGGCAGGCGCAGAGCTCAGCGTGCCCGCTTCCTGCGGCAGATCCTTCCGCCGAAGGTCAGGCTGAGCCTGGCCGAATTCTCGCTCCCAGTGGCGCCGCTCAGGTTTAGGTTGCCCAGGGGCTTGCTAAATGCTGGACATCTTTTTGCTGTTTCCTGCTTTGTGTTACAATTGCCATGTCTCCTGTGGGCCAGGGCTGTCTAGCACCCGGTAAGAATGGGGAAGGTCGTGCGTGAGGCAGACTAGACAGCTGGGAGGATGGGCAGGTTTAGATAGGAGGGCACCCTGAGAGCTGAATGATAACGCCCTTATCACTGCTGAGCACAGTCCCCGACCGGGCACTCGGCCCAGATCTCATTTAACCCAAGAAAGGAAACGCGTACGTAGGGGGGAATCTAAATAACTCTGGGCGAGCGCAGAGAAGCGACTCTCCCTCCTGCCCTTGCTCTCAGTCACTCTCCCCAGAGAAGTCATCCTTCAGCGACCGCACACACAGGTAACACAGTGCCAGGGAAGACCCCATTTTCCACGAGAGCGAAAAACAAAAAAACACACACAAACAAAAAACTCATCCTACCGTGCATCAATTTATCTGAGCTTTAAAAGTTATCTTGATATGGATCAAACAATGAGAGGAAAATTTAATGTTGATAGTTGTCTTGAAATGGAGTTAACAGACCGGAATCTAGCCCTGTGATTCCAAAGGGTGCAGTGCCCTTTACAACCAATAGAGGGCGACCCTTCTCTTCCATTTTGAAAGAAAGGACATTTATATCCAGAAAAGCTGTTCTTAAAAGTCTGATGATGTAGAGAGATTGGTTCATTCTAATGGTCTTTTTTAACAAAATTTTTTTATTCAATGCTAAATTCCCTTTAAAATTATGGCTCTTCAACGACTTGATGGCTTTTTTTTTAACTTTGTGCTTTTAATGAACATTAATTGCATAGACGAGGTAGATGTCTAGGATACCTTACTGAACACTTGCTAGCTTAACTTAGAACTTGATCAGAGCAAATTATGACTTCTGAGCCCCTTCTTCCACACAGATGTTAAAGATCATATTGTATGGCTGCTTTGGTATACAGACAAACCTGCATATATCAACAGTAACTGATGTATAACACAATAGAATATGTAACAACTCTTTAAACCTCAAAGTCCACTTCTTCTGATTTTTTAAAAGAAATTAAAACAGATGTGTGGGCCATCTAAAGACACTACGGTCTCTAACCACTACCTACCGTGCATAAGGGACCGGTGAGCCCTGAGTATAACATGGAAGAAAACGTCATCTTTTACTGTGCCTGACCCGGAGCCCACAGGAAGCGGGTCTGCTGTAGCAGGGTCACGCGTGAACCCTCCGAGGGGTCTCCTCCAGGGCCTCGGGCCCCGTGCCGCCCTTCGCTCTCGAGTGCCCGCCCCCTCGCGGGCCGGGTCCGGCCCGGTGCGCTGTGCGGGGGCTGCTGACGACAGCCCAGGCCCGCAGGCCAACCCGCTCTCAAAGCCCCGTCCTCCCCATCCAGCAGTCGGCCGTCGTTTCTGATCCAGAATCCGGCTCTCCCCCATCCTGAGGCCGGCCCGTCTTCAGGGTTAGCTTTGTGACCTTCCCAGCGCTGCCCCTCAACCCAGCAAGGGGTTTTACCTGCGTCCGTGTGGCACCTAAATACACAGTCACTGCAGTCAGTGAAAGACAGGGCCAGTCTGTCATCTGATGTGTAGTCCATGTGCTAGTAAAATGAATCTGTGGCTGTGGTGTTTGGGTATTTTAGAATATGTATAATATACACTTGCCTGAACCAGAAAGAAAAAAAGAAAACATTTGGTTCAGCGACATTCAGCATTCAGCTCTGTGAGCTCCTGGGCACTAAGGCCTTTCCCTGGGGGAGGCTGACGATTGTTCACTGAGTGAGTGGTCACTCAATTAAGCCAACTTTCTCCTCCCCTCTCCTTCAAGCGCCCTGACCTGCGTCCACTCCTCCGTGCTGACAGGCAGAGCGAGACTTGGGGGCGCACAGATACCACAATATTTGTAGTGTACGTTGAGATCTAAAGTGTCATGACATCACTCAATTTAAAAAATCATCCCAGGCGTGTCTCCTTAGTTGCTTGGGGAGGTACAGTTCCTCTCCCAACCAAAGTTTTTATAGAAGAAAGATGCTACATATTGAAGTGTTTAGCAAGCATCGAGCATACAAGGCACTACCTGGCATAGCGTGAAAAGCGGAAAGCACAGAGTGAAGTGTTTTATTATCCAGTAGGTACCTTGGAGCATCTGGAAACTTTTGTAGAGTTTATACCAGCACTAAGTGGGTATAAATAAATGTCACCCCCTGCTGCGTGACATTTACCTTGTCACAAAGTCACCAAGTGGCCACACAATGCTCTTCCCCTGGTTCTGGAGGCAGGTCTCCACGCGATGTGAAATCGCCACACTGTCAAAGGTGCGGAGGCCGCCACCCACGCCCGGCCCGCCCTTTGGTCGGGCACTAACTCAGAAGACGGCAGAATGAACTGAAGAGTGAACGTCAGTCACGCGAGGGAAACGACTCTAATTACCCAGGGCCGCTCGCCCACACAGCCAACTTCAAAACTTAGGAAGCAAAAGCAAAAGAGTGTTGGTTTTCTTGGGAAGTTACTCAGAACAAGGCCTTCTAGATGAGTGTGGGGCGTGCAAACTAAACAGAAGAACATCTCATGCCGTTCTCAAGTCTGAAAGGATCAAAGGCCACGAACATCTACGCTGTTTGGACTGGGGTATCTATCCTGGAAGTGTGAAAGCAAATTAAATAGCATGCTACTTACTCTTAAGAAAAACGGAAATTTTTTCCCATAAAATCCAACCCTGAAGAACTCCGGTTCGAGCCGTTGCTGGTCCATAATTTTGTCGTACAAAGAGGCCTCCATCATCTGCAAAGGACGGGAGACAGTCTGTTCAGGTCTCACTCTCAGCTAAGAACTGATAGGAGAGGGTGTTTTGTCTCAAGAAAGAGAATCTCGTTCGAGCTCTTAGGCTGCTTGCGGACCCTGGCTTGAAAGGGTCAAGTGTATTGTTACGTGTTCTTGCCGGAGGAAAGGATTCCCATGCACACTGTCTATGGGGGAAATATTTTCCTCCCAATGAGATACACATCAGCATGAACTGTGAGAGGCCAGCTTTTCTGCAGAGTTCTCACGCCAGGTGCACTCACCTGTGGGTCTGCTTGTCCTCGGACCGGGTCATTCAGGGCACTGGGCAGGCGCACACTGGCTCGGGACGGACAGGGACAAACTGACCGCCCCAACCGGAGGCAGCCCCCAGCGCCGAGCACTGTCTGGGCAGGACCTCGGCAGCCTGTCTTTGACGATGGTGACCTTTAAATCACCTGAAGCTTACGGCTCCCTCTGCTGGCATTATTGTCCCCAAGGGTTCCAGACAAAGACTCCTACTGTACCTGAAATCTCCTCCTGCCCCTACCCCAGGCACCGCACCTGGAAGAGCGGTTGGCCTGAGGCGCGATGCTTTAGGTTTATAAAAACCTTAGTGTCAATGGCACCCATGGGCTTTCCCCGGGAAGCACTGTCGTCCCCATGCCAAGAGAAACGAGTCGGTTTCATGGGAAACTGCAGGGTCTGTCAGAGCCAGCGCGATGGGCGGGGGTTTAAACAGGGTGGGATCTGGCTGGTTTCCATGTTGGGAGAGACATCAGTGCCCCGCTGACGTGAAATACTACACGAGTGAACCAGGTCAGCTCCCGCCGGCTGAGTGAGTTACCGCGGCTGAGGCCGGGGGCGAGGCGGGCGGCATTACACGGGGTGTTACAGGGTTAGGGTATCACCTCTTCAACCGCGACCGCGGACTTACAAGGCAGCAGCATCTCCTCTGTCCTTTGTAGGTAAAATAAATGCTGATATCTATACATTTCCAGTATAGATATCAGCGTTTACATGATCCTATCTGAGAAACCCGGAAGAACCTAAGGACGATGAGATGACACATGCTCACGACTCTAAAGAGCAAGGGCTCGGGGCCGGAGGGACTGGGCTGAGCCGCAGAGAAGGGGAGAAGGAAACTTCGCATCCCAGACGCAGGGCATTAACCTGGAGCTCTTTGGGTGGGCCCCGGTTCAGGTTTAGCCAATGCAAACGCATTTCTGAAGCTAAAGAGAGGCGGCAGCTGTAGAATTCATCCCCCAGACATTTAAAGACCGGTCAGCTAGCCGTTTCTGCTATCTTGCTGCACAGACTATGGGAGTAAGAATGACATATTGTTACACAGGTTTGCGTCCCAGCGGGAAGCTCTTCCAATGGTAGGGATTTTCCTCAATAAACTAAAAGCATTAACCCAGGTTTCAGTTGTGTATTTCTGATGTGATATTTAGCCTAGACCAGCAATTTTCAACCTGTGCGCTGCAAGAATGTTTAAAACATGCAATGCCTGACCATTTAGTCAGGGGCACTGACCTTGCTTCCCAAAGATTGTCAAAAAAAAAAAAAAAAAAAAAGACAGCAGCCGACACAACAATAGCCATCCACTGTGAATGAATCAAAATTACATCTATTTTTTTGGTCAGGTCATCAAAAACTTTTTGGTGAGCTGCCAAATTTTAGCAAAGAGTTCATGTATGCCAGTCGATGAGAAGGTTGAAAACCACCAACCCAGATGAAGGGCTCGCTTTTTGAATCCTCATCGAACGCACCACGCAGCGCGCTTTGTTACTTCTGGGTGCACGGGCTGAGCAGGCTCCGAGGAGCCTCCTCTTCAGAGAGCTTCCGGCAGGGCCCGCCCAGAGGCCGCGGGCCCACTCCCCACGGGATGCCCCCTGCCCAGGAGGCTGGCACGACAGTCCGCGGCCTTACCCGCATCTTGCTCAGGTTCCTGTAGTCGTAGAAGCTCTCGTACTGCTCCGCAATCTTCCGGCAGAGGATGATGCCGTTCTCCCAGCACTGCGGGCCCGGGAACAAGAGTTAGCGGTCGCACCACGGTCCACGCTCCCGCCCAGAGGTCGGACAGGGCGGCTGTCCACTCACACACGAGCCTCCCTTCCTCATCCCCACGACCTGCCCCGAAGGGGCTCCCTGCCGCGTTAAGCATGAAGACGGCATGCAATCAACGCGGACGTTACTGAAAGTCTTCAGGAAGCTGGGAATGATGATCTGCCCCCACACAGGGCGCAGAAACAACCCTCTCTGGCTTCATTTCAGTCGTCGTCTCGAATAAACAGGCATCTGTGCTGAGTGGGAACTGCCTGCCGTTGCCCCTACGGCCCGATTGTCCGCCCCAGCTGCCTGGGCCCTGCTGGGCTCCACTGCGCCTGCGGGTTGCGAGGGGCTCGCCCAGCTGCCTCTGAGGAGAAGCGCACCATGTCTTCCATGCAGCCCACGTGTCAGCACATGTCTGGGGAGGGCCGGTCAGTGCGTGAGCCTTGTGGGCCACACAGCCGGAGTCGCAACGACTCAGCGGGGGCGTGGAAGCAGCCACAGGCGAGAACGGGCTGCGCTGTGCCCCAGGCCAACTGCCATCTACAGGCACGGAATGTGAGTTTCCTATCACTTCCACACGTCAGATATTCCTCGTCTGATTTCTCTCCACCATTTAAAAATGTGAAAGCCAGTCTTAGGCTGTGGGCCGCTCGGAAGCAGGCGGTGGGCTGTCGGGTCCCTGGGTCGTAGTTTGTGGCCCCTGACTTGGCACAGAGCCCTGGGGGTGGCCGACGTGGGGGCACACGGGGACACTTCCTCACTCCTAATGGGACCAGGGTGGCTAAACAGGAAAGCAGGAGGGGAAAGAAGCCACCCCGCATCAGTTTTTTTTGGTGTACCAACTAGGTCCTGGTTCTATTTTAATTTTCTTTTTAATGTTATTCATTGGGATGATACATTTTCCTCTAAGACATGGGTCATCCAAACGCCCAACTGTTCAAATCAAATCAACAACTGTGATCAGACTTGCTTTTCTCCAAAGGCCAGGGCAGGGGGGTGGGGGTGGCAGGGGAGGTGGGGAGCCGAACTGCACAGCAAGGTCCGAGGGTTTGCTGCACCCGCCGCGCGGGTTCTTCAAACGCACGCCTGTCGGCCCCTCCCCTCGCAGAGCGGACCGGGTGGCACCCACGCCAGTTTGGGGAGGCGAGCGAGAGCCGAGAATAAAACGCCCGCATGCCAACACCTCTCGGTTGGGGCCTCTCAAGGTGGGGCCCTGGGCTGGCCTCACTAGAACCTGCCAGCGTCCTCGCGAGAGCCGCAGGGTCCCCACCCGCCCCACGTGGGCCTCCTGGATCGCAGTGTCCAGGGTGGGGCTGGGGAATCTGCGTTTTGACAGACACTGGGGTGTTCTTGATGCATGTCAACGTCTGAAGGCCCCGCGGGGCGGGGGCTCCGCGGCGCTCACCTTGCCCCTGTCGAAGTTCTGGATGATGGCCAGGTGCAGCTGCTCCTTGCGCTGCCACTCGGTCTGCATGGGGTAGCTGAGGAACTCGCGCAGCGGCCGGTCCGACCACTCCAGCAGCTCGTCGTACAGCAGGAGGGTGTACGCGGCCTCTGCAAGTCAAGGGGGGGCCTCGGTCTGCACGGGCCCACACGGCCACCCCTGCGGCGGGGCCGCTTCGCGACAACCAAGAGCCAACTGTGTTCTGCACTTCACGAAGCTGAAGCCGGACGCCCAAATTTTCGCGACAGCACGTGAACGAGTGATGACCTCCCGGGAGGACGGGGCCTCAGGGGTTTGCATCTATCTGATCGTCTGGCTCCCTGCACTCATTCATTCATTCATTCAGTCTCTCTCCTTCCTTCCTTCCTTTCTTTTTTCTGTGCTACTGTCCTCATAAAAATGCTGAAGGACGTGTGTGGCAGAGAGACACGCCTTTGTCTGCCAAGGAGGTTCACCGGTGGGCGCCCTGAGGCACGACTACCGGCACCTTCCAAAGGGCGCACGTAGGAAACCGGAAGTGGTAGCTAAACTCTCCTGGAGAGTCAGAGGCTGAAAGACTGGGAAGTGGCATTGGGGGGAGTCAGGGGACAGGCAGGGTATAGGAGGGGCAGAGGGGCCAGAGAGCAGCGGAGGGCAGAAGAGAAAGAAAAATACTCTAGGAATAAACGAGGAGTTAGGAAGCACAGACATGCTCAGTGAGGAGCGTGCGTGCGTGTGAGAACAAATTGTTGTGGGCTGTGTGACGGGACACCCTGGTGGCCCCACCCATCTTCAGTGATGGCCGCTGGAGTTGTCGCCTCCCTGCTGTGACCGGGATTTCTTGGAGAGACAGGTAAAGGGGCGGCTTTCCATACACACACGTGGCAATGGCCACCATACGCTTAAGCCGATCGGCAGACGGGTGGCGTACTTAGCGCGTGCCATTCCACAGGCTTCCTCTGCCCCTGAGCGTAAGTACAGCCAAGCAGGTCAAGAAAAGGAACCAGAACTCACTGTCATTGATGAAGAACTGTAACCATTTCCCCTCCAACACTGTGACAGCCAACTCACACACTAAACTGAACACGAGGGACAGACCCGGTGTCACTAACCCATCTGACTTCTGCCCCAGCCGCCTCTCCCTCGCAGCCCCCCACACAGACTCAGGCCTTTCTCCTCTTTAATTGCCCAAGGCGAGCTCCGTCGCCAGCCTTCACAGCCCCCGCCGCCCGCCCACTGTTACCAGGATGGCCTTCTTTCAGGGCAAGTATCGGTTTTGCCCCAGATTAAAACTAGCCCGGGAAGCTCGGCAGCTCACAGAACGAATCCGGCTTCCTAACGGGACGGAGAAGGGTGGCTACAGCCTGGCCCCCACCGACCGCCCCGCTCCCGCTCCCCATGGTCCCTCCACAGAGGACAGGTAAGAGGGAGGCACTGCTGCCTCTTCTAAGAAGCTGCCAGCCCCCGAGTGGAGCCCCTGGCCTGTCAGCAGCTCTGTGGACAAAGCCGATGGAGGCAGCTGGGAACACAGAGCTGCTCCACAGGGACAAGGGTGCCTTCTGTCGCACGGGCACTGGCCGACCTTGTCCTCCAGGCGGACAGAGTCTACTGAAGGGCGCTGGCTGACCGGTGGACGCAGAGCAGGGCGAACGCCCACCACGTGGGGGTGGCCCGGAAGATGCCGCGGCCGGGGCAGGGCCGGGGCGGGAGCCCGGGCACGAGATCCGGGCTTTGTTTTCGGCAGCGCACCAGCTTCTCTGTGGCCGCTGGAGGCGGTCTCTGGGTCTGTAGTTCCCCATCTATCCTTCTAATCAGCGCCAAGCACCTAAGAAAACCCCAAGTGTGCCTTCGCTGCTCCGGCCACACTCGCTTCCCCCGTCGGAACCGACCGCGGGTCCCTCACACGGCACGCGGACTCGCCCACGGGCCTCCCCGGGGACCCGCCCCCTTGGCTGTGAGGGACTCCTCCTTTCCCTTAATGAAGCAGCCCAGGAATCACCATTGTTCCCTCTCAACTTTCTTTTGTGCATATATTCTTCCAAAGCAGTGTTTTGGGTTTCTTCAGCTATAAACCCAGAAGTAGAACTGCTGGGTCATAAGGCAGCTCCAGTTTTAATTCTTTTGGGGAACCTCCATGCTATGTTCATTGTAGCATTATTTGCAATAGCCAAGATAGGGAGGCAGCCCAAGGGCCCATCGATAGACAAATAGCTATAAAAGTTGCGGTACTTTTTATCCAATGGAATATTACTTGGCCATGAAAAAGAACAACACCTTCCCATTTGTTACAGCATGGATGCACCTAAAGAGTATTATGCTCAGTGAAATAAGTCAGGCAGAGAAAGACAAGTACCATATGCTCTCAATTATAAGTAGACTCTAAAGAACAAAATATCTGAGCAAATGAAACAGAAACAGACTCATCATTGCCAGAGGGAAGGGAGGTGAGGAATTAGGTAAGAAAGGTAAAGGGACTGAGAAGTGCAGACTGGTAGTTACAAACTAGTCATGGGGAGGGGAAGTACAGCCTGGGGCCTACAGTCAACAACACTGTACTGACTATGGATGGGGCCAGACAGGGACTGGAAACACCAGGGGGCGCACTTTGCAAAGTATGTGCTGATCTAAACACTTGGTTGTGCACCTGAAACTTAAGACAGAATAGTAGCAACCAAAAAATTAAATAAATGCACAAAAAAATTTTGGGGTCCTCCCCACCCCTGCGCCTGGGCACTCAGAAGACACCCTGGAGACCGGCCATTTTCCATGAAAAGGGGTCGGAAGCCAGAGGGCAGCCTTTCTGCAGCAGAAGCCCCGGATGGTCCAGGGGACAGTTGGAAGGTCAAGTGTGAGTTGCCCCCAGAAAAGTGTGGGGAGCAAGTAGCCCCAAGCAGGTCACCAGAGGAAGCTGACCAATGGCTTGGGGCGGGGGGTGACACAGGGAGGGTGCAAAGGCAAATCACACTGGGATAAGAATTTAACTTGGCAAAATGACAATGGGTATCTGAGGGAAAACAGTGTTGCAAAAAAAACAAAATTTTTCGTTAACTGAAATGTGTATGCCTTTGAGGCATGAACAACAAAGACGACGGAGGATGAGTTTGAACTTACTAGCAAGTTGTAGATGTTTTACTGTAATATGTTGTATGCTTTTTCTGTCTCTTTAGAAGATGATATTATGTATTGAAGAGGGAAAAATGAATCACATCCAGAATTTCGGACAGATACTCTTTTATAAGTATTTCCAGTTTTGAGCAGAAGGCATTGCCGCATTGTATGGGCCGTCTCACCCCATCATTTTGAGATGGGTACAGCGAGGCCCCCGATAAGACAAGAGAAGCAATAATGCAGGAGAAGAGTGAAGGTGAGTTAGGAATGAAGACCCTATCATAAAAGGCCGCCACGGGTTGTGCCATTTAAACAAAATCCTATTAAAGACACAGAAGTTTTTCCACCAATTTCACTTCCTCCAAGGACACACAGAAATGAGAACAGAAGATGAATAAAATGTCATATGGGAAAAGGGCTTACTTCTTATGACTTTGGGGAACATAAAAACTGCAAACAAATGAAAGAAAAAAGGTTTCCCAAATATAATGGGACAGATTTGGACCTTGTTTTCGGGAACCAAAATAGAGCTGTCGCATATCTGGAAGAGCCTGTCCTCAGTTACTTCCCTCATTTCTTTCTTTCTTTTTTTTAATGGACTTTAAATAAAACAAGCCTGCCAGATTTCTCCACAGATATAAAAGTAGGTTCAGGGGCAAAAGGGGAAAACTGGGACAACTGTAGTAACATAAACAATTAAATTTTTTTTTAGAAAGTTAAAAAAATAGGTTCACTATTTCTCTCAAAATTTGTCTATTAACTACTTAAAAATGACCATTAAATGCTCAGGCAATAGAATCAGCTCAAAAACCTCAGTCTATATAATCAAAACTATGAGCACATCTGTCTAGAGAGACACTGAGGCCTCCGTAGCGATCAAGGAATCACCAGTATTGAAAGAGAAAAACCTGCTCTCCAAGAGTTACAATTTAACTGAGCGTATTCATTAGCAATGCATTTATTTAAGTCTCATATTGCTGGGCACTATTCTAAGAAGAGAGAAAACAAAGGAGAAGAATGTATCATCTCTTATCCTCAAGGAATTCACCCCTGAACTGGAGATAAAGCTACTGTCCTGCCCATCTACCCACCCACCCACCCACCCACGCGCATGCACATACAAACCTCATATAACTATTAATAAAAACAATGTGAGGCTTTAACTGAAATCTGAAAAATGGCCATAGGAAAAGACATGGAAACATCCGCCCAGCTCATGAAAAACAGGCAGTGAGAGGGCGGGAAGGAAGAGGCTCCGGGAAGGCGCAGACCCACGGAACCAGGCTCAGGGCTGGCCCTGCGGGCAGACGAAGGACGCGGCAGGAGGGGCCGGGCCAGGCTGGACGGACGGGCGCTGGTTCCGTCACCGTCACGGCAGCCGTGAACGGGGGCTGGAGCTCTGTTTTGCAGAAGACACAAACGGGCAGCGCAATCTCCCGAGAGGCGAGGCTGGCAAAATGATCATACAGCCCAGACCGAGAATACTACAGGCTCGCAGGCCGTACGGTTGCCGCTGTAACCACTCGATTCTGCCGCCGTGGCACGCAAGCGGCTGCGGACAATAGAAATCTAAGTGGGTCTGGCTGGGTTCTATGAAAACATTCTTTCCGGAATTGGGCGCCTGGTCTGGCTGGTGGAAGGCAGTTGGCACGCTGTGGAGACTAATTTTGGTGACAGCTCAAAAGCGGTCCAGCTGAGAGATGAGAAAGGCTCACCCGAGGCAAGCAAGCAGGAACACGGAAAGGCAACGATTTTGCAAGATTTTAGGGAGCCACATCAATAGCGCTCCATGAACGACCACTTGAGGAAGGTTAAGAACAGAAATAGGCAGGAAGAGCTCAGGACCTCCCGACTGGGCAAAGAGAGCTGCTCTCGGTGCACAGAGGGCGATGCAGCCGGAGCCTCACCTGCGTTCTGGGCGCACGGGCACCACTGCGGAAAGGGCCCCCTCACTCTCAGAAAGGTGAGGGGGTGGCCGCAGCGCATGTGTTCCTCGGGAGAAGGTGTTCTTCGGGAGAAGAGTGTAACAGAAGAGCAAGATCTGCCGCCCCTTACTCCAGGTAAAGGGTTCTGGTTCTGGCGAGAGACAGTAAGCACATTCCACCCAATTTTTCCCACTGATTGCAATGCAAGAACCCTCAACAGAATATAGAAAGCATCCGCTGGGGGACTCAGAAATACTGGGTTGGCCAAAAAGTTCATTTAGTTTTCTGTACAGTGGCTCTAGGAGTGCTTAATAAAGCACTTAATAAAGTGCTTAATAAAGCTGTCTTTAACTTTATTTGAAACAATCTGTTAGACTATATTGTGACAATTGTCATATCACCATGCATTTAAAAAAGTATCAAAATTGGTGAGTTTTTATGCAGGCATTTTAATATTGAAGACGGAAGAAGATATGCAATTTTTTTGGTTTATTATGCTTTATTATTTCAAGAAAGGTAAAAAATACAACTGAAAAACAAAAAAAAGATTTGTGCAGTGTATGGAGAAGGTGCTGTGACTGAGCGAACGTGTCAAAAGTGGTTTGCCAAGTTTTTGGTCCTATTGACATTTTGGCCAAATAGTCCTTTGCTGCGGGCTGTCTTGTGCATTGGAAGATGTTCAGCAGCACCTTTGGCCTCTACCTACTAGAAGCCAATAGCATGAGGCAGCCGACATGCTCAAAATACCCAAATCAATAAAGTTATTGCTGAAAATGAAAAATGTGTCTTTTATTTTATGGAAAAAACATATGGACTTTTTGGCCAACCCAATAAATCAGAGTAGGAACATCAGTCTATGGATGGCCACAGAGTGGAGAGTTTCCTGTTTTCATGTTTGCCTCTCTTATCTTTGACTTCGACTACCCTGTCTCCTGGAAATGCGCGCGTGCGCGTGCGCACGCACACACGCGCACAACAGGAACAACAGAAAACAGTCCCAGCAAACCCCCGCCAGGCAGAGGACAGCAAAGCGGATCTTCTGTGGGGCGGGGCACACTGGATCTTCCAGGCTACCCTGTGTCCCAGGATCAAAACTGCAAACGAGCAGCGGGGCCAGTGGGGACAATCACAAATGGCAGCAGTGGCTTCCACAGGTTTTCCAGTGTCACAGCTTGGTCCCCCGAGAGACCGAACGGGGCGCACGACTGTGAGGAGAGAATCAAGCCTTGGCTTTGAGCATTTCGGCTTGGATCAAGGCAGGGCACGGGGAAAGACGCCCCTGTGAGAACTGAAGGGCGAGAAGACTGCAGACAGAAGGGAGCCGGGGAAAGGGCTGTTCACTTCTGGGGATGACGCCACAGGCCCACTCCCCAGCTGCCCACGGGTAGAACAGACCAGACTCAAAAAATGGCTTTGAGAAGTCACTGTGGTACAGATCTCTGCCCAGGTCCCAGGCTCCGCCTGGGAGACACTGTGCAGGAGCGGAGAGAATAGTACTGCAAAGGCTCTAAAAACTAAACCGATGTTAGGGCCCCAACCTGCAGAGGGTGGTTCAGCACTTGAAGTATGAGACAAACTGCACTGAGTGTTTGCTACAATTTGAAGAAAAAAAAAAGCCAATATTCTCCAGGAGATTTTTACAAAATCCAGTCTCATAATATTCAAAATGTCCAGGATACAGTTCCAAATTATTTGACAGTCAAAGAAACAGGAAAAATAAAGAAATCTCAAAGGGAAAGGCAATTAACAGATGCCAACTCCAAGATGATTCAGCTACAGGAATAACAGACAAACTGAAGCAGCTATTATGCGCATGTTCCATGGATTAAAAGTGAACACTTTGTTTTCTGCAAAGAAATGGAAGCTATGAGAGCCAAATGAAAATTTTAGAACAGAATAATATAACAGCAAAGATTAAAATTTCACTGGAAGACTCAACAGCTCAATGGCACTAACAGAGGACAGTCAATGGCCTTGAAACCAGATCAACAGAAACCATCCAATCTGTCTGAAAGACCAAAAAAACAGAAACTGAAAAAAAAACAAAAACCAAACAGAGTCCCAGAAACTTATGGAACAACACCAAAAGGCCTAACATTCATGTCACTGGAGTCCCAAAAGAGAGGAGAAAGATTGGTGCAGAAAATGTATTTGAGTAAACAGTCCCTGAAAACTTCCCAAACTTAGTGAAGGAAATAAGTTTATCGATTCAAGGAGTTCGGCACACCCAAAGAGGACATACTTAAAGCCATGCCCATCCAAGGCGTAATCAAACTGCTGAAAACCGAAGATAAAATCTTGAAAAAAACAGATTGCAGGTTACATTCAGGGAAACAATTTAAATGACAGCAGATCTCACATCAGAGACCATGGAGGCCAGAAGAGAATGGAACATTTTCTGAAGTGCTGAGGCAAAAGAACAGTCCACCTAGAATTCTATATCCAGCAAACATACCCTGCAGGGGCGAAGGGAAAATAAAGACACTCTCCAGTGAAGCAAACTAAGGATTCTTCACCACTAAATCTGTTTTCAAAGAAACACTAAAACAAGTTGTTTAGGTTGAAGGAAAGTGGTAACAGAAAAATTGGGAACTTCATAAGTGAACAAAGTAGTAATGGTAAATAATATCTAAGTAAATATACTATTCTATTAATATTTCTATCCTTCTTTAAAAGAGGTATGATTGTTGAAATAAAAAATTATGACATTAACCGACAGGACTTCCAATGTTTGTAAATGTAATACATGTGACAGCTACCACACAATGTGGGGAGGACAAAGGGACCCTGCAGTTGTAAAGTTCCCACATTTAACCTGAGGTAGTAAAACACTAACTCTAGCCCTGGCTGGGGTGGCTCAGTGGATTGAATGCCAGCCTGCGAACCAAAAGGTCACTGGTTTGATTCCCAGGTAGGGCCCATGCCTGGGTCGTGGGCCACGTCCCCAGTAAGGGGTGCGTGAGAGGCAACCACACATTGATGTTTTTCTCCCTCTCTCCCTGCCTTCCCCTCTAAAAATAAATAAAATAAAAATAAAATATAAAATACTAACTCTAAGCAGGCTGTGAAAAGTTAGGGTTGCATTTTGTAACCCCAAAAGCAACCTCTAAAAAACTATGCAAAGAGAGATATAGTAAAATAGGCAATATATATATTAAAGTATAAAAAATAAATCCAATTAAAAATAAATTTCAATTTTTAAAAAAAATAGGTGGTTCTTTATCTAATACAGCGGTTGGAAACACTGAACAACAAAAGATGAATCAATCACATAAAAAATAAACCTCAGTTTTAAAGTAGAAATGCTTGAGTCCTCAGCCCTAATTCTAGAAAGCAGAGGAGGTATCATGGGGAACACATAGAGCCCACCCCCTCCCGCCCTGAGCCAGAAGACAGAATTACCTGTGAAGTTCTGAGCTTTGAGATGCAGATCATAGAGTTTGTGAATGTAGCGAATGTACATCTCTTCCTTGTTCAGTTCGGTCTTATAGAAGTTCTGGGGAAAAAAGTACAAGTGGATAATTCCTCAACAGTCAGGCCTGCAAATATCTTCCTTTTACTCTGCTGAAGTTTCATGAAAGAGAACTGATCTTTTTTTCATATAAATGTCTTTAAAAACATGAATTCAGGGGAACAATTTAAATGTTGTGTCTTTGACTCAACAAGGTCTGGGTTCCGTAGGGCCTAACAATCATGCGATGAGCCGGGAACTTTCTCAGGTGTTACTAACACTGATTAACATTTCTTTTGTAACTTTTTATCATTTTTTTTGTTAGTTTAACTGTCAATGGACAGTCAGCCTATAGTGAAATAGGTAACAGAGTAACCTGCTTATTACATTAATGATACTCAAAGGAGTTTCTGTCAAGATTCAAACACAGGTTTATTCTGAGAAAAGTCAGACAGACAGGTAAGGATGAATAAGGAACAACGGAAAAGCATCCCCCTCCCTCCCCGAAGAATCATGTGGAAGACAGGGGATGGAAAAGCTCTTCATTGTTAGGGTGTCATCTGGAATTTCTCACTTGAGCTGGCGTTTAAATATTTCTAGTTCATGTACAAATCATAAAAGGATTAATCACAACATACTTTGTTCCAAATTATTATTGTAGAGGCAAGCTTATTGAAAATATTCTATTTATTTATAAAGAAAAGGATCTTGCCCTTACTCAACTTCGCTAACACATTTTAAGGTCATCAAAACTCGCCTGGGACTGAACCTGCGCCCGTGGCCTCGGCACCAGCCTCTCGACTGTCACCAATCAGAAAGCACTGCGCCCCTCGCGGAACGCAGGACGCGGAGAGGCTAATGGGCACGAAGCCGGATTTCGGCAAGGGCTGGACGCTGCACGGCTGCGGAGGCGCTTTCCGGAGCCGAGCGTCAGGCACGAAATCCTGGGCACAGCACGGGGCTCCTACCATCCTCGCTGCTGCTGGTTTGACTTGTGCCGCTTGGTGGGAGGAAGAAGGGAAACGACGCGGGGGGCAGCGGAGGACCTGAGCGAGTGACCGGCTTTTCCAAGGGGGAAGGGCCGCGGACGCTGCAGTGCGTGGAGCGGATCAGTGAGAGCGGCTTTGGGAACGGGCTAACCCAGCCAATGCGGCTCCTTCGGCTGTGCTTGAGCTGGAAGAGGGAGGGCCGTCTGTCCAGGTCCTTCCTGGGGTCCTTTCCTCAGTAGGAGGACTTTTCCAACCTTGAGGCACTACCGTGTAATCGAATATAGGAGGGTGCCCCCTCCGATTTATACTATTATCCTCCCCTTTTTCCTCTTGTGTTCTGTAGATCTTGGCATTCTTTGAACAGCTAAGTAAATAATGCTATTCACAGCTCTCATTATAACCCAAATCATTTTAATTAGTAAGAATTGTTGTACCATAAACACAAATCTACCATTCCCACAGCAGGTTTTTACGTTATTAAAGGATGATTTGCTCTAATAGCTTCCTGGTAAGAAGCAGCCTTCTTTGAAAACAAAGGGATCCCTTCGTAAATGGACAATTCTTAAAAAGAGAGAGAGAGAGAGACCTCCCATCAGCGGATGAGAATATTTCATGTAGTCTGGGTGACTCAAAGGACAAACAGTAATTACACTTCCTAGCTTGAGTCATGTCAAAGATGGCGCCCTTTCACCAATTTAACACTGCACTTTAGCTCTGATGGCACAAAGCAAGCCAGGGTTCTCCCGAAGACCACCTGGAACCGATCTCAGGAGAGGGAGAGTCATCTCTGCGAGGAAGTGCGTGGCTGAAGAGACCACACTGCCGCGAGGAAACACCCAGAAACTGTCCCATGGGGTAGAGCTAGGAAGGTCAGCTTCGACTTCAAGGTTATACGTTTGCTCTTTTCATAAGAAGCATTCTTGTGCTAGCTGAAATTAGAACAGCTTTCCAAAGGGTAACATTTTCTATAAGGACTACTCTCCATAGCTGCAAAGCTAACTGGATACATTCTTTGTGGCCACAGGTTTTATTAAGCCTCTGGTTCCTTCCCACTGGGAGATGAGAACAAACAGATTTAAGGCTGCAAGTTAATTCCTCCATCTAAGGAAATGCTCGCCTGTGTTGTTCCAGTTGAAGCAATGAGCTTGGGGAAACAAGCCTGTACTTGTTCGCCTCCAAGCAGAGGCACCGAGAAAGAAGGGGGGCAACAGGGACGGACTCTTCTGGAAAAGGGGACAGGCCTTCCTTGGAGGGTATTCACGAGACTGCCTGGAGCCGGGTCGGCCGGGAGGGAGGAGATGGGCAGAGACAGCCGGAGGCAAACAGAGAGCCGGGCTCTCCTCCAGCGCGTGAGCAGGGAGCTCGGGCTAAGGGTGCTGACTGGGGGAGGCTGGCAAAAACCAAACAAACGAACACGCAAAAAGCCCTGAACCCCAGGGGAACACAGACAGGAGAGTCACAAGCGGGGATGAACTTAGTCACGTTCAGGGTCAGGTATGGGTGCGAAGAGGGCAGGGAGGCGGGCTGGCCCAGCGAGCGTGGCCCCACGGCCCGGAGGTTACGGCTGAGGCTGGTGGCCAGTCACGGGAGAAAGTGCCCGGCGAGGTGTGGCCCGGGGGAGGACACCGGGGTCTCGCTATTCTTAGAGACTGATGTCAGAGGCGGAGATGTAATAATCAAATCCTCAACAAGGAGGAAGAGGTGGGTGTGGGAAAAAACACGCCAGGGGCTCAGAGATGCAGACAGTGCAGGGGGGGATAAGTTAGGGACACACGGCCAGCACGAGAAGGCGACAGCTCTGAGCCTCGAGGACAGCGGAGTGGGGAGGGAACGAAGCCACGCGCAAGGCAACAGGACCGAAGCCAACGGAGGAGGCCAGGCAGAGTCAGGGCAGGGGCGGATGCCGGGAGAACTCAGGGCAGCAGCCAGCGTGAGGATAAGCACCCGGACAAGATGGTGACGTTTTGTTTACTCTGCAACACAAGGCTGCTATGCCCCCAAGCTCAGAAATGGAAACCGTCCGGTGGTTCTGTATTTCAGATCCGATTGCGGGAAATTACCAAAAGCACCCACTCACCCTCTGTGAGCACCGAAACGGAAGGGATAGTAAGGCCAGGCATGGTTTGCCCCACGGTGAGAATGCCACTCGATTTAAGTTGTCATGAGACACTTTAACATAAACGTGGTTTTCCCAGGACAGTTCCGGGTTAGCCTGTCAACCTTACATAACATTTCATTTGACTCTCAAAAATGTCCTGTTTGGGTAGTAAATTATATGATCATCCTCCTTATACTCCTTAACTAGTACTGGTACTATAGGGTTAATGAGCAAGGAAGCTCAAGAGTGAAAATTAGTGCGTTTAACAGACAGCTGTCATTTGGTCCCAAAAGAAGAGGTCACTACTATTTATTAAAGAAGGGAGGAAAGTACAGAGTCCTCCACGGGGACACCGTGCCCTTCCCGAGAGCAGCGGAGGCTCTGGGAGGAGGGGGCCCCGCCACAGGAGCGCAGGGCGCCCGCGGGGCCTCCGGGTCCCCGAGGGCTGAGGGGCGCGGTGATGCTCTGGAGGATCGTTTTCTGGGATTTAATTCAACCTGCAGCTCACGGGGCCTCTTTCAGACCTACTTGTAAACTCCTCTAAGAAACGTCCAGATACAAACACGCTGTGGATTGAAACCACACAAAACATAGTAGTTCTGTAACACAAAACAAAAGAACCCCCCAGGTGAGGCTAGCGGGGGCAGGGGAGCGGGTTACTAACCAGGAGGCTGACCGTGCAGCCGATCTTCTTGCCGTCCACCTCCCCCATTTTCATGCAGTCCCTGGAACGAAAAGCGACGGTCAGAACGCGGAACCTCTTCCCTGGGGCACACAGAGGGGGCGCTTGCAGGGAAATGAGAGGCGAGTGGCTGTTCAGGCAAAGGTGCGGTGGCCGGAGGGACTCCCCAGGGATCTCAGGAGGGGTGGGGGCTGACTCTCCAGCCTCCACGTCTGCAGAGACTTTCGCCTCCAGGTGGAGGCGCCCCCCTCCCCAGGGCCGGGGCTCAGGGAGAAGTGAGGGGGTGTTATTATACAATATGCCTCCCAGCGTGGGCAAGGAGGAGCCGGGAAGCGTGGCCATCCACGATGGGAACGAGGGACGTTTTTGAAGTAAAACAAAGAAACACCACGCAGTGAAGTGGACCCAACTGCTTTAATAGTTTAGATCATTTAAAAATTATTTTTTAAAAAAGTCTATAAAAAGCAGCCCCGTTGTACAGTCTCTGTTGCAGTCTCCACCCTGAAACGGATGGATCTACTTACTGGCTCAGATGGGCGAGTCCAGATAAAAAAAACCGACAGAAAAAAAAAAAATCCCTTGGAGAATGGGATCTGCGAGCCCTGGCCATTCCCTGAGACTCGGAAGGAACTGTGGACCAGAGTGAAGCAGAAGGAAAGGGAGGACGCCCGCGGCAACGCCCAGCCCCGGGGAGCGCAGAGCCCCTCGCCTCCGTGCACAGGCCCCCGGCCCGACGGCCCACTGCGCGTGGAGAGCGCGAGCGCGGGGCCCCGTGCACAGGCACGCCCTGCCCCCAACTCCGGGCGTGGCCGCCTGGCAAGCCCAGGCCGCCACTTACCTGTAATCCAGCAACCTCTCCATCAGACGGGTCACAGTGGCGACCAGCGAGACCCCGCTTTCCCTCCATGTTTCCCGCTCAATTTTCTTCAGCAGACTGGAAGAGAGAGAACCCAGGGCATTTTTAACATTTATTTTTATCAGTCACCATGACAACCATTTTACTTTCCTTAGTACCTTAAATGCCTTAGCAACCACTGCAACATCTTACAAGGAGCACAATTTGCAAACAACGTCTTACCTAGGATAGGGACCAAAGAGTGGAATTCTAATCCCGGAAGCATTGACAAAGCAAATGGATTTTCAGATTATCCAAGTCATCAAATACGAACACATGCATATAATCACATTTTCAAAACAGACAAGCACCTCACGGCTCACAGACATTTTCTCCTACTTCTCTCCAGCGGGAGCAGGCTTGCATCTTACCACATCGAGTAACATTGTGACAAGCGAAAACAGCAGCACCTGCAAGTTTACTTTTAAGTACGACCTGGCTGGACGCAGGGAGAGACGTTGTCCTACCTCTCAGTGGACAGCATCCTCATCCAAGCAATTTCACTGCACTGCAATGCCACGAAGATCCTTGCACAGACAGCGTGACGTTTGGCGTTTTTTCTCTCACTTACCATTTGCCCACTCAATACATGTTGTACTATCTGTGCACTCACTCAACAGCCCCATTCACTGCGTCATTAATCACGGAGGGTTTTCTCTGCGGTGGTTACTGCGAGCTGATGACAGGTACCGAGCCCCATGTGCCTCCCACCTTCTCCCTAATCTCAAGTGCCTTGGCACAGAGGTGCTACGTAAACACAAACTAGTGACAATCACAAAAATTAGCGCCTGCTTTCCTCTTGCTCCTGCTCTTCGGCAAATGAACCGTACGCTGGGCGAAGCCTGTAGGACGGGAACGTCATGTCCTGGGGATGGGCCTCAGGACGTCAGCATGGCCGACCGAAGAGAGTCCCCTGCCCCTCTGAACCGAGCCCTCGCCTTTCTAAAACCTTGTGTCTCTTTCATCTTGGTTTCAGAAATAGCCTAGAAAACAATTCTTACAAGTATAGCCTAAGTCTGTTGTACACTGTGCTCAATGGAAAAAGGAAAAAAAGCTACATTGTTTTCCTGGTTTATTCGGCACTGTTTCCTAGATGGGGGTGGAGGTGGGAGGTGGGCAGCTAGCATGGAAAGGGACGGAGCTTGCCTGACTGATCCGCCCCGGGAAAGGTCCCGTGGTTGGACTGAAATGTGTTTTCTTTACAAACAAACAAACACACACACCCCCCTCTGAACAGCACCTACTTCAGGCTTAAGTGCCAACTTGGTACTGAACCAAGAGCTGAAATGAAAATGTGCCTGCCAAACAATGCAGGGTGACAGAGAAACTTCCCCAAGTGACAGCCCACACCTCCTATGCTTGAGAGGCTGAAAAACAAAGAACTCAACTTAAGTGATCATTCTAAAAATACACAGAGACCTCTTTCACGGGCGTGAGCGTCACTTTGCAGAGGCTCCAGATGCAGGAAGAAGTCGGAGTTCAGGATCCTCTTGCAAGAAGAGGCAAAACTCTGCAGCGCCTGCTTCCCTGGTGCACCCAGCACCCAGTATCCAAGCGGTGGGGCCCGGCCTGGGACCAAGCCCTCCGGCTCTCACGGCCGCGCTGGCTTCTGCGCCACAGCGCGCCGTCCCGCTGCACCTGGTACAGACCTCGGGCTATCGGCAAGAGCAGCGGGGTCCCTCTGGTTAACTTGGGGGAGACGGGGCACTTTCACTGGGTCTATAATCAAACCTACGTGCCCAGGGTGAGTACACAGGAAGCTCATCTGAGGACAGTACAAGGCGCTGTCTTATTGCTCACAGACAGGCATGGGAGCCCCAACACTGGGCTGCAGGGTAGCACAGCGCTCAGTGAGCTATCACTCTATGGAGGGATTTTGGCGGGGAGGTTTGACCCCCCATCGATTTCTCTCTGTATCAAACAGGGTCGCGCTGGGGCCATCACTCGTAGAAAAACAGCTGTGCCTGCGTAAAGCGTCAGCGACCTGAAGGATGTGTGACAGAGCTAATCCTCTGTCCCCAAACGCTACTGTGCTGTGATCACCAGATCAGGCTCTGAAATGCTCTGGAGTCGCACTGAACTACTCAGAGGAGCACCTGGCGGAACCTCGTCAGGGCCAAGGGAAAAGCTGAGATGGGAGTTGCCTCCTCCAGGGCCCCCGAAGCTGGAGAAGGCCCCCCGCCCTGTGCTCCCCAGCACGGCCACGGCGGCGTCCCCAGCCCCGCAGGCGCCCTGGACCGGGCAGGGGCTCAGTGGGGCTCAGTGGGGCTCAGCGAGTGTGTGCGGGCTGCTGGGAGGCGCGGTTCCCTTCTGACCCGCGGTTCCGGGAGCTCACACTCACACATCCGCAACGTTGGCGTTGTCAAGGGGAATAAATCCCGACTCTTCCTTCAAAAACATGCGGTCAACAAGGATGACATTAGGGTCAGAGCGAGATGGCTTGAGGTCTCGGGAAGGCACCACAGAAACGGAAGGTCTCGGCTACCTGGGCAACGGCCGCATTTCGGGAGGCAGGGGGTGGCTTTAGGTTTCTGAACACACCTAAAGTCTTAGGTATGAATGACAGAGATCCAATGGGACTCTGTGCTGTGACAACGTGTGTTCCTCACGAACGTAACGGGCGCAGTGGCTCGCTGTGACTAGACGAACTCGCTGTGACTCCTGTGGCCAGAAAGCAAGTCTCTGGGACTGGAAACACAGGTAGGTCGCAGTTTCTTTTCTGAGCCCAGGTAGTAATGATAATGTAATTATCACTGTAGACTGTATTTATTCCCAACATGCTGATTGTAAAAGCATGAAAGAAAAATATTTATTGTAACACGTTTCTAGTAATACACTAAAAATCAACAAAAGAAGAAAAATCCCCATTGAATAAATCAGGCTCTTTAAAGAGTCCTAATTACAGATGCTTAATATTTTAAACATTGCTTTGATTTTAATGCCAAAGCAGCGCTGCTATTTCAAAGTGATATTTACACACAAGCAATCCAAATTGTTCACTATCAGGCCTTTATTAAGGCAGTTACGAGGCACCATAGAACCATGTGCGTATTAATCTTGTGAATTTATTATGAAAATTAATCACAAATCTCAAGAGATTCATTTCACTGAGTGCTTTCTCATTTTAGTTCTTTGTTCAAACCAAGGACTGGTAACTGGCATGAGAGTCGCTTTCAAAAGCAGTTTATTACATTGGATGAGGTTTTAATCAGAACTCTTGCTAAAACTCCAGCTGTTGTGAGACACAGATGCTTTGCACACAAGAATGAGGGCGGACTTGCTGAAGAGAGATTTCAAGTCCCAGTTTAAAACTGGAAGAAAATGGTGGTGTTCAGGATTCAGGACAAAGAGCGCATTTTATCACCCCCCCAACCCCCTGCCAACACCACCACCGCAAGAAATCTGGATACCCTTTCTTGGCTCGTCTTTTCAATATAATTTTCTCAAAAGCTTCAAGAATGATTCTGAGTCAGGCAGGCTGAAGTCTTATCAGTCACTAATAATGCTTTCCAAACCCGGATACCCTCTTACGCCCAGCGCTCTAAATACGCGAGCAGGGAATGAGTCACAGAATCTCGCACTTGCCTATCGGCGTGCAAGCACCCCGGCCGGCTTTTAGGCGCAATCTGGGCATAAGACACACTTGGTAAGTACCCAGGTTTGAAAATGACCGAAGCCCATAGGCAGCTGGAGAGAAAACAAGTGTCAGCCTTAAAATCGGAACACGCTCTGTGCGCTTGCTGCTGTGTCACCCAGCGGGCAAACACCCGGTGCAGCGACTCCTCCCGGAACTGGACCCACATTCTGTGGATGAGGACACTCTCGGTCCCTCACACCGTACCCCGCCGCTCCTCCATCCTCCACACCCGGCCCCAACGCAGAATTTATTAGAAATGATTTGCTTCTGTGATACTCTCACAGGAAGCAATTAGAGACGTGTGGGCTGTTGGTGCGGCCAAGCGGCACCAAGCCCTGAAGAGCAGGCGAAGACGGGCGTGCCTTCCCCCCGCAGGGCGGCCAGGCGGCCGGGCGGCCGGCTTTGGACAGCACGGTGCGCCAACACAGAAGCCACGCGCTTTTGGTCTTCTCCCACGCTCAGCCCTATTTGAAATCCTCCTCCTCCAGCCCCATTTCTCAAGCTACCAGGCAGGCAGAGAGCGCGGGCTGCTCTGGAACACGTGGCCTGTCCCACCTAGTCAGAGATTAAAATAGGACGTGTCGAACCCTCAGTATAAGACGCCCCGCTTGCTAGAGTCAGGCGAGGCTCCTCGATCTTGCCCTCCGCGAAGACGAGGTGCAGGTGCCCCGGAGAGGCCCCAGCCGCCACCCTCCCCAACCCCCAGCACTCAGCCGCTCAGCGCCGGCACCAAGCCCCTGGCTAGAACCACCCGGAGAGAACCGTTACTCACATACTGTTGAAGAGCTCGCGGTAGGTTTCGTCACCTTTGCCTTCGGACATCAGACTGTCCAATTTGTCGATGAGTCTCGTTTCCACCTGAAACACACACAGAGGTGACCCTCTCTTTGCTCCCCTTTACAGGTAGCATTTCCAGGCAGGTGGAAACTGTTTCGCCGGCAGGAGAACGCGCCACAGTCGACTGTGTGTGGAAGTGCCGGGAGCAGCTGCGGCTAACAGTGGACCCCCGCCCCTGCAGGAACCCCGAGGGGCTCATTTAGACACAGCGCCGTGACTTCAAGCTCCGCACAGGGCAGCTCTGGCGGCTGTGGAAGCATCTACTGGCTGGTTTCGACCCAAAGGCATGTGGCCCGCCTCCAACGTCGGAACCCTTTTATAGGAGCAATAGAAACGGGCAAGTCCAATTTCTTTCCCTAGAAATCTTAGCTATATATGTGTATCTATATCTATGTCTATGTCTATGTCTATGTCTATATATGAAGATGAGCAAACTAACAGATCCACAGACACTAATGTGACTCTTTGATGTGTTCTCTCGTTTTTTGCTCAGCCAGGTCAGGGCTGCGCAGAGTGTGCGCGGCAGGTGAGCAGCGCCCACCCACATGTGGGCGGCCCCACCGAGACCAGGACGCTCCAGGTCAGCGGCAGGCGGCCAGATAGGGAACGGACACGCGTCCCGGGAACTGCAGGCAAGGCGGCCTGTTTCCAGAGCAGCAGTCCATGGGCCTTGGGTCTCACCTGAGGGCAGAACCGACACCTGAGCCGGCAGGAGAGCCAGGAAATGAGAAGCCTCGCCAGCCCGAGGCCTCCACAGCCCGGGGCCGCGAACAGTGTCAGACACTGTTCCCGGTCTCAGCCCAGTCATGCTTTTGAATCAAATTTCAATAAAAGGATGAAGACAAAAGGGAGTCAAAGTGGGTCCCCCAATATAGTACTTCCATGGCCTCTTGTTCAGCTATCACCTTTCTTGGAAATAAAGGTAGACACAGACACAGGTACAATGCCAGGCTTTTGGCAACAGCGCGGTTCTCTGCAGGCTCCTGGCTTGCTGGTCAGGTGGGCGGGTTTTCTAAGATGTGAGCCAGGAGTCTTCACTGGGAGGAGTACGAAGCATGTACGTGAATGCACGCAGGTACATGCAGTGTAGGTGAGCACACGCAGGTGCGTGCAGTGTAGGTGAGCACACACAGATACATGCAGTGCCTGTGTCCACAGAAAGGAGGCCTTGTATCTGCAACGTGGGTGACGAGGCAGGGCAGAAGCAGCTGACTTCTGATGCCATCTGCCTTTGGAATAAGAACCTGCATCTTCCCCAAAGCCAGACCAGCGCTATGAGAACCTACGCCAACAAGAAATGACAAGTCCCTCTGCCTGGAATTTCCTTTGCAAGCATTTCCAGTGCTTTCCCCTTTAAATTAATTCTCAGCGCTTCAAGCAAAGAGCCACAACACACGCTGCACATCAAAGGCTCAAAAGCTTAGCCGTTCCCCAAATACAGAGTGCAGACCGCTGTGAGCTCAGTGATTTTAAGGCTTGTTAACCTTCTGACCCTCCTGTGTTGTGCCCAACTGGGAGCCAAGCAAGCCTCTGCCGGTTCTTAAACACGGACCCGGGAAATCACACGATTTTTTAGCTGAAAGGGAATGCGATGGCCGTGCAGGGCTTCCCGAAGGCTCAGGGGGCACTAGGATCAGGGAGGTGTCCAAGGCGCAGGGCTGGGAAGGAGCCGGCCAGGCTGGGACCTGGCCTGCTGGTGGCTAGCTCAGGGTCACGTCCTGGCTCAGAGCAAGGTCTGGCCGCTCAGCCATGCGCAACGAGCGCCACACGCCCCAGCCCGTCTGCGGAGCAGCCCCCACCTGCTTGAAATTGCCGCTGCGCCTCTGCTCCCAGTCCATCATGTCGTGGAAGATGGGGATCATGACGTTACGCAGGTCTGGCTGCGGGATCAGGGTCACCTCCAGGAAGGGGCCGATCAGGGCGGGGATGAAGTGGAGCTTGTGTTCTCCTAAACCGAACGAAACGGTTGCATTTCAGGATGGTTCATCTGCATAAGCCTTCAGAAAATTAATGTTATAATATGTGTTTACAACTATCGCAAGTATTGTCTCCATTTTAATTGTTTCCCCAAGCGAGGAAATATTGCCCTAAGCAGATACGTAAATAGTTAAGTTTCAATGTGCCGATTAATAGTTCTCCCTTTTTAGTAAAAATTAGAGAATTTGTTTTTTTGTAGTTAAAAAAAGCTGTAAGATGCAATTAAAAATGATACAAATCATCAGGAATCGGTTGTGTACACTCCTGAACATATGCACGGTGGAATTTTTAGGCTGCCAATTTAGAAACGAGGCTGAAGGACAGGGCAGGTAAAGCCTTCAATGTAATTAACTGGGAAGGTAAGGTGGGTATCTTTATGTCCAGGCACCTCCTCCGTTAGGAAAATGTAGGACTGTCTAGACGACATCTCACGGGCCAAGCCCAGTAGTTGTCTCTCGGTGGTGGGACTGCAGGCGACTTTTATATACAGAAAAGGTGGTTCCAACCTGCGTTTCTTTTTTTTATATAATAAACATGGCCTAAATAAAAATCTAAATGGTGATCTTAAAGAATATATTGTAACAGTTTTCTGAAAAGACAACACTGTAACAATAGTGAACCCAAAACAGTGTGTTACCAAGCAGAGAGGGATGGAAGAGCTCCATGGGAGGAAGGGAAGGTGCAGGGTGGGGCGGACACATGGTTTCATCCGGCAGATGAGTGGGGAGTTTGGTCCCTTACCCTGATCACCTATGGTACGTCTCACAGTGTCTATTTTTATCTTAAGAAGCCTGGGTGCTGTGGAAAATGCAACGTTTCTCAGGAGCAAACCCTCAGCCTCCGTTTAAAACCACGTGGGATGGGATGGGGAGCGAGCCGAAGTCGGCCACGTTCATGAAAGAGGACCTTTGCCCTTCTCTCCCTTTCCTACCTTTGATCTTTTGTACGAAGGGTCAAAGACACACAAAAATCATCTGGTTCAGAGTTACCTGCCCATTTGGGAGTTCCATACCTTCTCATTAATTTGTTTTGTTTTGCTAGGTGGCCACAGAGTTTGGACATACATATAAATCCAGGTGAAAATAGAGAGTTTACATTTATATTGACTTGGCGGGGTTGAGGAGAGAGATATGAGAGAGAATTTAGAATTTGAAAGAGGGAAAATGATGGATGCGATCAGAGATGGGCAGACCCACGTGGGTGTCTGGGAAGCCCCTGCTTTTGCGCCTAAAGTGCCGTGGGGCACCCCTGCCGTCTGCAGAAGGTGGCCCCACCCTGGTTCCCAACGCTATGAGCACATCAGCAGGACAGGAATGGCAGGCCCCGCCTCTCTCACAGTCCCTTGACTGTCCGTCACCGAGGTCACACAGTCCTTTCCTCTCTCTCTGAGGTTCCAGGAAAGGGGCCTTAACTGCTTCTCGCCACCTCGACGTGACGTGCCCACGCCTGGCAGAGGGGAGGACACCAGCTGGTAACCCCCTTGCTCCCCACCTTTGGTTTTGACCCAGGGCTGCTTAGTTTGCCTCATCACAGGAACCTTCTCTTTTTCATCAAAAGAAACTTCCTTCGTAGTCGGACGTGTTTTGTTTTCCTCCACAGGAAGGGACACTTTCGAGACTGACCACCGCACTGTGGCAGAATCTACACCCATCCACGCTCCTCCGCCCTCAACCCCCGCCCCCCTCCCAAACACACACATTTTGAGCAGGTGACGAGCACCTGCATTCGCCGTTCGCTCCCCAGCTATTTTTGTCTAGGCAGAGAGGAGAGGCTCGGAGCTCAGAGACTTCCTGCCGCCTGTGAAAGCCAAACACGCTCAGTGGTTTTCCAAAGTGCCCTGGAAGGCGAGGGGCGGGACGGAAAGCGGGGGAGGTTCCTGTAGAGACAGAGGCCGGCAGCCTCTGCCATGAGCCAGGCTGAAGTCCGCTCCCTGGCCTGGCCCCGGGCGACAGCTGCAGGGGTTCAAGGTCCCCCCAGATGCTGCAGCAGAGCCGCCGCCTGGCAGAACCATGGACGGAGGACAGAGGCCACCTCGGCACGCGACTAATAACCAGGAGGGCCTCCGTCGCTGTGGAGGGGGCGGGGGGAGGCCAAGAACTCCAAGCCTCGTGGGGCTTCCTGGCAGCCGACGGGCCCGCCACGCCCCTGTGGGCAGAATGAGGGCTGGCGCCGCCACTACGACCCGCACTGGTGGCCCTTCCTGAGCCTGGCAGTCCCCAGCCCTCTCACGGACGTCACTACCACGCACTACTTTTAGTTGCCACCCGCCTTTCGGGTACTTCTGAATCTCTTTTAAAAAAATCTCTTCCATCTACAGACATTCTCAGACTGATTTTCCTCTTTCCAGAACTTTCTTTACCATGGAAAATCTCAATGTACACACGATTGCAAAGAACAATAAAACAAGCCCCCACCCACCCCGTTTCTGGCTTCAATAATCATCAACCTTTTTGACCACCCTGCTCACCGTCTGCCCCACTCTTTCCGCCCCTGGGTTTAGTCCTAAGCCAAGTCCTAGCCATCGCAGCTTTCCGCTCGCACCTGCGTCCGCAGCATCTCCAACAGGCAGGACGTTTTGTAAGCAGGGAACCACATTGCCTTTAACGCTCTTAACAAAGGCCAATGGTAATTTCGTGAATTAATCTAAAACCCGGCTTATATTAAAAATTCCCTGATTGTCTTAAAACAGGGCATTTGCACTTGGTTTCTTCCAGTCACAACTCAGACCCTTCCGGCTGCCTCTTGCCGCCTTTCCCACGGGCAGGAGAGGGGGCCGCCCACCGTGAACCGCTGAAAGGGGGCGCCAGCCTCCGGGCCCACCGAGAACACGCGGGGGACCGCTGGGCCCACGCCGCCCACCCGAGCTCCTACCCCAGAGAACCGGGCTCCTACCCCATCAGCAAAGCGAGGTCTTGAGCAAAACGTGCATGGCAATGCAAAGGTGACTTCATGGAAGAGATGTCCTCCGAGACCGCAGGCTGAGGACACCTCCCTGGCCCCAGCCACCAGCCACGCGGTCCCGTTTGGGAGTATTTAGGGCGCCCGCGAGTGGGGTGGCTGGGGTTTTATTCCTGCGCACGCAGAGCGGCTGCCGAGGAAAGTATTGATTTTTCTACAGCAGTTACAAGATGCTGTGTTTGCACATGGGAAAGAAAGAGCCCATTTATATTTAGTCAGAATGTTAGTTCCACTAAAAATAGGGAGAAATGTCTGAACCTTGGAGAACGCCGGAAGCCAAATGTGGGACAGAGCGGCGAGGACAAACCTGCCTCTCCGCAGACCACTCTTGCACATGTCTGTAGACATGTGTCACATGGCAGGGGGGCGGCACGCCTTCTTCCCCTCGCGTGGCCAACATTTTTAGCCCTTTGACTTAGGCCAGGAGAAGGCTGAGCAATAACATTTAAGAAGAGGTGTTCGCCTGTCACCGCTAGGGCTTTACTCTTGAAAACTAAACTGTGTGCTCCAAACCACCATGAGATCCCAGCTCACACCCGTTAGGGTGGCGGCTCTCCAAGGAAAGAGAAAACGGCAGAGCTGGAGAGGGCGTGGAAGGGGAAACGCAGCCGTGAGCGCGCGGGCGGGGAGGTGCGGCCGCGGCCGCCTCGAACCTCCGACAAGGGACCGCCATATACGGCCTGCTGTCCCCAGGCCAGTCCAAATAGCCCGTTTAAAAGTAGCCCAGTCCCTAAATCAGGGCTGCCCTCATTCTGCCGTCCTCAGCAGAACACCAAACAAAACCACCTTATTCCTAGCACATGGAAGAGCTTCCACACCCGGGCAGTAAACGCTGGTGACCGGAGTCTGACTTCAGTATACACTGCCCGGCAAAACTGGCATTTGCAAACAGACCAGCTGGACGGTTTCAAGTGGCGAACGGTGCGTTGAGTGACACTGGGCATTTCTTCTCCGCATTTGTTTTCTTAAACTTAGTGATTTCTGTTTCTCCTAAAAGCTATTGAGGATGACTTATGAAATCACAAAAGTTTATTTGCTTTACTAAACCATGCGAATTTGTCTATGTCAAGCTTTTTTTCCCTCATAAATTGGAGGAAAAGTTTAAAATGGAAGATTTAATAACTAACTTAGTAGGCATGGACCATTTTTTTTCTGGTACCCCCAGAAAATAACTTGCATGTAGCTAGTACTTGATAAACAACAGTAAATTGAATTTATTAGCCTGTTCCATTAAACAAATAAAAAACTATAATTATCTCAAATAGTCTCCTTTTGTATTCAAAATACTATGATGTATTGATAGGTTAAATCTAATTCTAACTAACGTATTTTGATATGCCTAAGTGACAAGCTCACTTAAGGTCTACAAGGGGCGTTCAAATTCTACGCTGAATGCCTAATTTTTCCTATCACTTTATAAAAACATATTTTGGCAAAGAGGCTCTACCTTCCTGAACATTTTCCAATTCTAGCTGTTGTACAACAGCAATGGCCTCTGAAATCCACCTGATGCTTTGTAAGTCTCAGAAAAGTCGGGGCGCCGCTCCAGGGAAATAACGCGGGGACCACGGAACGAGGTGAAAAGTTCCACTCACTGGGCCCCGACCTGTGTCCTGCGGCGGGGGGCGGGGGGGTGGAATGAGGGGCGGGGGGCGGGGTGGGGGTTGAGTGCAACGAGGGTGACCGGCCTGTTCTGACAGAGCTGACGTGTGCGCCAGAACCAGCCTCCTGGGCTGGAGAGCACAGACAGGCCGGCGTCGCCTAACGCGGCGCTCTGCAGCCTGTGTCCAGCGCTGACGAGCGGGCGGCATTGCGCGCGGGCGCCCCGGGGCGGGGCCCTGCTCTGAGAGGCCCGGGGGCCACAGGTCCTTGCCACTCACGGAGGGTCTCTGAGCCCCCTGTCCTGAGCCCTGACAGAACAATGCATTAAGGGGCCAGCCAGTGCCACAGACTTTTACGTTCTCTAGATTTCCCAGGAAAACAACGAAGTCACTTAGCCTGAATGTCTTTGTTTTAAAGACAAAGCAGAAGAAAAGTTGAGGACGTATACAGGGACATCTCCCGGTGCCGGTGAGCCCTGGGGCTCCCGGACCTAAGTGCACAGGTATGTCAGGCGGGGTTGGAGGCTGACGCACAAACAGCCCTGCCCAGCGGTGCTGGGATCCACCCAAAGGGGAAACCGCCGTGTTTCGAACACTCCGGTCACCTAGACGACCCATCCTGGCCCGCTCACTGGCGCTTGGACAAGAGCCTAAATCCTGCCCCCACCCAGAGCACGTTCACGTGGCCTTCTTCGGAGACCATCTTGCTAAATTAACGCTCAATGCAATACGGACGCTCCGAGGGCCTCAGTCTATGTCTAAAAGACAGGACAGGCAGAATGAATGAAATGTGACCAGGGATGGGAGCACTCTGCACAAGGGACAAAATGCTGCTCCTCCCGAGCCGTATCTAGAGACACAGCCTGGCGGCTCAGACAGCGGACCCTGCCCCCAGGACGCGCGCGCTCTGTGTCCCTGATGCTGCCAGCAGGCAGGCGGCACTGCGCTCGATCACCTGCATCGCAGGGCGTCCTCGAACCGCTGCGTGCGTGTGAGAACCGCACACACCTGGTCACGCGTGCCCTCATGCGAGTGGAAGCCTGATGGTGCTGCCTCTGCTCTCACGATGAGAACACATGTCCTGCGGCCGCCATGCTGTGCGCGGAGGAGCCCACGAGAAAAGACACTTTCAGGTCATATTCAATTCAAAGAGGTTCATCACCTGAACCAATCACGAGGAGGAATTTCCACGCAGTGGTAGTAAATGAACACCATACGTGTACGTAGGTAAACCACCAAATGAAATAAGCAAAGTACCGAATTAAGTAAGTAAATAATAGGAACACTCTGCCAGTGAGATTTTAAAACAGTCTATTTTCCAAATGCTGTCATTTTCTACGTAACCAGGCCTGTGGCATCAATTTGCTGGAATAATATGCTCTCTCTGCTGAGGCTGATTCACAAAATTGATCCGATAGCTTCTTAGCAACTGCAGATGCTTTTAAATCCTTTGACTACAGTCTTCATGACATAGGTCAACAGTTTCAAGACTTTTAAGAGTAGTGACACTCAAGTCAATTTTCATGAAGTTTAACGTACATTTGTTACGATTCACAGGCTCAATCTGGAGTTCTAGAAATTTTGAGGTGTTACAATTTCAAATTCCTGAAGGTTGGTGCCCCGTGAAAACTGTGTGTATTACTGGAGTGATGCTGCATTATAAAATGTATCATTCAATAATCATGAAACACATACAGGTAAGGTCACTTTTTTCAGACACCAGTTTAAAGAATTAGTTGTAACCCTCTCCGATGCCAAAGGGTCACTACCTCCTACAGATGCCTTAACTGACTTAGACACTTGGTTTCCAGCGCTGCCGCGGGCGAGCTGCCCGCTTCACTCGCGCACTCACAGGCGCCGTGAGGAGCTGCGACGTGCGGGGGCTGCCCCCTCTCACTTACCCAGGTTCTGCCACATGCTGAAGACCTCACAGCCCATGGTCACCCGCATGTCACCATACCTGCGAGAGAACAGAAGTCACACCTGACGCCAGGCCCCCACAGCAAAGACGTGTTCCTGTAGGATATAATCTATCAATCCGAGTTCAAAGGCAATAGGCATTTAATTAAAGATGCTTCATGTACATGACTTGATGCCTCTAATTCAAACCTTCATATAAACCCTTCAGGAAAATATTTGTCTCATAATTTTCACTTTGATAGTAATTTCGAATCCTGAAAGACTGACAGAAAAAAGTTTAAATAAGTTCAAAATATCGAAATTTCCAGAACAGCTTGCTTTCTTGTTCACTCGGTCATTACCGCTCCGTTGTCGTTTCCAGTCATGGACATCTACCTGACTTACGGACCATTTCAGCTAAACACCCTCAAAAAGGCACAGCACTCACTGTGTCTCATGCTTCCCCCTGATTATATACCGGTACTTACTTTTCTAATACCTTTTTCTTTTTGGAAGGTGTGAACATCTCCAGCTGCAGGCACAACTGGTTTATAAAAATGACTGCGAGGTAAAAGTAGGAGTCCCAGATCTGAAACAAGGACAAAGGGTTTAAGGACTACGGTGTTGCAGAAGTAGTTACCGGTGAGGAGACACGGGCTCTTGGGTGGGCTTCCTAAGGGGGAGGTGGGCGGGGCATAGTTGGTAACTGTAGAGGCCCGATGTGGGTGCCTGGGGTTCCTTGTACTACGCTCTCTACTGTTACACGTGCTTTAGACGTTCTACGACAGAGAAGTAAACTAAACAAACACGGTGTTTATATTGCCTCAACGCTGTATCCCAGGCTGCACGAGCTCTGTGGCAGGTACTAAATGGCATGTGTTCTATTTCTCTGATAACTGATGTGTCTCCGAGGAGGCGGAAGTAAGAGATGGATCACTGTACTCCTCCGTGAATTCATTTTTGGAACTCCTTTCAGTGTGGAACTCAAAAAAATGCAAACACATCTTTGGAGATGTTGACTTTCTTAAAGTCAGAAAGTATATAAAATATTCTGCCCAGACCAAGCTTCTAAGTCAAAGTTTTCTTATCCCCAAAACAACATCAGAAAGAGATCAGAATAAAATTCCTGGCAATAAACTTAACCAAAAACATGTAGGATATAATAAAAGGAAACCACTTCTCTACTGATACTATGCAAAATTAAAAATAAATAGGAAGGAGAGTAAACAGGATTACTATCTTTCATACAAAAATAGCTCGCAAATGAAGAAGAAAATATGCTGGAACCCCAGCAAGATACTGAAGAAAGGCCCAGAACAGACAAGTCACAAAATATGAATTTTAGTTAATAATGGTCCATGACTAATAACTAGTAGCTAATCTATAACCAATACCTAGTAAGAAATGTTAACTAGAGAAAAAAAGATTTTATCCCTAATCAAATTGTCAAAAAAAAAAGTTGTTTTTTCCAATGTTGGTAAGATACAAGGAACCAAATTACTGGTATGCCCTCAACAGCTTCACTTATAAATATTTGGTCAAATAAATAATTAGAGACATATGCCAAGTTTCATTTTGTAAGACTGCACTTAAAAAGACTGCTTTATAAGAACAGAATACTAGGAACAACCTAAGTACTAAAAAGGAGAGCTCTGATTATGCAATTTTGATGTTAACTAAAGTAGGAGATAAAGAAATGTTACCCATTAAAATTCCATTGGTTTTTACTGTATTTGCTTTTTTTTGGATTTTCTAGTTATTTTATGACATTTTATCAAATGCTTAATGTGGAAAAAGTTACTTAAAAAAGAATAAGAAACGAAGAGGGCAAAGACGCAGGCCCTGCCGGTATTTTCACCATCTGCCACCTGCCATTTAAGAACGAGGCCATCGGGAACCCTCAGGGGGCAGACACATCACACTGTATCGCAGGTGTCCAGAGTTTTGCCTTAAAGGATCTTTGTAATCTTTCCTTTTTCATTGATTTAGTCTAAAAAATGGGAAGATGAAAAATTAAAGTAATGGGATTACTTCGTAAATTTTTTTCCAAATAAATGTTGTTTTAAACTATGTCTTAAAGACATTGTGTTCTAAGTCCCCTTTGTCACGTGAGGGGCTTGCACAGAGACGAACAAGAATTAAAGATTAGGTAACAATGGGGGACTGTCTGCTCTTCAGCACTGCGACTTCTGCCAGGTTGGTAAGCGTGATTACAGCCCTGGCTTGTTCACAAATACAATGAAAACTCTTAAAATATTCACAATTAAAACTTATATGGCCCAAGATTAATTCAAGGTAGCGGGAATAAATTTATTTTCTTATTATTGGTGGGGGCGGGGAAAGGGGTAATTTCCTGAGCACCATGGGAAAACTTTTAGCCCAAGTTGAATAGTCACGTAATTGATACTTACCTTATAATCGAAATTTTCATTTAAGAAGTTCTTACGGAGCGCATCTGACAGGTAGAGAACCGTCGTGATAATAACGCTGGCGATCAAAGAGAACACAGACTATGTTAAAACTTCACACCAATGAAAATCACTTATTAGACAGACATAAAAAGCAACTAAGATAAAAGGAAACTTTTTTCAGGAAGCCTGTGGAACAAGATTAGGTAACTCACATCTGAAATTTAAAAGGAGGGGGAGAGAGAGAGAAATGCCAGGTTTAAAGAACGAAGAGGAAGGGAGGGAGTCTTCACTGAGGTCTGGTTCTTTGTCCGGATACACAGAAAGATCTAAGATTATATGGCTCAGGGGGAAATATATTGATCTCTTGATGTTTTGTAACATTTTTATTAATTTCTGAACAAAGCAATGATCTAACGTGGATATAATACCCCATATTTGGTTACTGGGGAAGAAGCCAAGCTTTTTAAAAGCGCAGGAAGAAGAGGAGTCCAAAGACGAAAGGACAGGCCCCGGTCGCGGGCCACATGGAGCTCTTATCTGTGTCCTCGCTCTGTTCCCCTGCCCAGGGCACTAGCGGACAAGAGCTGGGGAAGGCAGGGTCCCCCTCCGCGGCAACATCCCCTCCCCGACGGAAACGGTGACAGGCCATGAACCTGTCACTAACCCAGCCGGGGGGGGGGGGGGGGGGGGGCGTGTCACAGCGATTCCGAGATGGGGCACCGGAGGGCCGGAGAAACCGAGGGGAACCTGACAGCGGGGCGCACGCAGCCACGTGCACCCTGCAGGGGGACGGAGAGGGGTCCGGCGGGCAGTCCGGATGCATTCGAGCTGCGTGACGCGCTCCAATGCCGCTCCTTTCTGTCGCTGCAGGAGTATGTGAGGCTGAAGGCCTTTCAGTTGGCTCGTTTCATGTTCGCTGCAGCATGATACTGAAACAAGGCAGATCATTTTTCTAACTACGAGAAACCACGTGAGACCTCTTTGGCCCTCTCTGAGATGCACACGGACTGCAGTGTTTGCGACGTGATGTGTCGCAGGTCTCATCCCAGGATTTGGAATTGAAGGATGCGGCCTCACGGCCCTGGAGAAGACAGAATGAAACACAGCACCCCACCCACCAGCTTCACAGCTCCCTCATCCTGCTGGTAATGTATGGATTAGGAGCATGTGTATGAGTCAGAAGAATATTTACAGTCTTTGAAGGACATAAAAGTTTGTCTTCGTTATCTGCTGGAAAGCTCACAAGTACAGCCAGAATTCGGGTGGAGAAGGCAACATTACGAGGCAAAGGCATTAGAGAACCGAGTGGTGGGGTTCAAGGCAAAGCAAGGGAAAGAGAAAAACCACCATTTCATTGGCAGCTGTTCTCCTGGGAGCAGGCGGCAAGGCGCACGCATGCTCACTCTGCGTGCATTACATCTTTCAAGGAGCCTCCCTGTGAGAGTGAAGCATCAGTAAAGCCTATGAGTTTGAGGAGTCCCGAGGTGTCATCGGCCCCCAAAATGCAGGTGTGAATTTCACATCGAAGAGGTAAGTCACGTGGAAATAAGAATATAAAGTGGCGATTTTCCATCAATACTGGCAAAACCCATGATAGGTTTTGGATGACTTTTGGGAACAAGTTCCCAAAGCAGTTTATTAGAATCTTACTACATGAAACTGAGGCTTAATTGTCAGAAAATGGAAGGCTATCAAGCAAGAAACCCAGTTCCTTGCTCGGCATCTAGTGGAAAAATCACTGGACCTCTGAGTTTAAAGGAAACAATTTTGCATCCTTAATATGTGATTATAGGGACAAACTTTCTGCTTGGACATTCGATGGAAAAATACACGCAATCCCAGTACACCTGAGTTTTACATTAAAAAAAAACAAAACACCACCTTCTGCCCCACAACTCCAGAGTGGACTACTGTTCAGAAACAATCCCTGCTGTGAGGGAAACATGACGTATCTGGGATTTAGACACTTAATGTCCCAGAAAGGAGCCAACAAACTCCATCTTCCCAGCAGGAGAGGTAACCCTGCGGGAGACGTGAGCCACCTATGGTTCACATGCTGGGTCCCAACCACACGAACGAACTTCATGGCTCCTCGAACTAGATGGAGCCATGCTTCCCAGCCGTGGGTGGCACGTGGTGAGCTAGTCAAAAGCGGACTATGATTCAACAGGCTGGGGGCGGGGCTGAGATCCTGCATTTCTGACCAGCGCCAGGGGCCCACGGGCTGTTGGCCCACCAGCCACCCTCTGGCTGCAGGGAGGCCCGAGTCGGAAAACACTCCCGCGGACCCCGCGCCCCGTTCTCCCGGCTGCTGAAGTTCTCAGCCAATGGCCGCCTTCCTGGCTCTTCGACAGAGCACACGGTCCTAGTCCTGGATTGAACGCCTCATCCGCTTGTCGAGGCTGCTTCCTCAAGAGGCACAGGGTGCCGGTGGGTTTCAGGGCTCCAGGGGATACTGCGCCCCGAAGAAACACGCGGGGGCCAAAAATGAAAACGGGAAGTCAAAAACTGAAAAACCGCGGCTACGTGTCCACAGAAGCAACACTATCAATTTCATTAATTGTCCAATTTCTTATTCACGCAACTTACATTAAGAAAATTGTAGGTTACTTTTTATAGCTTCACAAGAATATACAGAAACGTTGAGAAATCACAGCCGATTGCGATGATGGACCAATCATTTAAAAATGCAAAATGTAAACATCGCTCTTGACAGTTTTTCTGTTCAGGAAAACATACCTCACAGGGCAGAAGGGGGCTACCTAATATGTCTGATAGGATGAGGGGCAAGACCTCTAAAAATAAGACTTGCACACGGCTAGAAAGAGGCTAAAACACTGCTTCAGCTGCGGTTCACTTACACTGTCAGAGCCAGTGCCAGTCAGAGGCGGACCCCACGCACCTCCGGGAGCTCAGCCCTGAGTCGGCTTCCCGGAACACAGGTCCCCAGGCCAGTTAAAGGCGTCCTCACAGATGACTCCCTCATGGGAGGGGGCACCTGCGGTGTTTAGGAATCTTTCTCTACGTGTCTCAATTTATCCAAAACCATGTGGCTCCTTTGGTTTTATTCTTTGACCCGTGACTCTGCACTCCAACTCCACAGGCGAGAGAGGGCTGCGATCTATTACTGAAAATGGTCCAATTACTGGAAGCCGCCACTGAAAAGGCAGGCCCAGATTAGCCTGGACAACCATGCTCTGTGGGCAGAGCGTGGTCAAAGGTACACATGAGAGGCCAGGAAATCAGAGTCCCCGCCCCAAGCTTCCCGCTGCACCCACATTCTGGGATTTAGGACATTCCTTTCAACTACACTGTTTCCGCTCTATAGAAACCTCCCCTCCTATAATCCTTTTGAAAACCACTATATCCCGGTAACCCACTCTGGCCCCATTGCTCTGCTCTCTTTAACAGCAAACATCTTCTAAGGAGCTGCTTGCCATTGCCGTTTCCGATCTGCTCTTCAGCAAGGCTTCCTCCTCCCACCGCCGGTCAAGGTCCCCAGCGTCTGCACCAGGGGTCCCGGGGCCAGCGGTCAGTGCGCAGCACCCCCAACCTGCCAGTGGCTCCCGACGCTCCTTCCCGCAAGGCCGACTGCCCCCCACAACGACCTCTTCCTCTGCTGTTTTCACCTGTCCCCCCGCCCCCGCTCCTGTCTGCCTCCTTTGCCGGCGCTTCCCTGCATCCTGACCCTAGTGCCCGCATGCCCCCCGCCCAGTCCCGAGGACTCCTGTCTTGCTGATCTACACCTCCCCCTGGGGGCTCTCAAGTGCTGCCCGCGTGCCTCACACGCCCCCCTCTTGCCCTAGTCTCTCCCGAGTGCCCCGCAAGCATGTCCGGCTCCTCCTCCCCTCACCTGGGCGCCTCCCATCACCTCCTACAACATTGCGCTCAGCCCGGGAATCTTCACCGCCGCTCCCCGTCCCCGAAAGCAGTGCCTCTCCCAGCCTTTCCCTCCTAAATGAGTGGCACCACCACGTGCTCCTCAGCTCAGGCCAGACTTCTAAGGGCCACTTTCATGGCTTTTCCTGTCATCTGCAAGTCTCCCCATCTCTGTCTTCAAAGTCGGCCTGCCCGCTGCGCCCACGGACGTCCGCCTGCTCCGTCCACCACCGCCTCTCACCGGGTTGTTACATCAACCACAAACGGTCCTTCCTGGTCCCCACCCCCTGGCCCCGACCCCCTTGTCTGGGCCCCGTTTCCTTCCTCTTCCAGCCTCATCCTTCTCCACTGGCTCCTTCCCTCCTCCTCCTGGGTGCACACCGAGCAGGCTCTCCGTTCTGAGGACGCCGTGTTCGCTGCGAGCGCAGGCCTTTGCATAGGCTGTTCCCGCTGCCGAGCACCGTCTTCCTGGGCTGCTGGCCTCTCACCTCCTGCTTTCATTGTGGGCTCCAGCCTCACTCCTGTATGCAAGGCCCCTCTCCTCGCCCACCGGAACGAGTGCCCTTACAAACACGTCACAGAGACGGGCTCTTGCTCCTTGTGGCACTTATTTTATGCATTAGGTGCTGGCCAATGGTTGCTGTTGAATGGGTCAGTGAAGGAATGGATGACTTCCCCTTTGATCCCCTAAACCCTTATTTGCTATACAGACGTCATCTGAAAGCTCAATCGGTTAAAGGTAACAGCCAACTAAGCAATGCGGTGTTGGGTGGGGAAAAAAAATGCAAAAGGAAATAAATGGTGTGTAGGAGGTCAACGTGCACACACAAACAAAACAAGGGCCTGCACCTTCAACTGCAGAGCCGAAGATGCCTTACCTTCCTCAGTAAGCAAGGCGAAGAGTCGGCTCCTTGAAAAATGTGTGTGAAGCTGTGACTTTATTTTTGTGCTGTCCTTGGCAATGTGGGGGAAGGGGGTGAAAAGAGAAAGCTCGTCTCGAAGTGTCCTGTATTTCTGGTTCTTCGTTCCCATCCCCCTCCTGGTCTTTTCCCCCCTTGGACTGAGCATTGTCCTCATCCGAAACATCTGCCGTGAACCCCCCGTGGGTACAATATAGCTTTGCAAGCAAGCGGACCAGGGGAATGATGTTTCTTGACCTTGTGAAATTCCACAATATTAGACAGTCAGGTGGCAATAAACAGAAGACAAGGCTAATCCCCAGGGGCCTGGTCCCGGCGTCTGGCTGGACTCACGCAGAGCAGGAAAGCAGAGGATTTGGGGCAGCAGTTTATGGGTGAAAGTCAAGGGCATTTAACTTACTTGGAAACACAGGAAGAAAGAACCATCACATAAAATAACATCTATTTTGAGGGATGAGCTACTCCGCTGAGTTCAAGGGTAGGACCTGGGTGACTCCTCTGCTAGTCACCATTAGTTCAGCATGTGTGCGGCGCGCCGGGGGGTGGTCAGCAGGGGAGCTGGCACTAAAATGCCCCTCTGAGGGGCCCCCGCCACATCTCTGTCTGAAACACAGTTCCACGGAAGAAAAGGGGGTCGACTTCAGAGGCGGAGACTTAGCTCCTCTGACTCGCGTCTACACTGTTCAGCAAAGTGGGAACCTTCTCTTTCTGGGGTATGCTCGTCAACGTATTTAATGTATCCATAGTATCTTTCAGAAATTTCTCTTTCTGCCAATCTTATAGACATTAATAAGTTTTGCCGATAGAGCTCAAGACCGTGAAGGCTCGCTTCTGGACTGCCGTGCATTTATAAAGCAAGAAAAATCGGACGTGCTTTCCTAACTCGAGTGCAATGAGGCGCGGGCGGGTGAGCGGGAGAAGAGGGATGGGAGGGCGCGGGCAGCGGAGAGCAGGGGGGTCTGAGCCCGCCCGGTGGCGCTTCCAGGCCCTGGGGTCCTGTCTGCAATGGGCGGGACTGGCCCCGGCCACACAGGGCCACAGCTGGTGGAGAAGAGGGGGCCGGGACCCTACGGGCACAAACTTGGGAGGCAATGGAATGAGACCGCCGCCCCGAGCAAAGGCTGGCAGCCTGGCCTCAGTGTCCCCACGGGGCCACCTCTGCTCAGCTTCCTCGCGCAGAGCAGCTCACACAAGATCGCACCCCTCTCTGCTTAACACCATCGGTGGAAATTTTGACCATGACATGTTTACTCAAAAGCAGGGTCTATACTTCCAGGTCTGTTACCCACGTGTGTCATGATGACGTCTTCATAAACAGGGTAGAATTATCTTTGGGGGGGCGGTGCAGAGAGAGAGATGACATTTAATATCAAAAAGCCACATGGCTGTCATGGTTTCAGGAAGCTCAGGCAGAGCCTGTGTACATAAAAACCAAAATGTCACGTTCACTTTGGTTGAATTTCTGCCATTGAAAATTCCAACTTCAGTCAAAATCTTCCTCAGCATGGGGGGCAGGCAGACTGACTCACTGAGGACACTGTGGTGGGGGGTGGGGGGCGGCAGCCTGGACCCCCTCCCGTCTGGCTCCCTGGGTCACCGTGTGGCCCACCCCAGGTCCTTGTCCCCAGGAGACGTTTGCCAGTTAGCCCAGATCCATGATCAATGATATGTAAATGATACAGCTATGGAAATCTGTAGCATCTGGACGCCCAGATGAAGAACTATTTGATTCTACTCACAGACACCAAACTAAACGTGCCAAATTCTAGAGAGACCTACTGAGGCGGCTCAATCAGTCTTCAAAATAAAAGGAAAAAGCTGCGTCTGTTCTTCTGTAAAGTATAACAGGCCATATCATACTGCCTGTCACGTCACAGGTTTTAGCACATCTTTCCGCACCTCCACGTCTGCACACGCGTACGGCAGCACACGCTGCATTGTCATATCTACTCAGAATCAAAGCGGATGTTCCTGGGCTCTTCCCACCATCGTACCTGGGCACCTGGGGACGACATAGATGTCTCTGGCCTATGGATGGAGACCTGCAGCATCCGACCTTTGCCCTCAGCGTGAGGGGGTAGGGACTGGAGAAGAGAAAGGGAAGTGGGCAAGGATGGACTTGAAAGAAAGAAGGCTTGCAAAGCGGAGTGAATCACAAGCGTGGAAGCAAGGTCAGGCCAGTCCCCCGAAGTCTGGACCCTGAGATGGCAGGGACGGGGGCAAGAAGCAGGTAAGTCGCGATCCCTCCTGTCCAGCTGCGCCTGCCCTCTGGCTGCCCCGGTCGCCTTTCCTGGCGGATGCTCCTTCCCACATCGACCTTGGATCATTTCACAGTTTTCGCTGGATTTGCCTAACGCCAGCTAATTTTATCAGCTCCCGGCAGACATGCAACTTTACATTCTAGTTCCTTCCCAAACGTCTGTCTCCAGGCTGAACTTCCCGCAGGGCACTGTTTTCGGCTCCCCACGGGCGCTGGCACGCCGATGCATACGAGGCGCTCCAATGGCCACGTGCCCAGCCCGAGGGGCGCGCGTAGTCCCCGCGCTCAGCACGTGGGGATGCTCAACGCCATCTGTTGCGTCAGAATGAATTATGACACATCAGACATGCCCACGTGCCCAGCAACAGGGCTGGTTAAATAAACTACATGGCGCATCCATTCAAGATCCATTCAAGGGAATATTACGCGGCTGTAAAAGGAGAATCCAGAAAAAAGAATGAGGGGCTTCATAGGTATTAATGTGGAGAGATCACCAGGGTGTTGGAGGAGGGAGCCAGGCTCAGAAGGGAGTCTGCGGTCTGCCTCCTGCGAGGCTCAGATACGGGGACCGTGACCCAGGGGCTCTGACACGGGGCCCACGGCAGGACACGCTGGAAACTCGGGGCACGGCCACCGCCGGCTCCGCGGGGGGAACACGGGCCGGGTGGGCGGCTTCCCGGGGCACCTCTGCTCTATCGTTTGCTGTGCGAACCATGTTGACCTATCACCTATTTAAAACAAACAGCAACACATTTTTAACTAGAGTGAAAGAAGGTTATTCAGGGGTAAAGAAGAAAAGACCCCAGGACCTGGAGGTTTTGGAATTGAGAGCAAACTAAAAACGCCGTTTTGTACGCGGCTCTCCCCCAGACCAGCGGTTCTCAGCCCCCCGCGCGGCAAGGACTCCTAAGGCCCGCGGCAGCCGGCTTAGCCGGGCGCCCTGACCTCTCTTCCCCGAGATGGCCCAGTCGCAGACGGCAGCAGCCCACACCGCGACAGCCAGCCGGTGTGAATGAATCAAAAGTACACCTATTTTTTTGTCAGATCGGGCAAACATATAATAATTCTTTGGTGTACCAAAGAATTTTAATAATTAGTTTACGTGCGCCACGCCACGAAAAGGTTGAAAACCGCTGCTCCAGGCAGTGAGCGTCGAGCCTCATCAGTGCCATCGTCATCGTCTTACTTGTTAGCCACCAGGCGCATCACAGTCCAGTCCTTCGGGAACATCTCCGGGCGAATCAGGATCCGGAACACAGTGAAGATCTGCAGCAGGAAGTCCTTGGATGAGGGGGAGACAGAGCGCGTCACTGAGTTACCGGTTACTGCGACACACATGGGCACACACACCCGGCTGCTGTCCCCACTGCCAAAGCAAGGACAGGGAAGAAGGGAGCCACACGGCAGCACCCGACCCCAAACAAATCGCCCCCCCGCCCGACTCCCAGCCCCGGGGGGTTGCCCCCCCCCGCCCCGACATGTTCCCTGTTCTCCCCCTTCCTTGTGCACAGTGGAAAGGGCTTCTCATTTCTCTTCACAAGGTCTAAAAATTAAGGTCTCGGAAGTAGAATGGAAGGCTGGTGACAGGAGAGGAGCGTGCAAATACTGTCTCTCCCTCCATTCCGCGCCCTTAACATCAGACGGTCAACACAGTTCAACCCACTGCCGCCTCACTTCTGCTTTTGTCCAGTGGTGTCACGCTCAGAAGGTGACGCTCGTCAAGCAGCACCTCACACCAAAGCCCGCGTTTCTCAGGGCGCGTCCTGAAGTCGCAGCGTTAACGGAACGCCTGCGGGCTGGTGGGGCCTGCGCGTGCAGGACACAGAGGACCAGGCACGGGCGCCGAGCTGAGCCCGGTAACCAGTCCTGAGAAGCCGTGAGAGTGCACCAACGTCCTGTATTCTCTGAAATGTATTTCTCAGTGACAGTGGGGCACCGAGGCACCCTTCACAGAGACGCCGCGGCACAGGGCCGTGGTGTTGGCTGAGACACTAGCTTTAAACAAGTCACCGGGAAACACTTCTAACAAGAAGCTCCTGTCACACACGGAAACGTCTCTCCTTAAGACCTTACGAGAGATGGGCCTCGAAGGCTGGAGCGCCTCATGCTCCGTCCCACACCGCACGGGACAAAGGAGCAGGGGCTTGTCCTGCTCAAAAGGAGAGGGGCTCCATCTACTGACTTAGATGTATTAACTAAAAACCGAAAAGAATTTTTTTGTAACCTTAAGGGCTGCTAGGAAAATCTCTAATAACTTGACTGCAGGCAATGGTATGGTGTTGCCTAAAACATTTTTTTTAAACCCAAACACAAAAGTTTTATTTATCAAACCCAATCACACATTATGTTAAACATGTCAACTGCTTGAATATAAGATTATGGCTGTCACTCAGCTCATCAGAAGATAGACAGACAGACTCTGAAAGCCTAAGACACATGTGGTGACTGTGTATGTCTGTGTGTGTTTAACGTACTCTGACAGCTTTGCTTAAGCCCATAAATATTTTGACAGGAACTTATTTTAGCTCCTCGGCATCAATACATACATTGATACACATGCGCCATGTGGAAACGTGCCCACTAGGTCGCCTGTCTGTCAGAAGCCAGACGGCCCTGCCGTGTCGACAGACTCACTGGGGACAGCCTCCCAAGTGGGGGCCACCGGCCCCATGAAAAATGTGAGGCCCATGAGGCCCCCTGGGGCTACGGTTGGTTTTAAAAAGTTCACATGATCATTTATCTGCGCATGTAGCACACAAATGTTTTCCTTATTTCTCAACTGTAGGTGCTTCATCGGACAGCGCACCGACACCTTCCACGGAGGTGCTCGCCCGTAACTTAGTTCAGCGCGTGCTCCCCATCGGCTGCCGGGGACAGGCTTCATGTCACACTCAGCCCCAGCACGTTAAAGCGCTGAGAGCTGCCTCCCGGGTTCTTCAGGGCCCCTTCCTCCCCGGAGACGGTGGCCCCTGGTCCGCCCTCTCCCGGTTCTTTCCAGCTCAGATCACTTCACTGATGGCGAGCTTTTGCACGGGTGTGTGAAATTGTTTTGCACATACAACAATGAGTAACTGATTCTTTCTATAATTAAAAATAGAACATTTTTATAATAATATTCCTGACTGGATAACACAAAGACCTAAGTATTGTATACGCCACTGTTTAAAACCAGCAGCCTGGGAGCGGTTTTTTTATAGCTTGTTTACTTCCAATAGCACAACACGGTAGTTCAACTGCACAGTGGCTCTTCCTCAAACGAGAGTTCAAAATAAAAAACAGAAATGGGGGTGCTACTTTACAGGGTCCCTCTGTCTGTCGTGTGAGAGGTTCAAGGAAGAAAGTTCACGAGAAAGCCTTACAAAGCTCCACAGTCAAATAGAAGAGAAGGCAAGGCCAACGACTACGGCGTTAGCAATTGCCACCAGCACTTGTCCGTTCACAGACGCCAGGTGTGTCCTCGGCGCCAGGCGCCGTGTTGGAGGCCGGGGACGCCGCGTGGGGTAGGGGGCCGTCTCCAGTCCATTATGCAAGATTCTTTATGGAGCGCCCGTGACGAGCCGGGCCAGAGGAAGTGGAACGTGACCTTTTGCCTTCTCGGAGCTCATGCTTTGTGGGGGACAGATGAACGTAAATCTGAAAACCACACAGGCGTACACACGCATTACCAGCGAAGACCCGTCTGAGGGCCAGGTGCTCCACACAGAGGGAAGGGCACCCGGCACGGCTCAGGCAAGAGAGAACACAGAGGCCAGTCCCCAGGCGGCCAAGCGGGGGTGGGGAGGGAGGCGGAAAGATAAACAGGGATAAAGTATGGATGGATGATGCGTGGGTGCAGAGAGAGACAGAGAGATAATAAGTAAGGACCAAAGATAAACAGATAAATGAAAAAGTAAGCCTCATACCCCTCTTACACTAAGGAGCTGGGAAACTGATCCCCACAAGCACAAGGCGGCACTGCGGGGGTTACACAGACAGGCAAGAGGGTCTAACCTGTGCTCCATAAACGCTGATAGTAATATGTAAGAAGCTGTTTCGTATTAATAATACATGATGTGATGGTATCAGGATAGCACAGACAGAAGTTCAGTACAAAGCAGAATTCGTGGGACGCGTGGACTTCTAAGACCATAAAACGTGAATTAAGGCATCCAGAAAAGAAAGCCTCGTGAGGTGGGGGACAGACCAGACACTGTCTCTATGTCAAGAACAATGAGCAGGACAGAGCCTTCCAAGAATACGTGTCCCTGACTTGTAAGTTAGAATCAAATGTGATTTAAAAATTTGCCACACATCTGAAATGTGTAACACCCTTGATACTGGGTTTAAATTCAATGAAAGGGTGTTAATAATCATTATCACATTGAACTTCACATTCTTAACGTTGAATGTTAAAATACATTATGCAAAAATAACTCCTAAATGGTCTTCGATCTTTAAGAGCGATAGAACTATTTTTCTGTAATAAAGACAAGACTGTAAGTCAAAATAATTATATGGAAAAAAATGGCTTGTGAAGCAAGCAGACATTTATTAAGAGAGTTGACTCATTCAACTAAGATTGATCCATGATTTACTGCTGTGGGAGCATTCCGGGCTCTGTGCTTCGGACACAGTGACAGTCTCACGGGACCCACAGTCACCAGGAATACAAGCGAACAACAAAGAATCCCCGCACACCATTCGGAGCTATCGCGGAGGGAGGGCTGTAGTTAATGAGGGTACGAATTAGGCAACGGCAGTGAGCTGGTGGAAGAACAGGCTTCGAAGGAGGCAAAAGGATGATTCAGGTGAGTTAAAACTTACGTATGTGATGCGTTAGGAACATGCAAACAACGTTAAGGGCTGGAATGGCAGGGGTTTGGAGAGTGGTGGGGGGGACGAACGGGGGTGGGAGGTAAATGAGGGAGGCTACGGAAGACTGGACCAAGACCCCGGGCTTCACCCCGCAGGGAACGTCCAGTCCTCGCGCTTTGAAGTCGGGCTGAGGCCAGATCAGATAGGATTTCTGAAAGCTGGTGGGCGAGCACGTGAGAGACAATGCAAGGTTACCATAAGGCTGTACGTAACGTCCGGAGCACGTACAAGCTCATGCTTTATGGCCAGCCCCGCAGTTCTGTGTGAAAAGCCGTCATCACCACCAGAGAACGGGGGCTCGCGGCTCTCCATACACACAAATGCCAGGGGCAAGGACAAAACTTTAGCCCCCAGGAGAAGGTGGGCGTGTAATACAACATTCCCGATGCGGAAGCAGGAAAAAAACCCTCATTGCGTCTCAGTTTTTGCTTTTGTCCATTTCTGTGATAATGCCTTGTTCTAGCAGCGGAGAGACTTCAACAAGGCGGAGAGGCGGCCTCAGGCACTTCTGCTGCCGCTGCGAGGCACCCCCGCCCCCACGAGTCCCCGCGGACCAGGAGAAGAAATGGCGTCCTGCGCCAACAGCCACTCCGAACCCACTCCACAGGAACCCTGGGGACAGCGGGGTCTTCGAGTGAGAACACAGTTCCAACACCACCGGCCTGAGCAGGTGCTCGGGAACGACATGCTTTCTAAACTCATTTTGATTTTGAGAACCATTGGAAACGTGGGGCCACATCTTTCTTCGAACTGATAGGAAAAAAGCAGTAACACTAGGGATAAACAACAGTAAAATTTTCATCTGGAAATCTCAGTATGTCATCTGTCAGTCTCTGTTGCGCTCTAACAGCGCCCGTGACCCGACAGCACAGCTCCGGGACGTCCCTCAGCAGCAACAGGCAGGGCACAGTGCACAGGGACAGGCACCGAGAGACGCGTGTGCACTGCTCCGTCCTTCCCGCGGGCAAAAACCGGAAAACCCGGGCTGCCCGTCGTCAGGGGCATGGCTACGCCACGGAGCCCCCGGAAGCGAGGCTGAGAAGGTGAAGGACTACGTAGTAATATCCAGGATACGCTATCGTGTGCAAAGGCACAACCCGCGTGAACAGGGTGAAGCCCCAGAGAGCCCTGTGTGCGTTTACAGCTCAGCGGACGCTCTGTGAGGACGCCCGCCCGCATGGTGACACTGGCTCCCTCTGGGGATTGGAACACCCGCACGGGGGGAGGGGCACACACAGCTCGACGTAGTCCTTCAGACCAGTCAGGCTGTGTGAGGCTTCCAGGGTCCAACTGCAGCACCAGCTGCAATTTTCCGTTTCTGTCCTTCTTCCGAGCCCCACCTTTCCTTACTGAGAGCTGCCGTATTTGTTCCATTTTTAACCTAAATGTAGATACAGAAAACTCTCCCTGTACCGATTTCCCCTTGCCCCGACACCGCTGCGGCCCCACTAGAATCCCCGTGTTACTTTTAACGAGTTGTCAGATGAAATGCTGTGCGATTTGATAGCAACGATTTTGGGTGAGGAAAGTTTACTAAAGTTTATGAAAAAGCGGAGCTTTACTGCTGGAGCCAAGGGCTCAGGCGCCAATGGAATTTGTAGCCTCCTAATGACTCAGGAGTAGCAGCAGCATCAGTCCTCGCGGCGGGGGAGGGGTGTGACTGAGATGCAAGGGGCGCGCCTCTGCCGCCTCGCAGGGCGCAGGGAGGAGGTTGCTTGCGCACATCACACTCCTCCCTTCGCACCTCGGCTCCCCTCCTCACGCTGAGGCGCGAACAGGTTTTGAACGATGAAGTCACAGGCTTCTTAGGTCAGACCTAACGGGGCCTCGCGGTCAACGTCCAACGAAGGTTAGGGACTGCACAATTACCCTTCTTTCTAACCACACGGCTTTCGATGTGTAGGGTTCTAACACTTTCGATCCATTTCTAATTCTACACTCAAGAGTGAATGGAAGCACGAGAAGCGTGGTATTTGCGGGCTTCAGCCTATCTATGCCAATCGGGGCACCGCTAGAGAGAGCACGTCTGCCCAAACCCATGCCTTGTCCCGTGAGACTCAGCGTGGCCACTGCTCCAAGGTCACCGACAGACTCGCCAGAGATCACCCATCTCCCAGGCAGTTAGGACTCAAAGATAAGAGGCCCTTACGCACTATATGTATATTTTAAAATGTGCACGCCTCCCCCGAAGGCACCGGGAAGGCTTCCAGTCACGTGACGTCACCGCGGCACTGCACCCACCGCCCCCGCCTTCCCCGCCCCCCGCCTTTCAGTAGCCTTTCCATAATGACCGCTCACGTCCCAAATCATCCAGAAAGCTGGAGACACGGAGCAAAATGAGGCAGGGGAGGACAGAGGACCGGTCATTTCTCCGACAGAAGACAATGAACTTCCAAGCTTTTAATGAATGCCATCAATGAAGCAGTCAAGTTCCCTGAATCTCAGCAAAGGTCGGAGGATATTTAGAAGCCCGGCATCAATATTTTTAATTTAATGTCAGCGCATGAGACGAGTACAGTGTATTGATTAGCCTGGAGGTGATAGTGAATATCAAATCCAACCCTGCGTCCCTCGTCAGAACAAGGCAGCCAGAATTCCCCACTGTGGTTTGAGGGGGATGGAGTCAGCCCATATAATGCAGTGCGCCCCTGCACCTCTGTGAAGGCAATATTTCCAAGTCCACTTTACTAGAGTTAGTCAATTTGCTTTGGTCTCGTCAGTTCTCTTATTGTTTCTGGCTTATTGTGCTTTGATGGCAGGTGTTTTATATCCTATGTTTTTGCCCAGAATGAGAGCGAATTCCTTTGCATGAGTACAGAAATCTTAAAAAGCCACTGTGGGTGAGCAGATGTGTGGATGAAGCTGAGAAAAAGGTAGCTTAGAATTTAATGGAAACAGGAAACGCAACTGTCAAGGAACTATCTGCCTAACGATCAAGAAGACCAAGAGAAGTTAAAAAGAGATAGGAAAAACAGTTTTTAAATGTCACTCACCCTTAGTTCTTCCTTTGTATTGAAACTGTCCAGAAGCTGTTGATAATGTCTGTCTGTCATTTGCCGTAACAGGGACAGGAGACAAGCAACAAACTCCCCCTAATTGAAAAAGGAGAAGAAAAAGCAAGCATCTTTCAGTAAGGACATGAAAGAACATACATAATTTATTTTGAACTACCCTAAAATAGAACACTTACAAAAACCCAATATGATCCAAACTCACCCAATGAAGTTGTCTTAATCTAAATTGACCATAATATCAGAGTCAGAATTTCCCCCTGGGGTGATTAGCATTTCCTTGTTCTACATGGATTTTTAAGTTCCGGGTGGATTTCTTTACCTGGACGAAAGCTTCTCACTGGGGAAGGAACCCCACCCACTGAGAGGAGGCCTGGCAAAGGCGCCCCCACCACCGACTACACATTTGCTGTACCTCCGTGAATCACCTCACTCGAGCCTCACATCAATGCTGTGAGGTAGGCGGCGCAACGCTTATCTATAGAAGGTAAAAGGCAGCTTCAGCGGGCTAAACACTTGCCCAAAGTCACGGCAGAAATGAGAACTAGCGTCATCCCTAGACCTTTTGGAGCACAGCTCTTCCTGTGACGTTACGCTCCCTTTCTGAACCCCCGCGGCCTTCTTGGCCCGTCCGAGCACGCACCTGTCCACAGCAGCGAGCGGGGAAAGCCAACGGCGCGCTAGGCGGCTTCAGCCTCTTTTTAAAAATACGTGCCCTGCAAGCCTTTTGTGCTCGGTGCTGTGGCATAGACCCCTACGAAGCCCAAATCTTAAAAAACCAATAATGGAAAAGAAAAATATGCACAGCATCATAGATTTGAAGACCTATAAAGCTGCTATCGTGTTCACTTCCTAATGCATTTCTGATTTAAAGTATTTCTGTTCAAGGCAACCTTTTTTTTGCGCAGCAAATGATTTATCTGCTTTTAATTACATTTACACAGTTTTAATTACATTTAAAACAAGGCAAACACAACGGGAGACGCAGTCAGCGGCAACCGACTCTAAGCTCACAGACATGCAGCCTCACGAGGAGGTGGTTTCTTCGACATGACAGCGATGGCGGCTGCAGAATCACGTACAAAACCAGAGATGAAGGCCCCGAGAAGTGGGCCACTGCAGCAGAGGCAGCTCCGTCAGGGCGGTCACACGCGTCCCCCCAGTCGCCGAGGAGGCCAGGGGATGCTCCTTCATGGCCACATCGGGATAAGCAGAGGGGTGCCTGACCCCTACGTGGGAATACGCATTTACATAACACACCCACACGCGCACACACACGAAAGAGAATTATCCCCGCGGGCTCATCAGGGCAAATACTTAAGGAACTAACCAGCGTGGGCTGGCAAATTAAAGTGACAGGCTCAGCATGTCACTTTATTAACAAACAAGGAACCCCTGACACTTGACACAATTAGAAAATTGAAGGGCACAATTATTCATATTTTAGTGCATGTGTAAAAGGAAATAACCCGGGAAAGGAAAACCGCCCCGAAGGACGGGGAGAAGGGCGCTTGGGGCTCACCCAGGGTGGGGGTGGCAGGACCGCCTCTTCTGCCGTCCGGGCGGGACCCGCTCGCTGTTACGGGGGTGCCAGTGAGAGCAGGAAACGGGACCTTTCCTCGGCCGCAGGGAGAAGCGACTGTTAGAATAAACGCTGCTCTGATCCTGCCTGAGAGCGTTCAAAAGCAAGACGTGAAATGAACAGCTCCCAAGAAATTTATCCTCATTCCACAGCAAAGCTCAAAGGTATGTTTAGAAATTAAAAAAAAAAAGAAAGAAAGAAAAGAAAAACAACTCCTACTAAGGTAAAATTTACAATGTCTGGCATTCAATAAAAACATACCAGGCGGACACTGAAGCAGAGAAAATGATCATGTAGGTGAGAAGAAAAAATAATCACTAGAAATAGACCCAGAAATGACATAGAAAACAGAATCAGCAGTCAAGGACATTAAAATATCTATCACTACTCTATTCTGTATGTTCAGAGAACTAGAAGAAAAGTTTAATATGTTAATGAGAGACATGGAAGATACCAAAGGAACCCAAATTAAACTTTCAGGGATGAAGACTATAATGTGTGATATAAAAATTCATTGAATGGGACTAATGGCAGGTTAGACACTGCAGAAGAAAACATCTTTAAACTTGAAGACAGAGTTATAGAAAGTCTCCAAAATAAAAAAGAAAAATACAACAACAAAAAAAGAAAAGCACATCAGTAAACCACAGGGCTTCAAGTAGCAGCACACACACACACACAACTGGAGACCTCAAAGAGGAGGAGGAAACAGAAAAAGCAATTGAAGAAACAGGGAAACAATTTCAGATTCTTTGAAAATGCTAAACCCAAGTATGAAAGAATGTCAACACACCCTAAGCACAAGAGTGAGAAAAATTACACCAAGGCACATAATAATAATATGGCTTATAGCCACTGAGAAAGAAAAAGAATCTTAACACCAGTCACAGGAAAAAAAAAAAAAAAAAAAAGCATTATGTAGCGAGGAGCAAAGATAAGGACCGGTGACTTCTGACTGAAAACAACAGAAGCGAGAAGACAGCGGAGAAGCCGCAGCCGTCCAGCCCTGGTGCGTTTACCGCAGGCGGCCACCTCCACCTCTACCTGACGATGCCATTCAACTTAGTCACCTGTCTTTTTAGGAACTCCAAGCACATTCAATGCGGTGAAGAGGCCTGGATGTTCAGTAATTTTATTTTCTGAAAGATTTTAAGTGTCTATATGATAACTCTAGCCCCACAATTTGTTGAAAAGAATACATTTTTTAAAAAGCCATTGTTGCCCAACATTTACATAGTTGTAATGAGGAATATTTTTACATACAAATCACCTTTCAAACATGACACCCTTTGGTGGCCCGCATCCATCTGATGAACAGATCAGGTATAATGTGCATCTCTACTACTGTCCGTGAATGAGGTATCAGGTGGCCACAACATACGACTTCAAGAAACCTATTACTCATGAGCACATTTCTTCCCAGAAATCTCTTACAGAATTCCCCTGTACTCTGTCCCCTCTCCAAACCACAAGGCTGCCATGCACAAAAACTTTAGGTAAGCACACCGAAGTGTTAGATGTGAACCCTGCTGAGCCGAGCCGCCTGCATTACACGCGGTGCCAAACAGCATGAAATATAAAGAAAAGCAGCATTTTTACATTGTAAGGATCTCTGCAGTCCAATTAGTTGAAGGCATGAACAAATGGTGATACAGCTACTTTATAAAATCTGCCTCCACATACAATTACATTTTTGAAAGTAAATGATTACCAGGGTGTTCCCCCCCGCCCCCCCCAGCTACAGAGAGCATTTTAAAGTTCAAAGAACAGTTGGTGTTAGAACAGAAAGTACAGTCCCCTAAGTAGTAAGAACCAGGCTGCAGCTTCCTGGAATTCTGGGAGGCGGGGGCAGCCAGGGCACTTGGAAGGGGAACAGCATCAAACGACATGGGGTGGGAACTGCTTTACCCACAGCACGCCCACCTCCGGGGGCACCTGTTCCGTAAAGACCAAAAAGCGCTCGAGGTCGGACCACACGTGAGGACCCGCCATTCACACAGCTGTCGTCCGGGAGGAAATGGCAGAGAAATCGGACAGCCCTTCCGAGCCCGGAGAGCATCGACTCTGTGAGCGAGCGGAGCACGTTTCTCACCGCAGAACTCGCTGCACCCCCACGGACAGGGTGCTGGCTTCACTGTAAAAATAATTACGCTGACTCCTGTGACTTCCACAATGACTAGTGACGGAAACAGATTGAGACTGTTTAAACATTTTTTCACAGATGTGAGGAAATCCTAACACAAACTGGAGATAAGTACAAGTGCTTTCTCTGTTTTAAAGACGAAGGAACAGAAGCTTAGTCGGTAACGGGCCCGAAGAGCAGGGCCGGACTCAAACCAGGTCTGCCTGCGTAGTCTCAAAAAACCTTAGAACAGTCGAAGGTCCTAAGTAATTTAAGTGTGTTTCCCTACCCAAGTTTCTCTCACATCCTGTGGGAGCTGGTGTTTCCCCACGGCAAGGCACACCACGCAGGCACTGACGCAGGGGAAGGTTTCTCTTCACGTGGTTTTCCCATAGCCCAGCATGCCCGACGGACCCCCCAAACCCACGCCCGACCCCCTGCCTTCTCCGGTCTCCTAGTCTGTGCTATCGCACTGTACGGAAGGCACTGAAGGCCACGCCAAACCCGGAGATATTTGGCACAGGACGGCTCCACCTGTGGATAGGAGCGGTTTGGAAAATTATTGCAGCTTTGACCTCAGGCCGCCTTCAACCACGTGCGGCCTTCACTGGGATTTCGTCTGGGGGACCATCGTCACTTTAGACTCCTGTTAGAGCTGTGCTGCCAGGAAGCAGTTCAAGAGCCACCATCCAAAGCACAGCGGAGGCTTTCCTTCGCCTTTAGCGGGGTGGTGCGGGTGCACTTGTCCCCCTTCCTCCTGTGAAGTACGACTCAAAATGGCTCGTGGACTTAAAGGTAAAAAATAAAACTATAACACTTTTAGGGGGAAAAAAAAAGCTAGAAGACAACTCTCAGGATATAGGGCTAGACAAAAAGAGTTCTTAGACTTGATATCCAAAGTCTGATCTATAAAAGGAAAAACAGGTAAATTGGACTTCGTCAAACTAAACATTTTGCATTAAAAAAGATCCCATTAAAAGAGTTTTTAAAAAGCTATAGAGTGGGTGAAAATATTTGTGAACCAAGTATTCCTAAAGGACTAGTATCCCGAATATATAAAGAACTCTTAACACTCAAGAGGAAAAAAACAGTTCATTAGAAAATGGGACAAGACAGGAAGAGAAGATCTTCTGAAGAGGAGATACAGACGGCAAACAAGCGCGTGGGAAGGGGTTCAGCCATGAGGGACATGCAAAGTTCAACCACAGTAATGATCACTAAACCCATCTGATGCAGCAGACGCTGATGAGTGTACTGAGAGACTGGATTACTCATCCTTTGTGGATGGGGGAACGTAAAATAATACAGCCACCCTACAAAACAACTTGAGAGGTTCTTAAAACACGAAATGCGGACTGAGCACACACCCCCGCAGCTGTCCTCCTAAAGGAGCCCCCCGGAGGGATGGGATGCAGGCGTGCGGGGCAGCGGGGCTCCCAACAGCTCGCACCTGGGCGGGGCGCAAGGCCTCCTGCAGAGGGAAGGGGAAACAGCGTGGTGCACCCACCCTGTGGGGCTGCGGGGCAGCGGAAAGGAACGCGTGCCACGTACACACAGAAGCCCAGGAGGATCCCCAGGGAGGTACGCAGACAAACAAACAAAACAAAAACAAGAGCCACAGAAGGTGACACAGAAGAATCACCTGTATGATCCCACTTGCACAACATTCTTGAAGTGATGAAATTATAGAAACAGGAAACAGACTTGTGGCTGTCAGGGTTAAGGGGGAGGTAGGCGTGGGAGGGACGTGGGTTTGGGGATAGAAGGGTGGAGGAGCTTCTCTGTGTCCTGACTGTAGGCAGGTCACTGCCGAGTCGTGAGACTGCACTGCACTATCGTTCTGTCAGGAGTCACCACTGCGGAAAGTGGGCCAAGGTGCGGGGGACACCTCTGTGTTATTTCTCCCAAACACCCGTGACGCTGCAATTATTGCGAAGTAAATTTTTTAAAAACAGGAAAGAACAAAACAAAAAAATTTAAATGAAAAACCCCACACCTTCAACACACAATGCACGCCAGCAACATTAGCAACAACACGCTCTGAGCGTCTACTGCAGCCAAACACAGAAGCCAATCTGATGAGCCAGCTGCCCTCTCACACGCGGAGTCCATCAGGCCAGGAGAAGTGACCTGAGGGCTCCTCTTTTCTCTGGATGAGGCGGGATGTATTAGGAAGGTTTCCCCACTATCTTTCCTGAGCTGGTTACAGGGAAGAGCATGCTTCCCAGTCCCAGAGCCCGGCCTCCTCAGGGAACGCTCAGCGCTGAAAGCAGAGATGATTGAGTTCACCGCAAGACGGCCGGCGGCCGACCCGGCTGCGAGCCGCGGGGAACTTTTCGTTTTTTTGTAAATAAAAATGAAATGCGTTCTCATCGGGGGCTAAGCAACCATTCTTGTGGCAATGGCTCTATAGTGCACTGTTTGTGAAAATAATGACAAAAAGCTGGTATTTTTCTAATTAATCTACACGTGGAAGCTACAGCATCTACTGACATTTCTGAAAATTACATTGGGAAGATTATTCTTAATTAGACCTAAACATTCTTGGTCAACTGAATGTGAGTTTTAAATAGAAATCCATCCATCCATCCACACATACGTCATTTTCTCTTTCTCCACACGCACACATACACACACAAATACATATACACTATCAGATATATTATTTCTTAATTTATATAAATCTTGTTATATTAGAATCATAAGATGGTTGCACTTGAAGGCACCTTAGAAATTACCAAGCCAAACTTTCTCATTCCATAGCCAAAGAAACGGATCCCCACCCAAACTGAGATCCTTCCTAGTCGTGGAGAAAAAGTCAGAGTCAGAACCCAAGGCCCCGGACCCCCATGGCTCTGTGTCCCTCCACTCCCTTCCTCCCGCAACCTGCCAGATAAAAAGAGAACGAACAGTCATTGAGATGACAGGGCACGTGGAGTGGCAGGTCAATGTAAACCGGGCAAAGCGAGAGTTAATGCCAGGCCCGGCTTCCAGGAATCGGACATGTCTTCCCCCAAGACCTTCCCTTGGGGGTGCTTCCTGTCCTCGTGCCCTGCTGGAGAGGCGCACCGGGGACTCTCCCCAGGTTTCTGCGGCAGCCCCTCCCCCACAGCAATGGACGCCCCGATGAGCGCCCCCACGCCCTGCCCCACAGGCCAGCGGCTCTGTGACCGTACAGTGACATCCTGGAACTGCAGCCGTGCGGAGGAGCCGGAGGGCTGAGGGCGGCTGGTGATCTCCAATATGGTTCTCAGCAGGGTGTCCAGCAGGCTGGCCACTATCACATCTATTTCCTCCAGCACAGATTTTTCCTTAAGAGAAAAAAACAACACAATGTGTTCAGGAAGCTCCAGCTGCATCGGCATATTGATCGCTCTCTAACGGAAAAGGAGAGAAAGCACATTTCCAAATGCAGGATCGAGGAGACAGACAACTCGAGGGCTTTGACAGGCCTGGACCCCACTGACAGAAAACCCCACAGACAAAAATCTTACAGAAAACAAAGGCATGAAGACGTTAACAGTGGACCCCATGCACGGCCTGGCTGTGCCTGGCGCCTGGGGTGCACACGGAGGGAAGGCCACCCAGTGCGCGTGGAGCCCAGCCAGGCGGCCAACACGGCAAGGCGCGGCGCGGCATGGCCCTGAGCCGGGCGGCATGCCTTTCTGGGCCTGACTCCCCACCGAACGTCCTCTTGCTTCTAAAAGTCCATAGCTCTTTTTTTTTTTTTTTTAAATCTCGATCGTGCTTACAATGACTCTTCTTAACACTTGAACTGCACCGGTCATTTTCCAAAACTCAATTTTAAGTGCAAAGGACACTTTCTATAAAAATGATTTTCTTAAAGCACCTCACATGCAAACATTAGCAAAAGCACTGAGACCAGGCGACTACCGTCAGCGGCAGACTGGACCGAACGCCAGAGCGACGGTGGGGGCTGCCTTCCTGAAGCACAGCGCACCCGCCAGGCCCAGCCAAGAGAGGGGCCCTGGCTGCTCTGCGCAGGCTGTGTGCAGTGAATGGGGTGCTTCCACACCCACCCACGGTGAAGCTCTGCACAAATGCCCCCTGCCCGGGAGGTCGGCCCTGCAAGGGAAACCCTTAGGAAGCGTGAGCTGGAAAGAGCTTGTTGGCCAGACTATTATGACAAACATTCCTGTAAGAAAATGGCTGAGGTTCCCTTCCCAGAGCTGAGTTCCTGCTCTGAATTCCTTATTGGCTCAACCGAAACACAGCTTGCGACGTCCCACCTGAAGCAGACAGAAGATTTAAGCGTCCCCGCCGCTACCACCGCTGTCTGTCTGCAGCTGGCCGCCGTGGACCGGCTCAGGCTGTGAGGGCGCGCTCGCTGGCCACACACAGCGGCTCGCTGGACGGGGCGGAGGCGGGTTTACGGGGAAGCTAACGTCTGCCCCGCACCCGCACTCACCCCACCCCAGACCCCCGCCCCGGGGCCTGGAATCACGAGGCTGTGCACAAACCCCCGGCCTCCCAGCCAGGCCCCCTTACAGCTGCAGACATGGAGCTTCTCTAGAGCGGCCCTGTTCCCAGGCTACTGGGGCCTTTTCTCCACCACTTCCCTGGAGTCCCACGTCAACTGACCGTCAAACCCTTCAGATGGCTGTCATGAGAGTGACAAGGACAGGGACACGGTAGCACAGCCATCACACGGAGGCAAAGAGACAGACGTCTCAAGGCTCACCGTCACTGGGACAGGTGAGCCCAGGCTCAGTGAGGAGCTGCAGACGGACAGACCCGGAGCAGGACGTCCTCCACGTGTGGATTTCACCTCAGACCCCTCCCCCACCGAGCCACGGCCGTGACAACCCCACCTTGTCCCCACTTACAAGCAAGCATGTGATTTTTCTTGATTTGCACTCAACCCCTAATGCAATGGCATTGCGTCGAGAGTCGGGAATTGACAGAATTCCCAAAGCCCCAGCAAGTGAGGGGGTCTGGGGAGGGCTGAGTCCCCGGGCTCCTGGGGCTTCCCTGGGCCCCCCCAGTCCCCACGGGCCGGGCACGGGGGCCAGGGCCGTACTCCAAGCACGGCCGCCCGGCAGCCTGGCACAGAGCAGGTGCCCGCACGTGTCCCTGTGTGGGCAGGCCTTGGTTCCCCCTGCAGAGCCTTCATCCTATTGCGATTAAAGACGCTCATGGGAGGCCCTGAGAATTCTAATTCTCCTAACCAGGGACTCCGTCCTTTCTTGAGGTATAAGTTCAGGAAACCCAGGCTATTTGGGGTTACAGCTACCCTACAAGGTTAAAAAATAACTCCTTCTAAGGCAAAGCACAAGGTCCCGGCCCAGTGGGACAGAAAAGTGGGAGCATCGGGGGTGATACGTCCGCGTGGTTTCTCTGAAGACGTTCGGCATTTCGCTTACTCCCAGGAGCCCCTTGGCGGCAACGCCGCAGGCGATCAGGAGTTACTTACCGAGCTGTTCTTCTTGATGAGACAGAACACGTTGCTGAGGATGCGCGCGCACGTGATCAGGTCCTTCTGCTCCTGCAGGTGCATGTGCAGGTGGTGCAAGACCACGGGCAGCAGGATGTACCTGGAATCTGCAGAGATGCGTGTCAGTGTCGGCCCCGCGGCCCCGCATCACCCCGCGGTCGCGCGACTGAGGGTGAGGATTGCTGTGTGAGCAACACACGCCGCTAGAGAGGTACTTGTTCCACACAGTTGGTATTAAAAACAAAAACAAATGGTAAGACAGTAGTTCTTTTCCCAGCCCAGGATTCCTGAACTCAAGGCTTTTTGCTCTTTTATTGACACAGGGTTTAAAAAAAACAAAACTGTTTTACACCCAGCTTATTAAAATGGCATGCTTCTCTTGCTATTTCCAGATTTTCCATTGAGAGAGAGCAGCGATTTTCAGCCAGTGCCACAAGAATTTTTAAAACATGCAACACCTATTTAGTCAGGGGCACTGACCTCTTTTCCTTTGATGGTCAAATAAAAAAAAATGCCATCAGCCAACACAGCAATAGCCATCTGGTGTAAATGAACCAAAATTATACTTTTTTTTTTTTTTGTCAGGTCAGCAGAAAATATATTTTTCGTGGGCTGCAGAAGTTCAGTAATTAATTCATGTGTACCACGAGGTGAAAAAGGCTGAAAATCGCTGAGACAGGTCATCTACTGACTTCCTACTACAGTGGATAAGATAAGGTTTCGTTTTACTCTTTTTTTCTATTCCCAGCTTCTCAAAAGAGTCAGAGCATGCTTCCTGGCGAAATTAACATTTGGGGTTTGCTGCCATTCTGATTTCCAACCTTTTTACATGATCGGATCCTTGCTTGGTTTTGTTTCTTTCTGAAAGCTTTTGGGAGCTATTCTTGGTAATTCAAAATTCCATGATTTTCACTTGCCTTACCTTTTCCACCCATAAATGCATATCCTTCAGCTTGGAAACTCCCTGAATTATTTCTACAATTATTTCATTTTTTTCTGTCCTGTGTCTGGAACTTCGCATATATCCATGTCATGAATCTCTTAAATACCTCCTACTTTTCCCAGATTGTAAAAAGTCATTTTTGTCCAACTTTCTAGTCAATTTCGGTACTTTACCCCCCAAACCTTCTGTTCTGTTTTCCTGGTTCTGCTACCACACAGCCTCCAAGGGCGTCTTCTCCCTCCCGAGGCCAGGGCCATGGGTGTGCAAGCTGGGCAGTCACCGGGGCGCCCCCCTCCCCGGCTTTAACGCCGTAACTGCCATTGTGACGTGCCTGCCGTCAGCTAACACAATGCTTAACCATGAGGGACGGAATGCTTTCTCCTTTCGATCAGACACAAGGCAAGGACGGCCAGTTTCACCTGTCCGATTCCACACGATGCTGGCTTCCTAGCCGGTGGAATAACGGGGATCCACAGGGAGAGAATGTCTGAGTCTGTATCCTAATAAAAATCAGAAGGGATGCAAACAAAGCATTCACAACAAGGGGAGCGCCTGATTCTCTCTCTGCTGCCTTCTTGATCACTGTTAGCAGTGAGGTCCGGAGTCTTTATTTCTCTAATGCCTGGCAGGGGGCCACCTGCACAAAGAGGTCTGGCCTCAGGTTTACCTCCAAAACAAACCACACAGGGCAGGTGTAGACTTCCCTCTCAGAAAACGAACGAAGAATATTAAAATCCAACCTTGTGCAATAATTAACAGCAGGCTTCCTCTGAACAGTGAGCCTGACCAAGGAACATAAATACTTATTTATAAACCAATTACTTGACAAAAAGAATCAACAAAAAGGAAAAAGAAAGAGACAGGTTAAATGACAGAAGTCACTGCCCAGTGATGCTGTATAATTAGAGAGAGAGCGCGCGCGTTTATCTGATCCGTTCCTGTAGCCAGTGGGATTGGATTTCTAAAAATTCAATTTGCAACCAACTGTTAGGAAAATAGCCACCATGAAAAAAGGCAGACAAATAATTCGCGTGTGGTTGTCTCTACAAAGAGATACACGACGAACTAGCCTGCGGAGCTGACTTTTCCGCCTTCCCGGGCAATGCCTGTCCCTGAAATGATAGAATCAGCGGGCAAATGCCGAACACGCTGACGGGGGAAAATGCTAATTCTTACCTTTAAAAGCAGGACAGAAGGAAGGCGGGAAGGAGGGAAGGAGGGGAGGGAGGGAGAGAACCCACGGTCACGCAAACACGAACTTGCGTGCATTTAGCACCAGACACCGCCGTGCAGGCTGGGTCTCTGAGGGCCAGCACTCACAGCTCACAACTCAGACCAAAGCTGCACTATAGGGTGTCCCGCTGGTGCACCAGGGAGAGACCCTGTGGCACTTTCGGTGTTGCTGGGACCCGCTTGAGCGGATGAGGCCTGATCCCATATATAATCCTTGGCGGGGGGGGGGTGCGGCTGAGAAATGCAGGTAGCTTTCTTCCTTGAGGTTCATTTGGAGGCAAGTCATACTCTTTCCTTCCCCTGTCGACAGAGCTTTAGGCCAGGACCCCTGGAGTGAGGTCTGTCCCCACGGAGCGAGGTCTGTGAACCTTGGGGCAGCGTGCGGGGCTGCCGACCGCTGTCCACCAACCAGGGCTCCAGCCTGGGCTGGACGTGAGCAGGACCCCAGCACTGGCCCCATGGCAGCCTCAGGAGGTGACAGTGCAAGGCAGGTGGGCAGGGGCCACGCTGGCTGCACGCAGCTTTGCACGTAGCTGGGAGCAGAGACAAACCAGCCCTGCAGCACACACCTGAAATCCGAAGTGGGCGGGGCCACTGGGACCAAAGCCACCAGGAACTGAACTACCGATGTCACAGAGAGCAGCCAAACCTGCCAACAAGCCGTCAGATGCCGGAGGACAGACAGCACTGGGTGGGACTGCCATCTGGCAGCCACGCTGTCCAGCAGACAGCGTCAGGATCACAGCGGAAGGCGTGGTAGCGGGTTCAGGACAACCTCTGCAAAGGCCGCTTCCGGTCTCACCCGCGGGATCTGATGCCCCCGGAGGCCCCACCATGGAGTGTCCTCCCCGCTGGAAAACCAGAAGCGGGAAGGAGTGGGAAGGAGCATGCAGGTGCAGCGGGAAGGACGGCCACCCGGGTGTGGCGCTCCGGGGAGACGCCTGGCTTAGAGCGGAACCTCAGTGGTGTCAGCACGTGGACCCCGGGCCAAAGTGAAGGGGCAGGATGAGCCCCAAGGCTCCCTCAGGCCCCCTGCTGCACGGCCGCCCACACGCGTCCCCAGAACGACTGCCGTCATACCACGCTCTAGCATCGTCACTTGTCTGAAGTCCGCTTCCATGCTCAGCTCACTGTGAGCAGGCTGCGCTCAGCAACTGTACCGTTTCAGTTTGCTCCGTTTAAAACAATAGAGTGGGTCTGTCCACAGCACACATGTGTTGACTAATAAACGGACTAACCCATCGGTTCCACTGGAGGTGAAGCAACAGCAATGGAGCCTGGCAGCTTTGACGCAGCTCACGGGACTGTTTCCTTCACTCCTTCGGTCCTGACCCGGGCACGTGTCCCTCTGTTGGTCCTCTCCACGCCATGAGGCGCCAACCTAAGCTCATTCTGCACCGCGTCCTGCAGCCACGCTGGCTCCTCCATGTGCCGCCCCGCTCCCTTCTCCTTGGGATTTGCGATGGTTCATTTTATGTGCCGACTAGACCGGGCCATGGGCCTCCAGATATCGGGCCAAATGTCATCCTGGGGAGTCTGTGAGGTTAACGTTGGAGTCAGCAGATGGAGGAAAGCTGATGCCCTCTCCCACATGGGCAGCCTCGCCCAGTGCACTAGAGGCCTGAAAGGAAGGTGAGGAAGGAGAGATTTGCTCTCTGCCCGTCTCCCGGGGGGCCAGCGGTCTTCTCCGGCCTGTGCATTTGGGCTGGAACTTACACCGCAGTCCCCAGCTTGAGACTTCTCAGCCTTGTGACATGAGCCAATTCCTGACAATAAGCCGCAACCTCTCTCTCTCTCTCTCTCTTCTCTCTCTCTCAGTAGGTATGTGTGTGTACATATACACACGCGCAAGTCCCAATAAGCAGGAGAAAAAATAAATTACCCATGATAAATTCTTCAGCGAAATACTATACACCAGTAAAAAGTGGATGAACTATAGCTCTGTCTAGCAGCATGGATAACTATGAGTATAGCATTAGTTAAAAAAAAACAACAAAAAAACAAGCTCTACATACTGTCATAGAAACACTAAAAGATGAAAAAATGGAAAAGATGAAAAAAATAATATGACATATCTTTAGATCTTCGTAATAAAGGCACAGAAGACAGGGAAGGGGCTCTCAGAGAGAGGGACCTTCTGTGAGGGAAGCGATTCTGCTCAGCCCAGCCCGGGTTGGTCGGTAACAAACGATGTCTTAATAAAGTACCTAAAACACCCACACCTGGGACTGCAAAAATTTCTCAATGCTTTGTTCATATCATGCTCTGCTCTTACCTGCTTGTCTAAAGTATTTACAATAAAAAATGTGAATAAAGGTTTGTTTACTATGTTTGAAACCCTATTTCAAAAGTATCAAGCACATAGGCATTCAGGTGGAAAGATAACTCTCAATAGAATGATTTTTTTCAAATTTGGTAATACTGATAGAAACTTATTAAACTTTATAATAAGGTTATTTATTATCTCAAGAAACACCAGAAGAAAACAGAGGTAATGAGATTTAATAACAGACATATAACAGAATAAATTTAGAAACTGTTAAATTAGTCACTGTCTATTACGATGAAATTAAAAATGACAATATATCAAAACTTTCGCCTAGTTGCAGACCACAGACTGATGGAAAACTTTCAAGGACAAACTAGGATCAAATCAGGTCCCTGGTAAGCATCCTGAAAGAAAAGTTAAATTTTGGTGAACATTAAAAAAAAAAAATTTGTAACTATACACCAAAAATAGTGATTAAAACCACTAATCGGAAGGGTTTTCCTTCTTTGTAGAAATAAAGTTTGAATAGTCATACTTTTGTATGTGTTGGCCAAAAAGTTTGTTTAGTTTATTCTGTATTAGTGCTTAGTTGTCTTTAACTTCATTCAAAACAATTTTGCTAACTTCTATTATGACAGCTGTCATATGAGCATGAATTTAAAAAAATCAAAGTTGGTGAATTTTTGTGCAGCCATTTTAATATTGAAGATGGAAGAAGATACGCAACATTTTTGGCATATTATGCTTTATGATTTCAAGAAAGGTAAAAACACAACTAAAATGCAAAAACAGATTTGTGCAGTGTATGGAGCAGGTGCTGTGCCTCAGCAAATGTGCCAAAAGTGGTTTGCAAGGTTTCTTGGTACTCCTGACATTTTGGCCAAGGAATCCTCTGCTGCGGGGCAGTCTAATGCACTGGAAGCTGTTCAGCAGCAGCCCCAGCCTCTCCCCACTAGAAGCCAATAGCGGGAGACAGCCAACGTACTCAAATATCCAAATCAAGAAAGTTATTGGTGAAAATGAAAAATGTGCCTTTTATGGAAAAAACATGTGGACTTTTTGGCCAGCCCGGCATTTGGCCACTCAGTGACCGCCTCCCACCAACCCCAGTGCACAGGCTTTGGGGAGAGCGGCTGTCAGCTTCCTAGTGCCAACTGCTCCTGCTGAGAGACGGCGACGGGCCTTGTAGGAGCCCCGCCCCAAGGGCACGCCCACCTGGGTTGGTGTACAGCTGGCTCTCCACGGTCTTGCCGATGCACTGCAGCTTCACCGCCTGCAGTGTCTCGTCCACGTGCACGATGGTGGGCAGGCTGCCCAGGGTGTCGTGAACCAGGTTGGCCACTTCCCGGATGTCGAAGAGCTTCAGCAGCTCAGAGTACACGGCAGGGAAGGAGCTCAGAAACACGGCCTTAAAAGAGAGAAGCTGAAGTCAACCCCCAGATGTGCCTCAGGAATGGGCTGCGACGTATCAGCGAGGTCAGGACTGTGACAAGTATTTTTGAGTGCTAGGAAAATGAATGTCAATGTATCTGGTATAAAGCTAAAAGGCTAAAGATAAAATTAACGAGTGCAGCAAAATCAGACCGTTTTTTGAAATGTGCAAAGACACAACACAAAAACTGGGAAATTCTGGAAAACTACTGACATTAGCAAAACGATTGGCAAAAAACCCCAGAGAATCAGAAAAATACGGCATGATCAGATGGAAAGAATGTTCCACCAAGCCTGCATGCCCTTGCTAGTATTTCCTTTCTTTCCGGTGAAGTTGTCTGAACTGCTCATTAAATCGCATTTACCGCTCAGAGACCAAACACATGGGTTCCCTCAAAGCACTCAATTTATGATTAAAGAAAAAACAAGGCATCGGCAGCCCTGAAGTGTATATAGTCCTAGCCTGGCTTCTAATCAACTCTGTGACCCTGGCCAAGTCAGGCTGGCCTCCGGGGGTCCAGTTCCTCACCTGCAAAATGAAAAGATCATCAGAAAACCCCCTGAGGCTGCTTTAAGATTTACTGTAAGCCCAGAAGTGTGTGTACAGACTAAGGACAATATTCTTTATGTAAAGAAAGAAGCCTGATCATTGTTTTTTTGTAGGAAAAAAGAAGATGGAAATATCAAATCCCAACAGGCATATCCCTAGCTCAAATCCTGACCTAGGATTGCACATCAAAACAGAAAGACAAGCACGGCCTTTTAAAATTCCGCAGGAGGAGGCAGTGAACGGAGCGGTCGCCAGGCTCACATCTACCTGGGGGTGGAGGGGGATGCACGTGCCTGGCAGGCTGTGCGCTGAGTGCCAGCGGCCTCCCCGTGAGATCTGACATGGGCAGAAAGTAGGTCAGCCGCAAGCGCTGATGCTCCAGACTCAGCATCCAAGTCAAATGCATGGACTGTGGGGTCAGCTATAGCGTGGCAGCAGAAGCACCTAGAAACCCATCGAAGAGCTACGTTCTTCTTGACTCTTAGTAACTAGAGATGTATTTGAAGGAATTTAAAATAAATCACCTAGTATTCCCAGCTAAAAAGAACATTTATATAACCTTCATTTAACTCTGCAAAGAGCTGAGTCATATAGATGAAGTTTAAAAAAATAATGAAATACAGTGAGCCCAGCTTTCTGATCATTGAAAAGTCAAGTTGATTTTCCTCAGGAATCCTTTAATTTACCCATTCATTATTTATACCTCTTCACTTCAAAAAAGCATTCAAATGGATCTGCTGTGCAAGACGCTTATATTGCAAAGGCCGAAGGAACAAACAGCTTGTGACGAGGGCCGAAGGGCAGTTACAGCAGCGTATCTAAGCTAAGGACTTTTACTGCAAAAATAAAAAAGAAAATCAATTTCATTTTGACCTTCCTAACAGCAAGGAAAAAAGTTGAGAAAGATAATGACTCAGAATTTAAAGCTGGGTTTGGGGCCTCAGCTCCTGTCATTCCTCTCCTCCTGGGGTCCCTGAGGCCGGGACCTACGCGGGTGGGTGTCCCCAAGAGCCACTGTCCCAACGGCTGACTGAGCAGCTGTGCCCAGGGCAGCCCTCACCAGGCAGAGCCGTGAGCGAGCGGGACACAGGCTAGGCAGGCTGCAGGAGCCCCTGACGGGGACCAGGACGGCCACGGCCGCGGGGCCACCGACTGCTGACCAACGCGAGGGACCACCAGGGTGGCTGCTCTGCCGGCAGGAGGCGGAACGTGCCCTGAGCTGCAGCCCCCATGGAAATATCGCAGGATGGAGCAAGGGACCGGCGCTTTCGCCTTGGGGCCGCCGAGGAGCTGAACGCCAGCCAGTGGGTGTCCCTGGCCCTGACGTGGCGGCAGGACGCTAAGACGGCGCCCCTGCCTTTGTCCCGTGGGCTGTGCCCTGCGTGCGTCATGCTCTGTGCTGGGAGGGGTTCTGCAGTCATAGCAAAGGCCGCTCATGAGCTGATCTTACAATATGGAGGTTGTCACGATGGGCCTGACCGCGTGAGCCCTGAAAACAAGCTTTCTCTGGCTGCGAGCAGGGGTGGCGAGGAACGTCAGAGACCAAGACTCCACACCGCTGGCTCTGAGGGCGGAGGGGCCACGTACCAAGGAGCACAAGTGGCCTCGAGGCACTGAGCGCGCCCTTCTCCTTCCCAACCTGGGAGCCTCGGTCCTATTCACCCACACGCAGACTGATTTCCTCCAAAAGCCTGAAAGACCTAGACAGCAACTCGCTCCCCAAAGCCCAGGGAGGCCCTCGGAGCCCGCCCAATGCTGCTGTCGGAGGCCCTCAGCGAAACCCCAGCCACGCCTCCTGCCCTACAGAACCGCGAGCCAACGAACGGGTGGCACTGACAGCCGTTAAGGTATGGGCATCCGAGAGGCGGCGATGGAAAAGTGACACCCTGGCCCACGCACAGGGTGTGGGGTGAGAAGGGAACCTGGATCGGGAGGGGGCGTCCCACTCCCCTTCCTCCCAAAACACAGGGGGACAAAGTCCCCACTGCTGGATAACGGACACCAGCCACTGCATCGCTGGATCTGAATTTTCTCTTAGCATCAAACTAAAACAACGTGATCACGTCAACATCGACAGGTATGGCTACTGCGTGAAAGCAAGTGACTTCAGCTGAGTTTATGAAGCTACTCAGGAACTGCATGTGGGTATTTTCTATATCACCTCTTGATAAAAAGGGAAAGTTAGGAGTCTGCGAAGGTGCTAAAGTTGCCTCACTAGGTTGAGGGAAGGACAGAACTTTGAGGATCAAGTCAAGATGCTGAAGAGACACAAGGAAACCTGCTCTGTCCCTCGCGGTGCAGGTGGCTCATGTCATCTCAGGGCGGCGGCTGGGGTTCCATGGAAACAGACCTAAGGCCAAAGGATCCTTCTCTACCTTTAAAGAAGAAACAAACCTCTTGCCTCCCTAGGAAGGCATCTCATTGAGAAATCATGACTCAAGGTTACTCTTCAAGGTAAGAGAATGTTTGTCAGATGTGAATTATGTTTTGTCCCTGTAACTGGTAAGGATTTAAAAAAGAAAAAGGAGAACAATTTTCAATAGCTTTCATAAACGTAGTGAACTTCGGAGAAATATGATCGAAAGGAGCACATGGTCGGTTCCTTGGACTGTCCTTTCCCAGTATCTGAAAGCAGGGTTTGCCTCATGGGCAGTGGGACACTGAGGTCTCCGGCAAGTCCCTAACATGCAGTGACCGACCCCTGGCGACAGAGGCCAAGAGGCTGTTCAAAGAGCCTGAACTGTGCCCTTGCCCGGAGGAGAGGCGAGTCCACTCCGGCTGCAAAGACGAGCGTAGCTCCCAGGTGGCCGGAAAGAGCGGGCGCAATCACGAAAGGGCTGGTCTGTCCCCGGCGTTTCGCCGTCACGGACAGTGACTCCCAAATGTCAAAAGCACAAATTATAACAATCCTCTGCAGGATCGGGTTTCTCCTTCTAGTCTCCCATTTTATGTCCCAATTCTCAACAATTTTAAGTCTCTCGTCTCCAGGGGCTGGTCACAAAGGGGCTGCTTCCCCCTCCGACAGGTTTATAACCAAGTCATTAGAGAGAAGAGTGTGTGGGAAGGATTAAGAAACGTGGAGGAAGATACTCTGAATCGTATCTCAGGACATGTTCAAGGCCATGCAGTTTGCAAAGCAGATGGATCTTGCTCTTCAGCAAAACAGGGGGAGCTGCTCTCTGTGTAATAGATTCTGGCAACAGCTCTCAGCGCTGGTCCCATAAGGTCAGGGCCAGGACAATGCGGGTCAGGTTCAGGAAAACAAAACAACGTACGGTTTATCTGAGTCTGATCCAGCGAGTCCCTTGCAGACGGATGAGAGTGGAGTGCAGTGCAAGGCCAGGGGAAAAGAGCTCCCACAGTGACATTCCGTCCACCAGGTGATAGGGACAGCACTTGCTTCTCGTCACCATCGTGTGTCCCAGAAACTGGGGCCAGGCTGACGCGAGCCACCAGGCTCTGCTTTCAGACGGGCCTGTCCGCTGTCTGAGGAAACACAGCCCACCACCCGCTCTGCGGCTCCCAGCACCTGGGGCCTTGCTGCTTAAGGCTATTCCGAGCCGCGGTGGCCGCACACACACACCAAGCTGTGGACTCCTCAGGGAGGGAATGACTTCCCTGCGGCCTATCGGGAAAACAAACACCCCAGGCTCACTTTTCCCCGTTCAGTGGCGAAGAGGGACGTTACCTGCGACTGAGACAGCGCCCCGGACCCTTTGCTCTCCTGGGACAGGAAGAAGCGCACGGACAGCAGCAGCTCCCGAATGCAGCCGCGGAACTCGTCCTCACTCTGTCCGCCGGTGGCCAGCGAGAACAGCCGCCGGGACTGCACGATGTACTTGAACAGGTATTCCTGCGCCTGCAACGCAATTTCCAGAAATGACTCCTGGGGCGGGGGCCAGCAGTACTGACCCCACAGAGGCAGACGGGGACACCCCGGCACTGTGTTCGATTTTCAGTGACCAATTTCAACACGAAGGACCCAGGGTTGTCGAACGGTATTTACACGTAGGAGGGGACTTCTTTTTCTCTGACGCTTAACAAGGGAAAACGTTTAGATCATTTGAAAATTCTACTGATGGCGGGAAGGGGGGAGGAGCTTGGGGTGGGTGTAACGGGGGGAGGGATTGAGAAGTCCCAGGGGATGAAGGACGCTTAGGGACTCTAGTCGACCATTTCTGCAGTGACTATGTATGGGGCCAGGTGGGTGCTAGACCTGTACGTTATGTAAATGTCTGGCCACTGTGCTGTACACTGGAACCCAGTGTCATATTGAATGTCAACTTCAATTGACCAGAAAATTTAAACACATAAAAATAAACATTCTCTGGAATTCTCCAGGCATAGGAACGTTAAATGTTTCAATCCTCAGAGGTTTTTAAATGAACAAGAAGGGTCTGTTTACAAAAATGACTTTGCTTTCCTGGTCAGTACACTTGCCACTCAGTCTTTTCCCTTCAGCCAGACCAAAGGAGTGAGGCTATAATTAACACAGCGCTTGATTTACGGAATGCACGCCTGCCTGCTTCCGTCTGCTGAGGGGGAACGGGGGGCTCTCCGCGGCAGGGAGCAGAAGGACAGCCCCTCTAAGAATCCGTATTCTCTGTGGACACGTTTGCAAGCGAGGAATGGGCCTCTCCACATGCGACTGGGCGCACGGCCCGGAGAGGCGGATGGCGCGACACCGGGAGACCCAGGGAAGCCTTGGGCAGCCGCGCCGGGCCCCGCTGAGCCACCTGCGCTCTGGAAACGCACGGCCAGCCGTCCGCAGGTGGTCCCCGTCAGGGCGACAAGGCCAGAACCGCCAGGCCCAGCCGCCCCGCCACACCCTTGGCCCCACGCCCCTCCTGTCGACCCCGGAGCCCAGCGGAGGAGGGACTCAGCCCTGAGCCCAAGCCACAGGGAGAGCCTGGCAAAGCCTCGTCCCAGTTTCGCCTGCCCTGGCGCGGCCATGAAGCGAGTGAGGCCCTGCCCCGGAAGGCCAGGGCCCCCACCACCCATGCCCGGCCACGGGGGCGCTGCTCGGGGAGGCGGTGCCACGCTGGGCGCGCAGGACCCCGGCGGCCGGCGTTACCTTCAGCACCTCCTGGATGTGCTCCTGCCGCTCCGCTTCCGTGACCCTGTCCACATACCACTTGAGCACTTTGATGAGGTCCCTGGAACACGGGGAGATGGGTGAGCAAGGTGCAGTAGGCCCCCCAAATCCTGCCCTTGTTCTTATCACGAGGGGCCCCCTTCCCGTCACTAGGCACGTTTTCTATCGAGCTGCTCAGGCAATCGCTTTACAAGGCTGCGCGTGGAAGAGCAGCCGCACTTCCCGCCAAGGAGGTCCTCTCATCTGGACACGTTCCCCCGGCCCGGCGGCTTCTGGGTGCTTCCAAACAGGTGACCACCGGCACCAGAGGACAGGACTCTGTCCAAGGAAGTGCCGGCGAGCATGACAGCCACCGTCAACCGTGGACAACTGCAGATCGGGATTTCTCCCCATGACCAGGGACACGGCTGATGAAATATCCTGGGCGAGGCCCCAGGCGGGATTCCCCCCCTCACACCCCACCCAGGGGCTCCTCAAGCCAGGCCTCCAACCGTGGGAAGAGCAGGCCTAGGGTCCTCAGGTGCCTCAGCAGGCAAAGGTCCAGAAAGGCCAAGCTTTGTTTTTTGAAGAAACAAATTGAATTAACACCCCCCTCGCTCATTCTCAAGACTGCGGCCTTGCTGTCTGCGCCTGTGGGCTGTGCTGGGTTTCTAGGAAACAGAGCACTTAGCAAAGTGCCCCCATTGCTCGCAGGCGGGCCGGCTGCCGGCAGGCGGCTGCGGTGGGGCGGGCACTGCAGCAGCGACGTCAGCGAGTCTCTGACTGCCCGCGGCCCCCACACAGGCCACTGGTACCCTGCTCCCCAAGCCAAGCGGAAACGTTAGAAGTGACACTCTTGTTCTCCCGCCTCCATGACAACTTCAGTCAGAAGCAGGGGCCCCGCATGCGAGGGCCCAAATCATACACCAAGTGGCAAAACCAGGCCCACATTTCCAAGCCACTTCAGCTGTTGCATTTCACCCTCTGCAAAAAAAAATTGTGTGGACAGAGGGCTCTTGCAAAACGTACAGCGTTCATGAAAACATCAGAGGCCGACATCTTCACACATCCCGGGAGGGAGCACCCAGTTCATGGCCGCAAGCGCTCACCTGATGACTGCTAGGTTCATATACCACACAGGTGGGCAAACAGGGCGAACCCAGATTCCGTGCCCTTTCCGCACACCTGGGAGTCAGTGACGGTGCACAGGTGCACCATCGGCGCTTCAGGAATGAGTGACAACATGGCAGGAGAGCAAGGGCGGCACTGGAATGGGAGACGATGGGACAGCAGGTCCACGCCTGGGCGGAGTTTAAGCAGGCAAAGACCGGGAAAAGGCGACGCGCAGAACAGAGAGAGATGCTAGGCTGTACAGAGGCGCGCCGGAGCGCGACAGCCCTGCTCCCTCGCAGCCTGCTGCGCAGGCTGAGCTGACGGCCACGGACGGGCGGTTGAGACAACGGCTAGAGCCACGGGGAGAGCCCCGCGGCCGGACCACCTGCAGCCGGGGACCAGGCCCCCGTGTTACCGGCACAAAGGACAGTGCCTGGCGTGCACAGGACATCAAACGGGGACCGACAAATGGGTGCGTGACCTGAGAAAGATCTGACGGTGAAGGCTGTTCTCCCTTCGTTATTTCTTCCTTAATGACACCCAGACTCGCTGCGGAGTGTGGCGACTGCGTGGGGCTCTTGGCCGCCAAGGGGACAAAAGAACTAGACGTTGTAGACCCAAGACTCTCAGGGGACATAGAGACAGGAAGAAAATGCTTTAGGAATAGAATTCAGAAAGTTCTCTTTTATTCTTCTGATTAAAATAAATTCTAGCCATTAAAGAAAAGGTGTGGGAGGAAGGAAGATACTGTCTGAAGAGGCAGTTCAGCGGCTGTGCTTTGTGTTTGTGTCTTTGCTCCCTTTTTAACGTTCCTGCGGGGCTGGCTCTGCTTACAAACACTTTAGAGAAACGGCTTCGAAGCCACTCACGAGAGAAAGGTCTTACCTGTACGCCAGGGCCCCGGCAAAATGGCTCTCTATGTACGTGTCCATGACGGGCTTAAAATGATGGAATTTGCTATCCTGCAGCAAATTTATTATGTGGACCTAAAAAGAAAATTGAGCTTTATGAAACCGAAGGCAAACCAAGATGCTTTTGTTCTGTTCAAGTGAACTCTCGCGCTATGAAGTGTGTGTTTCGGAAACAGCCTTAGTCAAGGCTGAGAGGTGACGTTGTTGAGATCTCATCAGAGCGACGTGAAACTCACCAAAGAGTCAAACACTTTCGACCCGTATTTTTGGGAATTTTCATCTAAAATTCCGAATAAGGTATCCAGTGTATCTTGCAGGAACTGTTAGATAAAGAGGAAGGAAGTGAGCGGTCAGATAGCATCTGCCCTCCCCGCCCCCATCCCTAGTCCCAGGAACTTCCGAGGGAGGGAGGATGAAGCAGCGCGTACCTTCACGATCTCCGAGCCGTCGATTTCTTTTAACTTGGAGAGGCAGCCTGTGATCTTGTCGGGGTGGGTTCTCCATTTCAAAAGGTCTAGCATATCACCTTCCCAAACAGAAAAGAAAATGAGCTGTCTTCCCAGAGACCAGCCTCTCACAGCGACGTGTTCCACTGGTGAAAGCTGAACTCTTCCCCACGGTGCCTGACATTCCAGGCCACCCAGGGGGCACGGCCCGCCCCCTGACCGCATGACAGCCCGGGACAGTCAGGACAGCAGTGGTCCTGACTCACAAGCTCCCACTCGCCCTCTGGCTCCCAGGGAGCTGCCGCTCCGTCTAGAAAGCCTGTCTGAAATGTTCCAGACTGAGCCGACAGCCACTCCCGCGTGCTCGCAGGTGACAGCAGCGTTCACCCCGCTCGTACAGCTGCGTGCCTGCATCCCACCAGCCTGCGAACCCGAGACAAGGAGACCACGCACGCCAGGCTGGGCGCCATCCTCCGAGCCCCCAGCACGGAGCAGCTCCGTGGCAGGCCGCTGACAAGTGCTCATTGAATCATTTTCTGCCCCCTCCCAGTAACGTGGGAGTTTGTTTTTAATCCTCACCCAAGGATATGTTTATTGATTTTTTAGAGAGAGGGGAAGGGGTGGGGGTGTGTGAGAGAGAGAGAGAGACATCAATGTGACAGAGAAACATCGATCGGTTGCCTCCCATTTGAGCCCGGACCAGTATTGAACCCGTGACCCAGGTATGTGCCCTGACCAGAACCGAACCCACAACCTTTTGGGGCACTGGATGATGCTCCAGCCACCTGAGCCACCCGGCCAGGCCTAACATGGGAGTTTCCTGAGTACAGGAAACCCGCGTCGTTCACATTTGTGGCCCCCGCTCCGCCCCAGACCAATCCCACAGGCATGAACGCCGCCTTGAAAATGTGCCTCAAACCCAGCGGGACGAGAAGGCCCCTGGAGAGGGACGACAGCCCAGCTGACGGCCAGATCACCTGCAGGCCCCGGACCTGAGGGCCCCGCTGCTCAGTTTCCTGCCTCCTCCACTGGCAGCACGTGGGCCTGGCTGGGGGGCAGGAGCAAAGGCTTCCCCCCGCCTCCCTGCACACAAGTCAGCAGGGCTTCTGAGCACCCAGTCAGCTTCGCCTGTCTCCAAGGGGAGCAGGGAGACGTGGACACAGGAAGAGGGACAAGGCTCAAGGACGCAGCAGGTGCATGAGGCGGGGGACCGGCTGAGACGGAGCAGGGAGGGGGAGGGGAGAGGGAGGGGGAGGGCACAGGGAGGCGGAGGGAGAGGGACAAAGGAGGGCTCTGCAGTGTAACGAGGAGGAACCTGCTTCAGGGGACGTGTTTCTGGAGATCCCGAAGGCACGTGCTTGCAGGAGACAGAAAGACCAATGTGGAAACAAAACCCCCCAAATTAAATAGAAAACAAATGAACAAGAAACCAAGGAAGTAGGTATGATGAGAAAAAAAAAAACAACAGGTAGCAGATGGAGATGAGATAAAAGCATCTGAATCGAGGGAGGGAAGAACTACCCCCACCCCAGCCCAATTCAAGAGGACAGCTTCCCAGTGCACTTGAAATTCAGTCCCAGGAACGCCTGTCAACAGACAGAGATACAAGGAGGAGGACGATTTTGAATAAGAATAAAAAGGAAAGGCTAAAAATACCGACTTTGAAAAAAAGGTGGATTATGTTTTCGTAACAGCAAAACCTGAAGATGTCTAATGCTCATGTCCACCTCGGACATCCTGCGGGCAAGACCTTTCTAGGCAAGGGTTGGCTCTACGCAAACGTCTGCTGTTTCCACCGAGCAAGACGCTGAGGGGCAGGGGCGGCCCCTGACACCCTCCAGCCTGCGGCCCGTGGCTCCACCGCCGCCCCCTGCCCTCAGCTTCAGGACGCCTCCCCGGGGGGCACCTCCCCCTGGAACCACCCCCCCATCTCCCTCTCTGTTACCTCCCCCTGCTCTGCCACCATCCAGCTGTCCCCCAGCTCCTGCTGCTCCCTGGCCCTCCAGCAGGAGGGTGGGGAGGGACGCCGCCCGCGGCCGCCGTGGGAAACCAGGGAGAGCCAGAAGGAGACGGACTGGGGAGCAGAGAGATCAGGATGGGGCTGTTCGCCTTTCGTGCCACAGGCCTCGCGCATCTCTGGGCTGCTTGCTCCGGGGCCAACGGAGCAGTAAAGGAGCCGGTCTGTCTGGACGTAATCCATCATGTAGGCAAAGCCCTCAGAGTTCGGTCAAAACTGTCATCTCCTGGGCCTCCAGTTTAGCCACTTGAGGCTACATTCATTGCAAATTAGGAGCTATGACTTACTACTGAAAGCGTGAATTTTACATATTCCATTCAATATGCACTCAAGTATATACTGTACGCCTAACCTGTCAAGGTCTGTAAAACAGGTAGACTACAGGGTCCTCACTCTGTTTGGTTTCTTTTTTTAAATCACAGTCTCAGGAAGAGATGGGAGGAACACCCACCGGTCACTACAGGTGCAGCAGGGGGTGTGGGGCAGTCAGTAAACGAAGCAACTGTTAGGCGGTATGCGAAGATTGCTTATATTTTTTCTTAACTCTTTAAAAGGTTGTGTTTCATAGACCAAGGAAGGTCACAAAGAGGTATAGTAATTTCTTCCCTGATCCCTACTCATAAGAAGCTTAAAATGTCTACCTGATCCGGCAACGACAGAGGCCCAGCGCTGCATACCAAGGACACCGCGCGCCCACCGAGGCACGGCAGGGCCCGGGAAAGCCGCGTGCCCTGGAGCCGGTGCCTGGAGACCCCCTAGCTCACTGAATGCCCCGTGGCAATGGAAGTGGGATTTGCATATTTTCCAAGTGGAGTGAAATGAATAGAAAGCAATTTCGGTTTGGGTCTGGATTACTTCTCCACAGAGATGTGTCGAGCCTGCAAATTTCAGAAAGATCAACAGACTTCCTTCCTCCTTCCCATCTCTTTGAAACACACAATCGTGTTCCTGGCTCATTTTGAGCTGTCTTACATTGACAAGGTTAATTACAGCCAAAATGACACTTGAGCACTTACACGTCTTCCATACCGTGAGACGTTTAATATAATATTTCACCAACAGTTTATTTACCCACATCTACCTGAAAATGTTCTCTGCTTTTTACAAAATAGCATCTCCCAACTGTCAGGATTTGGCTGTCTGTCTATCTTAAGTTCACAAGTCTGTCTAACATCCTAAACCCAAGAACTAGGACAACTGAAGGAGGGAGGACTAAACATTTTAATGGCAGATAATCTGTCTTTAGGTTGATTTGTGGGGCTGGCCGAATAACACCCTCCGCCCCCGCCCCGCCAACGCCCTGTCCTGATCCCTGGAACCTGTGAAGAACATGTTTACCTTATGTGGCAAGAGAGATTTTACAGATGTGATTCAGCTTGAGTACTTCAGCTAGGGGGATCACCCTGGATCAGCCGGCGGTCACAACGTACCCTGCCGGTGTGGCTCCGTGGGTTGGGCTTCCTCCCACAACCTGACAGGTGACTGGTTCAATTCCCAGTCAGGGCACAAGCCTGGCTTGCAGGTTCTGTCCCCAGTTGGGGCATGTAAGGAAAGCAACCAATCAATGGTTCTCTCTTATATCAATGTTTCTCTCCCTCCCTTCCCCTTTCTCTCTAAAAAGAAACCAAAACAAAACATGGGAGATGGCCAGAGTCCAAGAGGGCTGTGAAGACGGGGCGGGGCCCCACGAGCGGAGGACTGCGGACGGCCCTCGAAGCCAGGAGGGCCAGTGGGAGCTTCTGCCCTTGAGCTTCCAGAGAAAGGCAGCCCTGTTGCTGCTCCCAGGTTCCCAGGGGCGCCCAGGGAAGCTATTTCAGGTTCTTGACAGAATGGTAAAGTAATAGATTTTTTTTGTTGTTTCAAGCATTGAGTTTATCGCTATTGTTACAATGGCTAGAGATAGCTGATGAATCCACAAATACTCTGCCGGAGACCATCAGTGAGATGAGCATCTAGACGCTGTAACCGGCACACACGAACCCGCAGAGGATGAGTAAGAGCCTGCGTTAGGGAGCCAAGAACAGGCTGACTCCATGGTCTCCCCAACCTCCATGGCGGTAGGCTGGCCCCTTAAAAAATACCTGAGGTTTGGTAAATGCTTTATAATCATGACAAAATTATGCCAATGCAAGTCTTACTTAAGCAAAATCATGAACCACCGAATACTGATAAAGTCTGGCATAACTTGGCATCTCTTAACTGGGTGATAACACCCTTCAATCAAGTTTCCCCAAAATATATCATGCAGCTGATTTAAAAAATATTTCTCCAAAAAAATGCTTTGGAAGGGGAGAAACCAAAACCAATACAAACGTGAAGGAATCATTTGCCCAGGTCCTGTGCACACAGACAGAGAACTGCGTGAGGAGCTGAGAGGTGCCTCGAAAGCGGCCGGAATTGACACGCAACCTCTTGTCCGATGCCTAAGAGGAGAAACACATTTCCGGCTGCGAACGCCGCCCTGAGCCTCAGAAGAAACCCGGGAGCTCGCACAGATGTTCAGGCACAGGAGCGTTTTACGCAACGCAGCACCTGACAATGTGATTCTCCTCAAGGTGAGGAATCCGCCCCATCAGCACGGCTCTCAGGGTGCCGCCAGGCGCGGCATGGGGCAGGCCTGGAGAACTCCAAACACGCTTCATTCCCGGCCTGCATCACAGACGCTGCTTTCACGACAGGCTGCCAAGGCAAGCCTCTCGCTTTTTAAATTGTAACTTGCTAAACAATCGCTGACACAAAAAGGATTCCTAGACGAGAAAAGCAATATCCATCTAAGTGAGTGAAAACAGCCTGTATTCTGAAGCCTGCAATTAGCGCCGTTTAGGAAGAGAGGAAGGTGGGGGTATTCTTTGTCTTATGTTTTATTCTTTTTTTTTTTTCTCTTTTAAGCAGCTGGGTGTTAGGGGTTGATTTGAAGCGCTGTGTACGTGGGTTCCAATACTGGGATAGTCACGAAGCCGTTAAATGACGTGCATTTGACAGACCACTGGGCCGCACAGGAGGCCCAACCACTTCTCCAGGGCAAGGTTCTGAATGACGACACGTGTGTTTATTGAACACACCTACCCAAACCCACCGGCACGTTCTTACACAGCCTTTCAGACACAAGCATCGTACATTACCATTTTGGGTGAGCTTTGTGGAACAGAGGAAAGAGGTGATCCAAAAAGACTCCTTCGTGGTCTTCATGGCTTGATTGCTATTTCCCAGGAGGAGGCCCTTGGAGAAGGGGAGTTTGAGGTAGCGGGCAGTATCCTGAAGGTTTGTGTTTTCTTCACACTGTTGAAGACATCAACAAAAGGGGGTAGGGAGAAAGGGACCTCATGAGAATTATTAAGCATAATTTCCACCCCTGGTTTTTACAGACTAGGAAACATTGTAAACAGCATCACAAATAGATATAGGCTTTTAAGTAAAAGGCAACAAAAATGTATATAAGAAACAAAGCTCGGATGTTGGACTGCACCGACCAGGTTCGAATCCCAGCTCCTGCACTTCCCACATGAGCAACTGTACCCAGTTACTTAACCACTTGGGACTTCACGTCTACCTCTAAAATCTCTTGTGTTGTCCTCAGAAGAACGCAAAAAGCCTTGAATGCTGTGCCTGATACATGGGAGGCGCTCAAGGACTCTTCCTTGCAGCGATCACAGAATTAGGGAAAACAATGCTTCAAGTCTTTCACCGTGTCATCTGATGCAGCGTTTAAACAGCTCCTTACTTGGAAAACGGCGACTAAAGCAAGGAGTATTTAAGGGTGACCTCACAGTCCTGCTGCGCGAGGGGAATCCCTCCGTCACAGAAAACGCCAGCTAACAGATGAACGTAAGGAATTTCAGATTTTAAAAAAACAAAGCTTTATATCCCTCATGTAACTCTTCCTTTAGTCAAGGATTGTCATTTAGTGCAAAAACCAGCAAGAAAGTTGCTGAGGGAAGGGATGTTCATGATGCCAATGGAGCAAGAGGACTAGGGTCCCTGTGGGGGGTGGGGGAGGGAGGGGGACCGGCTGCCACTACACCCAAGCGGGGTGCGGCAAAGAGCGGGCTCGCCCTCTACCGCAGATGCTAAACCAACCCCGTCACCCCTCCAGACTCCAGGTTTGTCTCGCAGGAACCACAAGGGACAGAACAACAGGCCGAACAGCACTGCGGGGAGCCACCAGGCCGACCCAGGCCGGGGCACTCGTGCAGGGGGCCGGGCTTTGTCTCCTCAGGTCCCCTGTGCTGAGCGAAGGGACTGATCTAGAGTGAACGCCACTTCGGAGACGGACAGCTCGATGCAACTTACAGTCTGAGACCTAAACACATCTGCTGAAAGAGGGTTTTTTGAGATTTATACATTGACTAAGTTCTAGAGGAAATATTTAGGGATTGGAAAAATCATTAAATGAAAGAGCAGATTTTAAAATATATATATGCAATAAAGAAGCTAAGATGTCCCTCAGTTGATGAATTGATCAACTGGTGGTCCATCCAGACAGGGGCATTCGGTGCTAAAAAGGAATGAGCTGTCAAGCCATGAAGATGAGGAGGAAACGTACACGCATGCTGCTAAGAAGCAGAAGCCAGTCTGAAAACGCTGCATGCTGAATGGCTCCAGCTGCATGACCTCCTGGAAAAGGCAAACGTACGGAGACAGTGAAACAGTCGGTGGCGGCCAGGGGTCGGTGGGGAGCGGGGGTGAGCAGGCAGAGCTCCGAGGGTTTTTAGGGCAGTGCGTGTGGTGTTGCAATGGACACATGTCATTATGCATTTGTCCACAATGAAAATCACAGGGGGATGACCCACAGAATCTGCAACTCCAAGAGTAAGCCCTGACGTAAAAACGGATTTTGGGTGGTTCATCCGTGGTAAAAAGAAAAAAGAAACACGGCCATTCTGGTGAGCGGTGTTGATGATGGGGGAGGCTGTGCGTGTGGGGAGTCTCTGTGCCTTCCTTCCAATTCTGTTATAAACCTAAAACTGCTCTAAAAATATGTATATTACATATTATTATTTGGGTCAAAAAATCCATACAGAACATCTAGAAGGAAATAGACTAGGAGAGTATCGCTTAACAGCAGCTGGGTAATGAGAATGTGCTGTTTTTATTTGAATTTGCATGATCTCTGTACTGTTTTAGGAATGATACAGGTGGTTTTTAATAAACATTCCAAGAAAAACACTGTAACAGACAGCAAGCTGGTATAACGTAGATTATTCTGCCTCCCCGCAACGTGCTCCAGTGTCTCCCAGGCTGGCGTCCTGGGGAGGGGCGGGGCTCAGGCACCGGACCCTTCGCTATTCTAGCCTCCTGTGTGTGATCTGCCAGGCTGCTGTTTTCAAACGTTAAGCAGCACGTCTTTCAGAAAGGCCTCTGTAACGGCTCAGACACACACAACTGGACGGCCGCGAGATGCTCCTCCGCGCACAGCTGCTCAGCGGCAGGCGCGCCAGTGACCCCAGCCGGCAGCCCCAGGCCGCTCCGCTGTTATCACTGCAGGACAACTCGGGAGACAGAAGAGCATGTGAAATGCACCTAGGTTTGCAGGATACTAACAAAGCGAACACTTCCAGTGCCTTCTCAGGAAAAGTGCTTAGGCAAAGGAATGTTCTGGAACGCTGGACCTGGGTCCCCTCCTCTCAGTCTCGCTCTGGCTTTCAGGGCTCAGAACTGCAGTCAGTCACACAGCCCCGCGGACCCTGCACCCTGCCTGCAGCTGGTCTATGGGGTTAGCGACACGGTCTGGCCTACCGCCCGTAGCTGGACCCGTGCTTCAGGCGTCTAGGCACCGCCCCCACTCAGCCCGGACACCCTGTGCAGCTCTGCCCAGGCAGCCTCCCCCTGTGGCTGGCCCTCTTATCTCCCGTGCCCTGACTGACTGCCAGGCCCCTGAGCACGCTGGCAGCCCCTCCAATTCCTGCTCGCTCTGCTCACCTTGCTCCGCCTGCAGCCATGAACAGACCCCTTCAGTGGCTGAAGATACGGCGCTATGTCATGTCTAAGGAGACACTGGGAATGGGCGACGTGGCAGCCTTCTCTGTGGCCAGGCCAGTGCCAACCCTCCCTCACTTCACTCCCCTCAGCCTGGGGGGCCACAGCCCCAGCTTCCGTGGCTGTCTGAAGGGTGACGCGTGGATAACATTTTACGGCTCGACTTTATCACGCTCACTCAAGTACCAAACACAGTGATTAACACAGACACCGCTCTTCACACCAAAGTGACCACAAGGCCTTCCCCCAAGAATACTGGTGTGTGCATGTGTGTTAGTAGGGGGCGGGGGGAGAGAATTCTGCCCGCCCATTCAATAAGGAAAGGCACAGATCCCTCTGCGGTTTCTACAAATCCTTTGAGAGTGTGTTTAGCAAGGTTCAACATTGATTTTTTTTTTTTTTTTTTTTTGGCGAGTAGGAATCAAAGCAGAGACACATGCAGGGTGTGGGGTCAGAGTGGGAGGCTGCCATCTGTTTCCGAAGAGCGCCCGTGGCCTGCAGGAACCCCAGAACGCCTCCCAACGTACCTTCCGTTGTCCTCCGGGACGATCAGTGGGCCCTCCCAACCCAAGCAACGGGCCTCGCGAAGGCCCGCTCAGCGGCAAGCATACTGAGACCTGCGCGGGGGACCCCGGGGCGGGGCGCTGCGGCCGGCGGCGCCTGTGCGGTTTGCTCAGTGTCGCGACACTGGTGTCAGGCCACGACGCGAACGCGGTTTGTGTTCGCAACTCCTCCTCCACTATTGTTTTAACCAAGTTTGGAGTTTTGCTATAACAAATTCAGAATGTATTGGTTTAGCATATCGAATGGTGGGTATGGCTAAGAAAGTCCAAAAGTTCACCGTTCAAACAGGTGTGTTTGTGAGGACACCCTGCGAGTGGGCTTAGAGTGGCCTGCGGAGCTGGAAACAGTCTCCCGTGTCTCAGAGTGAGGTGGCTGGTCTACATGCTGACACCACGGAGGGGAGGGGGCGAGAACAGACCACGTGACGGGGAGGCGGGAGGGGCGGGGAGGGGACGCTGCCCGACATAGGACCCCAGGAACCCAGCTGGCGAGTGAGAGCATCTGCTCGCCCACTCGACATGGGGGTGTCTGCAGAGAAAGAGGGTTCCAGAAGGCAGGGGCCAGCAAGTGTTTATGCCAGGAAGGTCCTCCATACTCTCAAGAGGGGATGCACCGTGAGCCGTGCTGAGGAATCTTAAAGAACCCGGAAAGTAGGCTGCAGGTTGTTAATAGGTGGTTTTGTCACCCCAATAAGACCCAGATAGGCCCCTACACTAGAGGGGGGTTAAATGTGGACCCCTTGCATCTGGGGGACACCTGCAAAACAACTGTCTGGTTTTCACATAGGGACAGTTTTTTCCATCAGATCCCCCCAGGCACAGAACAAGTAGATGCGGAGAGATGACAGTAACAGGACACTGTCCTCTCTGTTCTCCTGTGACAGACACAGACACAGCTCAGGTGCTACTGGGGTGAGCGGAGGAGGACGGTCACCGACAGAGGCGGCGGCCGTGACCTGGGCTGTCATTCTAGGGGAGACAGGCCAAGTGGCCACGGCCTCCTTGGGCGGCTGCTGGATTGCGGGGACAGAGCACCGTCACTGGCGCGGGAAAGGCCCACCCTCTGTGGAGTCTGTGCCAGTCATGTGGAAGCAGCACGGAGTTCCTCTGCTGCAAATCAGAGAGAAGGGAGACAGCAGCCGCCTCCGCTTCCCTGCACTGGAGCGTGGCCTTGGGCCGGCACGGGCGGGCGAAACGCAGTGGCTGCCTGCCCTCTGTGCTTTAAGGTTTCAGAGCCCGGCTTTCAGTCTATCCCTTTGCCCAGAACTACAACCGCTGGTACAGCCATGAAGGACACATTGTGAATCTGACCACCGTCTTAGACATGTGACCGGCCAGGCACAAACGGTGCCCCGGAAATGTGACACCTGCAATAGTGCAAGCCTCCTGATTAAAAGACGGACATCTACAATTTATCCAAAGATCCCTGGTACAGAGCCCTGAATGGCGTGGCTCGGGGGGTTGGGCATCGTCTCACAAACTACAAGGTCGCAGGTTCCATGCCCAGTCAGGGCACACGCCTGGGGTGCGGGCCAGGTCCCCGGTTGGGGGTGCGCGAGGCAGCCGATCACTGTTTCTCTTTCTCCCTCTCTTCTCTAAAAATAAATAAAAAAACCTTTAAAAAATGCAAAACTGGTATAGGAATTAATAGTATATTAATCAAAGGAAGGGATCTGTCATTTGTGGGGAGTAGAGAATAAAATTAAAAAAATACAGCCACTTACAATCCAGTTGGAACTA